AGAGAGAGAGAGAGAGAGAGAAAGAGAGAATGCCCAGATCGAAACCCTTCTCCATTCAAATAAAATCAGGGGGGAAAAATTCGATGACTAACCCAAAATCCACCAGTTCTGAAGAGAAACCCGGCGACCAATCTATAATCTGATGTGAAATCTTTCGTTTTCTGCAGGCGTTTCTACAGGCCTGGCAGGCAGTCTGTTCTTCCCCAACTCAAGCAGTTCTCAAGGTTCCAGCCAGAAAGACCTATCTGGTTTGGCCTCTAGATTTCTCTGGGCATTGCTCCTCCAACTCGACTCTGGTGGTAAGCGCTTTCATGCAATTTTTCCAAATATTTAAGGCAAAAGGGGAGGAATATTGATTACCATTTCATGCATAATTTCCCAACCTCGATAGATCCTGGGGACGATAGTTGCTCCCGATGATCCCGAGCTCTGGCGCGATCTGAATCCACACAAATGGCTGTACTTCGTGGGATTGAACGATCTGAGCCTGCGGGGAGGTGGCACCATCGATGGAAAAGGAGAGAGATGGTGGGGCCGGTCCTGCAAGATCAACAAGAACAATGTAAGAACTAATCCCATCAATTCATCTCACTTCTCTGTCTTAATGATTTCTTGGTTTTTTTTTCTTGGGCAGCCATGCAGACGCGCTCCAACGGTTAGCAAAACCAGCGATCACATCCTGATTTTTGGTGAATTTCCTTGGATTTCTATGGACTGGGCTGAAGTCAACGATGTTGCAGGCAATTAATTTTCATAGGTGCAAGAATCTGAGAGTACAGAACCTGACGCTACTGAACAGCCAGAAGATGCACATCGCCCTCACTAACTGCACCGGAGTGAAGGTGTCCGGTCTTCGAGTGATTGCTCCTGCTGATAGCCCAAACACTGACGGCATTCACATAAGTTCTTCAGTTCATGTAGAAATCAAGAACAGTGAAATCAAAACAGGTCTGGAGTTCATGATATTTCGTCCATGGATATTCAGAAAATGACAATTTCTCTCTCTCTCTCTTCTTCAGGGGATGACTGCATCTCCATAGTGTCCGAGTCTTCAATGGTGAAGATCAGAGATCTTAGTTGCGGACCTGGGCATGGGATTAGGTGGGGGATACTGATGCAGATCCACACACTGAGCAATTAAACCTAACCTGGTTGATTTTCTTCTTCAGCATTGGCAGCCTGGGGAAGCACGGATCATGGTCTAACGTGAGCAGTATCCAAGTAAACAGAGTGACCTTCACCAACACTACAAATGGGTTCAGAATCAAGACATGGCAGGTAAAATGTCCTAAATTGGAAATTCTTTGGGATTTACCTGGTGTCTTGAATCCTGATGAATGAGCCATGGCAACCAGGGAGGAAGAGGTTTCGCCCACAAGATTTATTTCCAGAATGCCACCATGGAAAACGTCTCGAACCCGATCATCATCAACCAGTATTACTGCGACTCCTCCCGCCCATGCCTGAACAAGGTAGTAGTAGTAGCAATAATCCGGCATTCATCTGCGTACCTTTGTGGAGGCATTTTTTGAATATTTTTATTGTGATTCCATTCCCAATATGGGGAACGCAGACCTCTGCAGTGAAGGTACATCAGGTTTCCTTCAAGAATATAAGAGGAACATCAGCCACAAGGAATGCAATAAAGTTTGCTTGCAGTGATAAAGTTCCATGCGAGAAGATCCTCTTGAAGAACATCCAGTTATCCTTGCTCTCTGGAGATCGGCCAAGTTCATATCGTTGGAAGGCCCATGTGTCATGCTATGGCTCTGTGGATCCTCCTGTCTGTGTCAGACGGTGGGGTGACTTCGACCCTCTTAAGCTTCGTTCCAGTGAAGCACATTGGTTCATTTCCGATTGGATTGGTTATGTACTAAACTTCAGAATTGGAGATTTCCTACTTAAAGCTCCTTTTCTTCATCGAAATTCCATGTTCTATTGAATTACTTTGCACCATTCCTACTCAATTGCGTACTGAACTGGAGATTCTCTACCGAGGAACTTTTATTCCAGACGCAGCTGCATTCTTCCTTGAAAGCAGATGAGTATACGAAAAGTTTATTAGATGATGGCACAACAGGAAATATGATTCCAGAAAAATGATTTTATGAAAAGTCTTTCTCTTCTTTGATCCTTCATGTACTACCTACTGCAGGCTTTCTCCTTCCAGTGCCAACTATATTCTCAATCTAGATACTATTGCCTCGGGATGACCCTGAGAGTCTCAGTTCTTACCTACATAAAGATTATGATACTCAAACCCGGCAGATCGGATGTAGATTGAAACAGTGGAGCTTGTTTGTACTCGATGGTTTATGCATTGCCGATCCTGTAGACTGTGTTTCAAGCTTCCCACTGTTGATTTCCTGAACCTGAAAATTCCAGTAACAGGGGGGAAGATCTGGACGTGGGGCACGGACATACTGTACTTCATGTGAGGCACGGACATAAAAACAAGAAGATCGAGACTTCCAGGAAGATGTCTGTAGAGGAGGGGGACAAAGCTGTCTCAGCACACATCGGAGCCCCTTCACTACGATTACATCAAGATGTACAGGAAGAATGTCGGACAGGACGAAACAAATCTGTACCAGCGGACGCCGCCATGAGTTCGATTCCCTTCCAATGCAGCAACGAATCCCTCCAAATGCCAGCATAAATTCGACAGGCCGAGATCCTAATCGATCAAGACGACTAACACCGCGTAAAAAATAAATGCTCTTTCGGTGAAATCCGGAGTGAGCCGGTGCGCAAATCGCTCGGATGGTTCTCCCCCGCAGGTTAATCGCCCATCGCCAGGAAGAGAAAGGTCCGGGGGAGCTGCCGAACGCCTGCTGATCCACGGCCATCAGCCATGAACGGATCAGAAGAAATTGGTGGAGTTCGGATTGTCGCCGCCTCCTCTTCTGCTAACGATGGAGAGGAGGAGGAAAAGCGGTAATTTTAAGAAAACCCCCTCTTTTTTTTATTCTACAATTAGACACCCCCATTTTATGAAACTGCAACGTGTCATTAAGCATTTGCTAACGGGCCATCAAATGGGCTGGTCCACACACAATGCTTGAATGAAGGGGGATGGTATAATTAAAAATAAAACTAAAGCCATCCTTATCCACAAAAAATAATCATAACATGCTAAATAACTTAATTTTAAAAAATGCTCTATGTGTAAAAAATAGGAAGACATCTCTCTATTTTTCTCTTTATTTTTTATAAGTTGCCTTGGAGGAACAAAAACATACGGAGTGATATCTAATTTGTCACATTTAAAAGGACAAAATAAAAAAACATAATAAATAAACCATTAATTGTAGGAATTAAAATATATATAATCACTAATATTAATTTATTTTAATTTTTCATTATTTACATTTATCAATCAATTTAGTATTAATTCCCCACATTAAATGACTTGATGGGTAACACTATGAATGTCATGGATATTTGTTCAGCAATAAGTTTGAAAGTGATGGCATTATATATATATGGAACCATTTTAGGGGTCTAATCCAAAATAGTTGTAGCTAATTGGGGGTTGGCTTGGTTGTCCAATCATGTAACATTACCCAAACTACTAGGTTTCAAAAGATATATGCACATATGTAGGGTTTATCGAAAAAACTGAAAAAATAGAGTATGTTGGAAACATGTTTCATGCTATATAAAACCATTCTAGGGGCCTAACGCAATAATAGAAGAGAGTATAACATTACCTAACTGATAGGCTTCAATAGATATATCCATATATGGAGGGTTTATCGCAAAATCGAAAAAAAGAGAGTATTTTGGAAAACATTTACAATAGTTGGGCGTGGCCCAAGTACGTAGGACAATTCATCATTTCAGGACGTTGGATCGATCTGTGGGGTCTACCAATACAGTGAACTGCGACAACTCACGAATCCCAAGTTGTTGTGCAGATTTGCATGCGTTGCGCTACGTAACTATATAATCCGATTGGACCGACACCCCGTACGCGCCTGTTAGAGAGAGAGAGAGAACCGGGCCCGTATTTTCGGGCTTGATTTTTAGGCCAAAGCCCGAAAAACGGGCCGGGCCGGGCTTACCCACTATCGATATCTGCAGTTATTTTTGAGATACATCAGCACGTATCCACGTGGCATACGATATCGCCACCCTCCCCCACGGCCAAGCCATCCCCTGGCGTGTCTGTGCGAGGGTAATCCCCGGGGACGCCGAGGACACGTAACCCTTATCTCACAAGGGAGGGAAGCACGAAATTAAGGGGGTGAACTTATCAGGTATTTCACCGCTGCTCATCCGCTCCACACGTGTTGCTCCATTGCCGATTGATATATCCACGCAGGTGAGCTCCGTTTTCTCCCTCCCCCTGCCTGTCTTGCGTACAAGTGGGAGAGATGAAGATAGGAGACGGGGGTGGAGGCTGGGAGGGTAGGAGGGAGTGGGAATAGAGAATGCCCCTCCTTACCCAATGCACGCCTCCCGGCACGTGCCAACCCGTTCTAAATAATGCTACAGAGAGAGGGGGCCTGCCTCTATAAATACCCTCCCCCCACCCCATCCATCTCTCCACAGCCAAACAGGTTTTGAGACCAAATTCCAACACCGAGAAACTACCCCTCATTTCTCTCTCTACCTCTGTCTTTCTCTCTCTAAATGTCCCTCTCTCTCTCTATCTAATATACACGCAGAGAGGCTCTCCCTCGCTCTACCCCTCCCCTCTCCTATATCTCTCCTCTCTCTCTCTAGACTTTGCCAACGACACCTCTCTCGTGCTTGCCCTAACCTCCTTCCGTGCTCCGATCGCGAACGCTTCTTGTCCTCGATTGAGAGGAGTGTGAACTGGTGAAAAGGCGGCGGCGGCAGCGTTAGCGAGTCAGCCCCCCTGGGACTGGGGGGGGAGGTCGGGGTGCCGGTACCATCCACCCTGCTGCTCGCGGGAATCCACGTCGTTATGTCGAACGTTTGTGTGGTTGGTATGCTAAGCGAGGGGAGACAGGAGCAGATCTGCCTGAGGTTGGTCGTAATCCGCCGTATTATCTCCTGTGCATCACTTCCCTGTGCTCTGCCTGGTTCTAATTATGTTTTTTAGATGTCATTGAGGGTGATATCTGTGCATTGAGACCCGGGCGGATCTAGTGTTTGGTGCCGCTGAATTTTCGGTCTTCCGAGTCGGAGAATCGTCGTCATTTTTGTCAATCTTTGAGGGATTGGCGAAGCTTTTACTTGATTCGGTGGCAGATGGGTCGAACTTCTCGTTAGTTATTGCATGCTCTGGCAGAGTCTATTTCTTTGATGGCCCCATGAGTTAGAGTTGCAAGAGATGGGAAGAACGTGAGTGTGAAGCCGGTGAAATGATTTATGCGATCATGAGATATTGCCTTTACAGAGGGACGAAAATTTCTCATAATTTACTCTCGTAAAGAACGGGGGAGATTCCTGTATAATCTCTAGAACGATGGAGCAGTTATAGCAATTTAGTTCTTTTGGTGAGGCAAGATGATAATGAATTGGCTGCTTGGGCAAATGTATATTGACTTTGTAGTAAGTGATGATTTTCCCTATAATATAAGTACTGAGTGTGGTTGTCGTGATAGTTTACCTCTCCGTATGTCTTTCTAAGTGTGATTGTTGTTAACTATGCTGAAGTCTCCATCTCAGATGGGTAACATCCCCTGGACGGTTTTTCTTCACATTGACAAGGTGCCTACAAGGGGATAGCTATGTCATGCTGGCCTTATGTCTGAATTAAACCTTTCTGCATTTAATTTCATTATTATTGAGATATTAACTATTACATGCTTTACGATGTTATATGCGAAATTTTCCTTTCATGTAGTATGGTATGTTATGTCTAGTTAACACTGTACGACTGTCATCACTAATTTTGGGATCGTACATGGTGCATTATATTTGAGGGAGCCTTTCAGCTTGAGACGTTGTATAGGAGAATCACCGTGATTTGAATTCTATTATCGCACTCCTATTATCTGGAAATTTGACTTTCTCAGCACGACCTTACCCTATTATTTTTGATTCTTGATTTTTTTCACCTTCCTATTGTAGTATCCATTTTCTCTTCTATATCACGCCTGACTGTGTTTACATCTCATACGTCTATTTCGATTTTTTTTCTGACGTTTGTTGTACTTGACAGTCAGACACGTTGCAATTAAGTGTAGGGGGTTCAATTTTACGAATTTTGACTTTCGTTCTTCTGCTGGCCTCCACTTCTCATGCCTTTTATTTTGCCAGGCATCTGGAAGAATACCAAAGAGACTGACACACTCGCACAGGATTTTATATGCACTCACAGTCGAGATGGGTACTCGTGGTAGGCCATTTATTGATCTCAATGAACCCCCTGCTGAAGAGGAGAATGAGGAGGTGGTTTGTATCCTACCTCAAAAGTTGCCTCCTGTTTCAAATTCGGGTGCCTCCACCAATCTATTAATTCAATCATCAAGCTCACCCTGGATACCAAACAACCGTGCTTTTTCACACGCACCTTCGGGTTCTGGATTTCAACCTTTCATCAGGCTTAAAGAGCAATCACAGAAGGAATTTGCGGTGCAAAAACTAGAGGAAACAAATTTTACTTGTGTATCATCTCCTTCTGCTGTAAAGCATAGTGAAGATGGTAGACCATCAGAGTTGGTATCTTCCATCCCACCAAAGGGTGAGGTAGTTGAAAGGGAAGAAGGGGAATGGTCTGATGTGGAGGATGGCGCTGACGCTGTGGGAATCAGTGCTAACAATGAGGAAGAGTCCATTAACAGTGAATCTCTGCAAAAGAAGGAAACAATAGAAGGACATGAACCCTTGGGGTTTGGTAGGCGTGTAGAAACTAACTTTCATGGTTCTGATCTTCATGATGACACGAAGGATCTGTGGGGTGGTGCTACAAAAGACACCTGTAGCAATGTTTCTTCTGGACCAGAGGGCTCGACATCAGATTGTAACTCTAAAGGGGATGCACCCGCAGATGGCTTGGAGGAGACTCCATTGGCTGCGAAGCCAAAGGTTGTTAAAGGGATTGAGGCAAATCATGCATTGAGAATTGTAAATAACCTAGGTAAGCGACCTAAGCTCGATGAGCACAAGGAGGCAATGTTAGGAAAGAAAAGAAACAGGCAAACTGTTTTCCTCAACATAGATGAGGTTAAGCAAGCAGGTGCAATAAAATGTTCTACTCCGAAACGACCGCCATCATTTTCATCTTCTATGGCTACTCGCGCAGTGAAAGATGCTTATCGTTCTAATCAATCGCCTGTTGAGAGGAGTCAACCTTCTAACAAGGAAAATAGACAAGCAGATCTATTAAATGGCGAAGGAAGTGTACCGTCTATTACGAATGATCACAAGGTAGAATCTAATGGTGACACAACTGCAGGGCCTCAAGTTCGGCCAAAGAAGCTAGCTAGCAGTGGTGAAATTTCGCCAGAGCCACATCCTCTACCTGTTCCTAGACAAGGCTTATGGAAGCAACCTGTAGACTCTAGGCAATTAAGAAGCTCAACGGTTGCATTGACGAAGCCAACCAATGTGGGTCAGAGCACTGGTGATGCAAAGATAAGTAACAAAAAAAATCCTCCTTCAAAAAAGCAATCCACAAATACTTTGTCGTATCAGGATACATCAGTAGAGCGTCTTTTACGGGAGGTTACCAATGATAAATTCTGGCATCATCCAGGTAGAAATTATCTCAGTCGCTATCATTGTCTTAAAGTTTTTCTTTAATTCTAGTTAAGGTTTCTTTTAAGGCTCACTGTTTTATTCTCATTTGCATTGTAAAATTCTTTGCATGTCAAAATCAAGTGTAATTCGTTTGTTGGAGCACTACACCATAAAATTTTAGCCACTTATACATAATTTTTTATAGGATGAACTACGAATGCATTTCATGTAATATAAGGTTATGAATGCTGACTTTGTCTTAAGAAAATATGAGGAAGATATATAGTCTATTCTACACTTCTTACTTGGTGTAGCTTGCTACATGGGTTGTGAGTGGGAACTTGGTTTCCGTCTGGCTATGCATCCTTGATTAGTTAATGTTTCAAAATTTAATGTAGGTTCATTAGAGCCATATAAACCCATTCTCAGAACCCCTATTAAAAAAAAAATAGAATCCATGGGTCGAGTAATTCTACTACGAATCTAGGAGGAAAAATCCTCTTATCTCACCTGGTTCTCAGGTATCCAATCAATTAATCCTCCAAAGTGTAAAGCACCGTATCCATATAAGTACTTGCCACCTACGCTCCTCCATCCATTCCAAGTTTAGGGATGCTCCATTTTTACAAAGTAATGTTTCTTTATTCTATTAGGTGCGTACCTCTTGATTTACTCATTGTTATGATGCTTCCAACGTACGTAATTGTCCCCTCATTGTTTGACATTTGTTCTATGCACGTGGTGATTTCAGAGGAGACTGAGCTTCAGTGTGTTCCTGGCCGATTTGAATCTTTTGAAGAGTATGTGAGGGTGTTTGAACCGTTGCTTTTTGAGGAGTGCCGTGCTCAACTATATAGTACTTGGGAAGAGTTATCAGAGACAACAACTAGGGATGCCCATATGATGGTTCGTGTGAAAATTGTAGAACGAAGGGAAAGAGGTAAAATAACTTTTGTTGTTTTTTCCTTTTTTTAATTATAACTTATTTCTTTTTATTTCATGAAAATATTTCTCTTTACCTCTGACTGGTTTTATGAAAATATTTCCAATGACTGGCTGATGAGAGATCTAACATTTTATTTCAACACCTGAAAAGTTGAATTCAACATTATTTGGGGACAAGAGTGACCAATTTAGATGGTATTTCAATTTACTTGGTACAAGTGCCTTTAATGGTAATGTTCTCTGTTCAAGCTTCATTTCCGTTCGTCTCAGCAGTGTTGACTTTTGGCATGTCTTCTGTAGACTTTAATATGCTTAATTTTCTTCCTTTCTTTATACAAGTTCCAGGTCACCATTTGCATACACACTTCTAGTATGTACTAAATGATATATTGAAAAAAATGTCTTCTCTTTTCTTTAGTGCAGTCTTTAGCTCTCGAAGTTGACATTTTAAAGGAACAATCCAGAGGATAAGAAAGTTGATGTTTCTATTTTGCATCTCTCATGATAAACATCCGTGACGGTTGAGTACTTTGGAAATAAAGTCCTTTGAAAGTTTGAATCCAGACATTCTAATGAACAGGTGATAGAAATAAATTTTTGTCAGCCAGAAGGGTGGAACGTTGATTTTCATGAAAACCGAAGAAGACACTCAAAGTTGTGAATGCTCACCTACCTTGGAGCTTTTAAGATCCAATGTTCTATTTTTTAATGTGTACACGTGCAGACTTTTGCATGTTTTTACATGTTTGTGCATAAATGTGTACCTCCTTTCTGTTAGTCTATCTAGACAGTACGCCAAGCTGAATCTTTTGGTAATCTTGCAATGTTTCATGTAAACTATTTTCCTGAAGAGGAGTTGGAGAGATGTTCTAGACGGACTTGTAGTGCTGATTCTCTTTTAATGATGAAGATGATGATGATGATGATCTTGGACGGCACATTTTTTTTTCAACTTCTTCTAAATTCCTTAAAAATCTGTGGGATATTGAAACCGTTTGTTCTGTGCTTATTCTGTGCCAGAAAAAAGTAGCAAAATTTGACCTGCCAAGCTGTTAGAAATCTATGTTTTCACATATGATTTCTCCTGACTAAAACTAGATACTACATTGTGCCACTTTTTAGTGACTAATTAGTAGCCTCCTCGTCCTGAGGTATGGGTTAGTCGAGTCCATTCTTATGAGCACTTGTACTCTGAGAGCAACTTTTCCCTTCCATAGTTGAGCCTTTGATAGTTCTTTGGCTATAGAAATAGGTGGGCAGCATTGATTTCTCCAACTTGCTCTCAATTACCTCAGAAGTTGGTGTGTCAAAGGGTAAAAATAGGCCTCCTTCATGGCAACCTACCCATATATCTATCTGTTGTCGTTTATACATATAGATATATGAATCAAAGCATTGGATTGACACGTCCTTAGGTCATATGGACCACAGTTCTAACCTTCTAGGGGATTGATTTGAAAACTGTGCAGCTGATCCTCTTGGTCATCCTGTCAAGAAGATCCTCCTGCTTTTGTAGACGTAGTCTTTTTTCCTCTCATCCATCCACATTTTCGGCTTCTTTGTTATTTTGAATGCCATTCATCATATCACTCTGATATGTTGGATCATTCTGATATTTGTGTATGCTGAGAAACCACATTGCTTGGTGCCTAGACCACTAGTTCATATTAGCAAGAAGATGCAGTTATAGATGTTTTTGTTAAATTCAATTGTAGCTCATCGCCATACTTACAAGTATGGTTTCATAAAATGAGATTCTGAGGTAAAAACTTGACGACAAGCAGTTGATAACTTGAGGTCTTGAATCCGGTGTTCTTTGAAGCTTTCTTTCCTAATGCCTAGGTATGCTTCTTTGTAGGATGGTATGATGTTGTAGTCCTCCCAGCAAGTGAGTCCAAGTGGAGCTTTAAAGAGGGGGATGTTGCAGTTCTCTCATCGCGGAAGCCTACAACAGGTTTGCATACATAACTATTTGCGTGTTCACATCTTATTTCTTATACGGCGATCATGCTTAAATCAGAAATCCTAACCTGTAAATTTCCCGAGAGCAGTCAGATCCAGGAGGAGCAGCAATGCTGGCATGGGTGAAGAGGACACCAATGCAGAGGTTGGTGGACGAGTGGTTGGTACTGTTAGGCGTCACTCCCCTATTGACATACGTGAGCCCCCTGGAGCAATTTTGCACTTTTATGTGGGTGATGCATATGATTCTGGCGGGTAATGTTCGGTTTATTGCCATTTTTGTTTTTTGCGTTTTATTTCTTATTTGTTGTTAACCATGATCTTCAAGAGGTTCACCTTCACTCAGTACAACTCATCCTAGTGCAAGAACTACAGACATGTCTACTGACCCTTGGGTAGAGATGAAGTCACTGACCAGGTACGATCCAGGCAATTCAGTGTGAAGACGAAAAATGGTTTTTTCGTTGTTCTGTAAGCACGTCAGAGCAGGGTATTCAGATCATTGGAAGAAGCCTGATGTTCGTTGGATTAATAATACAGCAGCTTTCTAAGTCTGAGGACTGCGAATCTTTCCAATGTGTTGTATTTTCAGCTGGGAGCTGGGTAGTGTAGGATGTTCTACCAGTGTTTCGCAGTGATTTATCATTTGCCTCGTTGACTTTTTCCTGCCCCCCCAAAAACATTTCTGCCCTTATAAATATCACGTAGTCGGATTTCTTTTCCCCTGCGGTTCAAGGGAATGTCTTGCTGATGAGGGATATAAAAGATTTTGCAGGGTTGCTTCAAGCATAGTTCCCTTTAGTAGACATGAGATAGAGTCGCACTAGAAGCATGTTTCATCTCTGAACAAGGATTAGAATGGGCGTCATCAGTTTGGCTGTTATCTGTAGCTCGTAATGACCAGAAGAAGCGTTGACCAAGTTGGGGACAAAGAGTGGCAACCGGTCAACGTGGTTGCTAGTAAAGATCTGAACATCCCTGCAGAACCTGATTGATATTATCTCTCATTATCTTCTGATCCTATGTATCCCAACCCTGCAGAACCAATATCACCTTACTAGTCTTTCACTGTGATGGGTGATGCAATCGCACTCAATGGAAACGTGATTAAACTTTAATAAAAAATAGGTTATTGATGGCACGGCACAGCTTTCAAAAATCCCCAAATCTCGCCCAAATCCATTCATTTATATAAGCCATTTTTTTTCATTTATAGATATATTAGTTATATGTATGATAAAGTGCTTGCTGCCCAAGGATCCATTCAGAGTATTTCGATGAAATCTCAAGGGCACCAGAAGCCCAGTTGGGCTTTCATGAACAGGATCATACTGGTGCCTGTTCAGGATCTCTGAGACTGCAATCCCTAGCTGGATATGGGAGTTAGGGTTCATGGAAGACCTAAAAATGTTCCTTTTCAGCCGGATTATTCATTGATGGAAAGTGGATTGGATTAAGCTCTCTTCCATAGCTGCAGAGATGTTCTTACCGGAAGTAGAACGATGGATCTGAGACAAACTGCACACGTGGAATGAGTCACTTATGAGTCCGAAATAGCCTCTTTCTAGATCTCCTCTCATCCCCAATGAGGTCCCTCCTCCAGCTATCCTGGAGGGGATTTTCATTACCTTTTTGGATTATCCCGTATTTTATTCTTGTGGAACTTTTGGAAAATCATTTGCTGTTCTTGATGAAAAAAAAAAGGAAGGAAAATCTCTGCGGTTGGAGATTGATCAGGTGTCCTGTTTTCTAATCGATTGTGGTTTCTGCTTGGCCTGCAGCCAGATGGGCGACGACCATGTCTTGAGGAAGCTCCTTCCCAGGAGCATATGGTATCTCACTGTGCTGGGCTCCCTCGCCACCACCCAGCGCGAATACGTTGCTCTCCATGCATTCCGCCATCTCCACTCGCAGGTAGCAAACCCATTGACTCTCTCTCTTGATCTTTGCTTGCCCAACGTTGAGAATAGGAGGGTTGCTTTATTAGGCGTCGAGCTTTGTTTACGCACAGATTTATTGAAATCTTATAGCTTTCCAGATGCAAACAGCGATTCTAAAACCGAGCCCGGAGCAGTTCCCCAAGTACGAGGCCCAGCCCCCCGGCATGCCCGATTGCTTCACCCCAAACTTCGTCGAGCACCTGCACAGGACCTTCAACGGGCCGCAGCTGGCGGCTATCCAGTGGGCGGCGATGCACACCGCCGCCGGGAGCGGCGGCAGTGCCACGAAGAAGCAGGAGCCGTGGCCTTTCACGCTGGTTCAGGGGCCGCCCGGCACGGGGAAGACCCACACGGTGTGGGGGATGCTCAACGTGATCCACCTCGTGCAGTATCAGCACTACTACACGGCCCTGCTGAAGAAGCTCGCCCCCGAGAGCTACAAGCAGAACGGCGACGGCGGTGGTGCCGCCACCGAGCGGGCGGGGGCGGGATCCATCGACGAGGTGTTGCAGAGCATGGATGAGAACCTCTTCCGGACCCTGCCGAAGCTCTGCCCGAAGCCCCGCATGCTCGTGTGCGCCCCCTCCAACGCCGCCACCGATGAGCTGCTCTCGCGGGTGCTCGACCGCGGCTTCATCGACGGCGAGATGAAGGTCTACCGCCCAGACGTGGCCCGCGTCGGCGTGGACTCGCAGACCCGCGCCGCGCAGGCCGTCTCCGTCGAGCGGCGCACGGAGCAGCTATTGGAGAAGAAGCGCGAGGAGGTGGTTGGGTGGATGTCCCAGCTGCGCGCCAGCGAGGCCCAGTGGTCTCACAAGATCGCCCTCCTCCAGCGCGATCTCACCGCCGTGGCGGCCGCTGGGCGAGCGCAGGGCGGCGTCGGGGTCGACCCCGACGTGCTCACCGCCCGCGACCATAACCGCGACGTCCTGCTGCAGCACCTGGCGGCGGCCGTGGAGAGCCGCGACAAGGTCCTGGTGGAGATGTCCCGGCTGCTGATCGTGGAGGGCAAGTTCCGATCAGCGGGGGGATTCAACCTGGACGAGGCCCGCTCGAAGCTGGAGGCGAGCTTCGCCAACGAGGCGGAGATTGTGTTCACGACGGTCTCCAGCAGCGGGCGCAAGCTCTTCTCCCGCCTCTCCCACGGCTTCGACATGGTGGTCATCGACGAGGCGGCGCAGGCCAGCGAGGTGGCGGTGCTGCCGCCGCTGTCGCTCGGCGCGGCGCGCTGCGTGCTCGTCGGTGACCCCCAGCAGCTGCCTGCCACTGTCATCAGCAAGGCCGCCGGCACGCTGCTCTACAGCCGCAGCCTCTTCGAGCGGTTCCAGCTCGCCGGCTGCCCCACCATGCTGCTCTCCGTGCAGTACCGCATGCACCCCCAGATAAGGGACTTCCCCTCTAGGTACTTCTATCAGGGCCGCCTCACCGACAGCGAGAGCATCGCCGGCCTCCCCGATGAGCCCTACCACCAGGATGCCATGCTCAAGCCCTACGTCTTCTTCGACATCGTCCATGGCCGCGAGTCCCACCGCAACGGCTCCGTCTCATTCCAGAACATCCACGAGGCCCACTTCTGCCTCCGCCTGTACGAGCACCTCCACGCCGTCCTCAAGGCCGCCGCTGGTGGCGGCACCGCCGCCCGCGTCTCCGTCGGCATCATCACCCCCTACAAGCTCCAGCTCAAGTGCATCCAACGCGAGTTTGAGGACGTCCTCTCCTCTGACCATGGCAAAGACCTCTACATCAACACCGTCGATGCCTTCCAGGGCCAGGAGCGCGACGTCATCATCATGTCCTGTGTCCGCGCCTCCAATCATGGCGTCGGCTTCGTCGCAGATATACGCCGCATGAACGTTGCCTTGACCCGTGCCAGACGGGCCCTCTGGGTACCCCCCTCTCTCTCTCTCTCTCTATCTCTACATGATGATGATGATGATGATGATGATGGTCATATGTGGCAGGTTGTGGGCAACGCTAATGCCCTCATGCAGTCTGATGACTGGGCCGCCCTGATCACGGACGCCAAGTCGAGGAAGTGCTTCATGGATCTTGATAGCATCCCCAAGGAATTCCTGGGGCCCAAGAGCTCCGGCCATGGAGGCGGGAAGGCTTCCTCCAACTCGCGGGCTCTGAGGGCCGGGGGTGGGCAGCGGCAGAGACACCTGGACGCGCTTTCTGAGGCCTAGCCTCCTATTCAAGAGGACGACTCATCCCGGCTTTCCTAGACAGGCGGCCCGCCGACAGCTCCTCCGGCGGGCTGTGGCTCTGGGCGATGGACGGGCCGGTGTAGAACCTTGTGGCATCATGAAGGTAAGTCTCATCGGTGATTAATCTGATGAAGATCGATCTCTGCCAGTGGCCCGGAATTGAGTTCTGAAATACAGAGCCCACGGCAGCCGACGGCTCTGCGGCGGGGATTGCGGCTTTGCAGGACAATGGAGCCTTCCGTCGTGAAGGACCAGCAGGGAGCTCGGCGGCGGCAGCGCGCCAAGCTCGGCCGTTCTGCAACCCCAGCCCTTTGAAGAGCAGGTTCTCCATGTCAGAGATGCCGGGCGGCCGCCATTCCGCCGCCGTGGCTGGCGGCGCGATCACTCTCGGGTGTTGTTGTCTCCGGAGAGGGAGGTGGGGGAGGGCAAGCTGCTCGGTATTTGTTCATCCGTGTAGTGGCGCAGCCAGATTTCCTTGCACGTTCCTCTGATTATTCGAGCCCTGATTCACGGGGTTCCGTTCTACTGGCTCTCAATAAATCAGCGATTTTAGGTTTTCTTAATCTCTTTATTATTCCGCTGACTTGAACAGGTTTCTTTCCTAATAATTACCGTTAACCTCTGATTCCATGTCCATCCATTCTCGTAGAACCCCTGAAAGAAAAAAAAAAAGCGACCTTTCTTGTCCTCGCCTCTCTCTCTCTCTCTCTCTCTCTCTCTCTCTCTCTCTCTCTCACCGTCCAATCTGTGACCATGAAAGGTGCAGTCCAACTTGAGAGCCCCAAGCCCATTTCTCGTGCTAACAAGAGAGAGAGAGGAGAGAGAGGCCCATTAATTATAAGGGGCCAGTAACGCTGCTCGCCGCTCGTTTGCCCACAGGAGTTCCAGTGGGGCCGGACGCAGGGGTCCAGCGTTCTCGCTGAAGGGAGGGGCAATGGAGACGTGTGAGAAACGAGGACCGCTTGCTCCCTGGACATCGGCGAGATTATTCCAGGAAGAAGGTCCTTTATTAGGACAAGCGAGCGGTAAGACTGGAACGAAGACTCCTTCCCCGCCTCGTCCTTTTCTGCATTTAATAAACGCCGTCTTATTAGAGGGAGAGAAAGACCTATGCTGGAACCAGTTCGGCCACTTAAGTTTATTATTCTCAGCAAGTTTCCGCACAGTTTAGAGAGAGAGAGAGGGAGAGAGAGAGGGAGAGAAAGAGAGAGTGGGAGAGAGAGAGAGAGAGAGGGAGAGAGAGAGAGAGAGAAAGATAGAGAGGGAGAGAGGGGGAGAGAGAGAGAGAGAGAGAGAGAGAGAGAGAGAGAGAGAGGCAAGGGACGGGAAGGTGTGTGTGGGTGGCACAGGGGAGGGTGGGGAGTGGGAATTGTCGGCAGGGAGGCAGCATCATGAGGAACGTAAAAAGCATCTCCGTAAGAGCGTCCAATTTGTTTTATTAATGATTTTAAATGATTTAAATAATTTCCCGACCTCTGAAATATCGTGTCGTCCTGAGATCGATGGCTGAGGAAGCCCTGTCGTGGCGTCCTCTGAGTGGGCATTTCGGTCAACGCTCTGAAAGCAGTTGACAGAAGTAACTGAGACCGTTTCCTCGTTCACATACGGACGTAATAGTTTGGCCTCTCTCTTTGTCCTTAGCTCGCTATAATCTCTCCCTAACTCTCTCTCTCTCTCGCTATATCTCTCTCCCAAGCTCTCTTTCTCTCTCTCTCCCTATCTCGCTATCTCTCGCTATATCTCTCTTCCAAGCTCTCTCTCTCTCTCGCTCTCTCCCTAGCTCGCTATATCTCTCTCCCTAGCTCTCTCTCTCTCTCTCTCTCTCTCTCTATTTAATCTATCAGTGCAGTTCGCAGGGCTTCCTCTGAGATGAAGAGACGAGTGGAAGGAAGGAGATGAAGCGGGAGAGCTATCACTGAGTTCTCTCTCTCTCTCTCTCTTTCTGTCTCACCCACTTCGAGGGCGAGGGGGGGCCGGGGGAGGAGAGGGCAGCTTCTCGCCCGGAAGCAGATGGCGTGGGTTCGCTGGAGCTCAGACGGAGGCGACGAGGCTGTCGAATCCGGCGGCAACAGGCGGAGCGGTTCCACCTGGTTGGTGAGTTCTCCTCTCTGCTCCTCTCCTCCATCGTTTCCTTCTCCATCTTCGTCCTTGATGATTCAGATCGATCTTTCTCTTCGTCCCCCTGCCAATCGGTTCCTTCCTCTCAGAGGGCGCACGGCTCGACGCTGCTGCTGGCCTACCAGAGCTTCGGGGTCGTCTATGGCGACCTGAGTATCTCCCCCATCTACGTCTTCAAGAGTACCTTCTCGGGCAGATTGCGTCTCCACGTGGAGGAGGAGGAGGAGATATTCGGTGTCCTCTCCTTGGTCTTCTGGACCATCACCATCATCCCCCTCTTCAAGTACATCGTGTTCGTCATCGGAGCTGATGATAACGGTGAAGGTGCTTCTCCATCTTCATCTCTCTCTCTCTCTCTCTCTCTCTCTCTCTACTGGTTTTGAGACTCGGGGGGTTTCCTCAGGGGGGACTTTCGCTCTCTACTCGCTGATGTGCCGGAGATCGAAGATGGGTCTTCTGAGCACTCCCCAGGTCGCCCACGAGCACCTGTCTGCCCTAAAACCAGACCCGCCCACCGGAGAAACAAGGACGAGCTCTCTGATCAAAGAGTTCTTCGAGAGGCACCGAAGCTCTCGCGTTCTACTTCTGCTCACGGTGCTCATGGCCACCGGCATGATGATCGGCGACGGCGTCCTCACTCCGACCATGTCCGGTGAGTCTCTCTCTCTCTCTTCTTCACCCAATCCACCGTGATTTGCTTCGAGAACAGATGATTGCACCAGGGTTTCATTGGATTCGATCACGGAAAAGAAGATTACTATAATTTCGCGTGATTCAGAAGGGCGGCTGCATGCCGAGCTTGAACTCTGACTAGCCCGTTTTTTTCTTCCTCTTTCTTCATCGTCTGCAGTGCTGTCGGCAGTCTCTGGAGTCGAAGTCAAGATCTCGGGGCTGCATGAATGTGAGTACAAATAGAGGGAATGATTCTTTGACTTTAAATTCATTAAAATTTGACAGACCCATTCATCGTTAAAAAAGTTTACTTTATTTGGGAATACGGGACCCACGTTAACTTGTTAATCAACCCAGGTTCACTTCATTGGAATTCCTCTGGAAATTATTCAACTTCAGCCTTTCTTGTCATGGGATTCGTCTCAACGTCTCACACTGCAGATTCTTCTGAGTTCATTGCGTGTGTAGAAATAGTACAAATAAAATAATATACAATTATTATAATATGAACTTCGTATATAGCCTCAATTCATCTGCATGGTCTGATCCTGCAGATTCCATTCTGATCATCGCGTGCTTCATTCTGATTCTGCTCTTCGCCATCCAAAGTTTCGGGACCCACCGGGTGGGGTTCCTCTTCGCCCCGATCATGATCTCTTGGCTCGTCAGCATCGGTGGGGTCGGCATCTACAACATCGCTCGCTGGAATCCGAGCGTAGTGCAGGCCCTCTCCCCGCATTATATCATCAAATTCTTCAAGATCACTCAAAAAGATGGGTGGATGTCCCTCGGGGGAATCGTCCTCTGCATAACCGGTACCTTCTTCTTTTTATTCTTCTTCTTCTTCACCTCGGATATCTGATACGTTGCTGCCTGTGACTCCTTCGCAGGTGCGGAAGCCATGTTTGCGGATCTGGGACACTTTTCCAAGACTTCGATCCGGGTACGTAGAACCCCCCTCCACCATCCTCTGCAATCTCCGGCCGAAGGCCTACTACTGTTCTTGAGCTTAATCTGGATTGATCCGGGAGGAAGAAAATTCTTCCATCTTCGATCATGCAAGAGTTTGATCTTCCATCTCCTCACGTCTTCTATCGTAATAGGATGATAGTCGGTTAGATAATGGAAAAAAAATCTCAGATTATGATGGTCTATCCTCCTTAAATATCTTGGTCAACGCTGACTTCATTCCTGGATGGCAGTTGGCTTTCATGGGCGTCGTTTATCCCTGCCTAGTTCTGGCGTACATGGGGGAGGCTGCGTACCTTACAAAGCACAAGGAGGACCTCCGGAGAAGCTTCTACAAATCCATCCCTGGTAGAGTTCTCCTCTCTGATCTTGATTCCCATTTTAACCGATTGGTGTCTCTCATGGTTTTTATTAATCTAATTATTTATTTAGTCTAATCGATTGCTGCCGGTGTTCATATTCATCACGGCTTTTCAGAAGCATAATTGGTCCGATTTCATGCAAGTTCTTCATGCTTACTTGAACAGCAACATTTTATGATCTTGACTGATCAGATTTCACGTGGGTTTTTCTCGCAAAGTTTATAAACCCATTTAAACCGTATGATCTCTCATGATTTTATGTATTTAGTTATTTATTTCTTCTAAATAAATAACCACGAACGCTTCAATTTCATGTAAGTTTTGCTAAGCAAATGTAATGTTATGATTTTTTTATTTTTTTATAATTGATGGACCTCCAGAGCCGATCTTCTGGCCGGTATTCATCATTGCAACTCTGGCGACGGCGGTGGGCAGCCAGGCGATGATCTCCGCCACCTTCTCGATCGTCAGCCAGTGCCGGGCCTTCCGCTGCTTCCCGCGGGTGAAAGTCGTCCACACCTCCGGCGAGGTACACGGTCAGATCTACATCCCCGAAGTCAACTGGGCTCTGATGGTCATCTGCCTCGCCGTCGCCGTCGGCTTCAAAGACACCACCTTGATCGGAAACGCCTACGGTATCTCTCTCTCTCTCTCTCTCTCTATCTCTATCTCTCTCTCTCTCTCTCTCTCTCTCTACCGATCTATCTTTCTTTCTTTCTACTTACTTATCTATCTATCTACCTTCTCTGGCAGGGTTGGCGGTGATTTCAGTGATGGTGATCACGACGGTGCTGATGCTTCTGGTGATCACGACGGTATGGCGGCGGAGCCTGCTGGCGGCGCTGTGCTTCGCTGCCGTGTTCGGTTCCGTGGAGATGGTCTACCTCTCGGCCAGCCTGGCCAAGGTCCCCCATAGTGGCTGGTTCCCCCTCGCCCTCTCCCTCACCGTCGTCGCAGTCATGGCGGCGTGGCACTACGGCACCTGGAAGAAGGAGAGCTTCGAGCTTCAGAACAAAGTCTCCCTGGATAGCATTCTCAGCTTCACGCAGGACCTCGGTCTCCGGCGAGTCGCCGGAGTCGGGGTCGTCTACTCCGGCGCCGGCGCCGGCACCAGCGTGCCGCCGGCCTTCGCCCACTTCGTCACCAACTTCCCCGCCCTCCACAGCGTCCTCATCTTTGTCTCCTTCAAGCCCCTCGCCATCCCCAGGGTTCCGCCTGAGCAGCGCTTCCTGGTCGCCCGCCTCGGCCCGCCGGAGCATCGCCTCTTCTGCTGCGTCGTCTGGTACGGCTACAAGGACAGCCGGAGCGACTCCCACGCCTTCGAGGAACTCCTCATCCTCAAGCTCGCGGAGTTCCTCCGGCAAGAGGCCGCCGCCGCCGCCACTACAGGAGGCTCGGCGGAGAAGACGGTGGCGGCGCCGCTGGCAGCGGTGGAGGAGCTGATGGAGGCGAAGGAAGCCGGCGTGGCCTACCTGATGGGCCACACCCGCGTATACGCTCGCCGGAGTTCGCCGCTGCTGAAGAAGCTCGCCATCGACGTCTTCTACGGGTTTCTCCGGCGGAATTGCCGGCGGCCCGCCGACGAGCTTGGGATCTCTCCGTCCTCGCTGATCGAGATCGGCATGGTCTACTATGTCTGATGGTTTGACCCCCCCTCCTCAGAGTTGACCGGCCAAGTCCATGTGGCTGACCAGATGGGGTTTTGACTTTCCCAAAAGATGGGTCTCCGTTGTGCCAATATAGGTAGATAGCTATTGCTGACGCCTGATATATTATTTTTTGTGAAAATAATATTAAAATTATATGCGCTCAGCTCCGCTCCGTAAAATTTTAATATATATATATATACATTAATATTTTAGAAAAAGATATGGATGATAAAATGGGGGCCCTACCCTCCTATGGTCCACGTGCGTTCCATGACAAGGAACCCATATACGGTAACGAAGGATCAACGTCAAATGAGTCAATGTGGTCGATGTTGGCAACTAGGTGGGGCCCACAGGATACGACGGGCCACTCGATTGGCAGGAATGGTCAAAGGATACTTATCCTCCTGGGTACGTGGCCGAATTTCTACCATGCCCTTGCCGGACCATCCAATGCTACGGCGGCGGTGGCCGAGGAGAGAGAGAGAGAGAGAGAGAGAGAGAGAGAGAGAGATGTGCAACTTGTGCTTGAAATGAGATATTATTTAATTTAAAATAGTAAGGGATAACTTCGTTGTAATGAGATGTTACAGCGTTGACCACCGTAGAAGCCGGTTTGGTCAACACTGGAATTTGACCTTGACGAGGAGGGTACGGAACGGCTGCGTCCCCAGTCACCACCTTCAATGCGAAAGAGAGAGGGATGGCGAGAGAGACGGTAGAGGCGAGAGAGGACGTGAGAGAAAGATGGTAGAGAGGGAGAGAGAGATGACAAAGAGATGGTAGAGGGCGAGAGAGAGAATGTGGGAGAGAGATGGTAGCGAGAAAAAGAGAGAGGAAGAGATAGAGAGTGATGGTTGATGACGGTAGAGGACGAGAGAGAGAGAGAGAAACGGTAGAGAGAGAGACAGAGAGAACGTGAGAGAGTGACGGCGGACAGACGGTAGAGAGCGGGAGAGAACGTGAGAGAGTGACGGGGGGTAGACGGTAGAGAGGGAAAGAGAACGTGAGAGAGTGACGGCGGACAGACGGTAGAGAGCGGGAGAGAACGTGAGAGAGTGACGGGGGGTAGACGGTAGAGAGGGAAAGAGAACGTGAGAGAGTGACGGCGGACAGACGGTAGAGAGGGAAAGAGAACGTGAGAGAGTGACGACGGACATACGGTAGAGACCGATGACAGAGGGAGTGAGAGGGAGATCGCAGATAGCGAGAGAGAGAGGGTCGACAAGCGTCCGTTGACCTAACGGCGTAGGATCTCTAGCAACGTACGTGACGGGCGTTTCAGTGGGCCCATATCTTCGATTTTTCAAAAACTAGCACGTGAGACCTCCGATGGCAAAATAGATATTTTAAAACTAATGAAGGGTAAAAGACTCCAATCATTTCCCAACGTTCTCCTAGGGGAATTTGAAAACCCCTGGCAGATGACCGTTGGGCAGCGCGACCGTTGCCCCCCACCGCCCCCATCATCGGTCTCAGGCGCTACCCTCCTCCTTCCATTCTCCTCCTCCCACCTCTCTCTATCTCTCTTCTTCTCAAAACTTCTCTCCCTCTCTCTCCCTCAGATTTAGGGTTTTCAGGGATGAGCAACCAGGGGAAGAAGGATCATCATCCGCTACACCAGATCGCGGAGAGCGCCACCCACAAGCTGCTCCTGAAGCAGTGGCTCAAGGAGGAGGAGCTCATCGCTCGGCGGGTGGCCCTCCGGGAAGCTCGCCTCGACGGCCTCCGTGGGGAGATCGCCTTCCTCTGCTGTGCCTTCTTCGTCTTCCACTCCACCGCCCTCGTCGTCCTCTTCCCTGCGGCCGCCGGCGGCAGTGGCAGCGCCGCCTGCCGCCGCTCCTGGATCCCTTGTGTGGTGTCTCTGGCCTGCTCCATGGCGATGGTGTGGGCCATCCGGTACAAGTCGGCGGCGGAGAAGCAGGCGGAGAGCTTGTTGCAGAGGGAGGAGGAAGACGGGCGCCTGTTGAAGAGGTGCGTGGAGGAGCTCAAGAGGAAGGGGATGGAGTTTGATCTTCTGAAGGAAGTGGACGCCCTCCGGAGGGCGAAGAGCCTCCGGGTTGAGGCCGCCGGCGGCGGCGTCGGCCGCTGGTCGGGGAGGGACTTCACCATCATGTTCTTCGTCGCCGCCTCCGGCGGAGTCCTGGTGCTCACCAGGCTGGTGCTCTGCCGCTAGGTCCTTTAGAGGGAGAAAACTCGGTCGTCATGGTTTAATTTTTTGATTTGCAGAAGGGTCTCGATTCTGCAACAAAAGAAAGGAAGAAAAGAAAGAAATAGGGAGGAAGGAAGGGGTGATTCCTGTCAAGATTCTGCCATGGCGTTGACTATCGTCGGGGTCGATTGATTCCGAATAATTATGCGTAGCGCCGTTTTTTTTTTTTCTTCAGGAGTCGCCCGCCCCTGCTTTCTGTTCTTGAGGTTCTTTCTCTCTTGGAATTTCGAGATGTAGGTTAGCCCACAACACCCCCGTTAGTTTTCTGTGTGGGTTAGCCTAAGACAACACGAAAGAGGTAGAGAGGTAGAAAAGGAGAGAGAGAGAGAGATAGAGATAGAGAGAGAGAGAGAGAGAGAGAGAGAGAGAGAGAGAGAGAGAGAGAGAGAGAGAGAGAGAGAGAGAGAGAGAGAGCATGGAATATTCTTCTATCTTGTGTCCCGAAACTCTTGGGGCAGGCTGAATAAAAAAATGGGGTTGGGCTCAATATTATAAAAATCCAGAATAAAATGGTCAAAGATGAAAGGAAAACGGCCAAATCTGAGAGAAAAAGTGGCACGAGAAGAGAAGAGTAGGAGAGAGAGGCGTTTGGTACATAGAAGAAGCCCTAATTTGCAATATCTCAAAAAAGTGTTCATGTGAAGAGAGAGAAAATACCCTAAATTGTTCATGCTATTTTCCAATAACATGGAAAATAGAAGGTAAGTAATAAATGCTCCAACGTCCTCTGCACTATTCTTTTGACTTGTGCAATAAATGTCAACACTCCCCTTTAATACAAAAGGTCTAACACCAAATGATTTATGAAATTTAATAGACTTAATTAATTTAATACATTTATACAATCATTGACAACTTAATCATCAGTAGAGAAAGACTAGAATAAACTGATGATGACTTTCAATTTGCTTTGACATTCCATGAAATAGTAGATTCTTTCTCAGCTTGCTTTGATATGTTTTGATATGTAGAATTTTGATATGCTTTGATTTGTTGTCACAATAATTCAATGTTGTTGTTGATTGTTATAAGTTGACATCTTCTAAGATTATTTGCATTCATGTTTCTTACTATGAAGTCATTATTTTTTGTAAATTTTTGTTTTTTAGAAGTTCATGAAATTGTACGTTTTCTATTATAAATAGAATCTGACCAATCATCATTAATAAAATCAAAAAAATTAAATTTAGAAACATGTTGAAAAAAAATTATACAATTGTTGGTCCCTCAAATATAATGAAGAATACATTTCGTTGTTCCAAGATGAGGAACCAATGGATGATACATAAACTTATAAATCATGCTAACCAAAATATTCATTTATTTTTGTAGTACCAAGGTGAGTATAAAATGTTAGACCTTAAGCTACCAACTAAGCTTCTATAAAATGTTCATTTATTTTTGTAGTACCATTATCAAGATATAATTTTCATTAGTATTAATTAGTATATAATAAATATTAAAAAATGAACATATTAAATTTCTTGAATAAACAAAATGAATATTTCTCTTGTGAAATGAATATATCATAATTATTTCAAATAGTTTAAAGTATGATAAAATAATATTAGATTCTAAATCAATAATGAAGATGTTCCAATACATAATGTCATAAATATAGGCACATAATTAGAATATCTTTTTCTTGAGTTTTGAGATAAAATGTTGCCCTATTATCACTTTTATGAAAATTATGTTTATAAAAATATGAATCTAGTCTACTATATTATACTCTTGGCGCTTGCTTTAGTCTATAGAATGACTTCTTTATTTTTTTAATTTTCACATCAATAATAAAACTGTGTGACTATCAAACATGTACATCTTCACTTAAATAATCATTCAAAAGTATTAAATGAACGTTGAATAGAAATATATTTTATTTCATTTTTGCTGCTAAACTCTTTGCTTCTTTATTACATTCTCAACTAACTCCTAGAAGTCTTGTGAGATAAAAACATCCTCATTTTAATAAATTCAAAAACCATATTTCTCTTCATTAAGAAATAATGTAAGTTGTTGTGAGAGGTTGAGGGAGTTAATGGTTGATATACTTATAGTCAATGGTGTTGCTTCTTCCCAAAAACTTTACACAAATGCTTCACATTTGTTGCAACGGTCATAAGTCTTTACACATTCACTAACATCACTTTTGAATCACCCTTGATGTTATTGTGACCTCCATAGTAAAAAAAAATCTAATATGACAAACCTAGAGCTTTAATACCACTTGTAGGAAAAATATGCTGCAAAGATGGAGATAAAATGACCAAATATGAGTGAAATAATTGTAAGAGGAGGAGAAGAGTTTGGTGCTCAAAAAAGGCCCTAATTCATAATATTTCAAAAAAATGTTCACAATGGGAAGAGAGAGTATTTAAAGAGGAGAAAAAACCCTAAAGTGAGTTGGCTCCCTTGAGCTCAAAAACATACAAAAGAAAATATAAGTAATAAATACTCCAAAATATTCCAAATTATTATTTCACTTTTGCATTAAATGCCAACACCCTCACTCGTTCCCCTCCACCTACCTCTCTCTCTATCTCTCCATCTCTCCATCTCTCTCTCTCTTTCCTTGTTGTTTTCTTCCTCTTTATCTGTCTTTCTCATTCTTCTTCTTGTTGTTCTTCATCTTTCTCTTCACTTCTTCTTGTTCTTCATCTCGCTCTCTCTCCTTCCAACTCTCCCTCCCTCTCTTTCTCTCTCTAGACTCTCTCTCCCTTATTGAGCACATGATAATCTATGAAGAATTGCCAAGATATATCTTTTTTCCTCACTAATAGGGCTAGTCTAGAATACAGACTAATGGAGTACATGATTATACAAGCACTACAAATTTCTTAGACTAACTTCTGTATTTTAGTCTTTGAAACATAAGGGTACCTGAATAGTCATACATTAATTGTCTTGGAGTTCGGTTCCAATACAACTATGAGGTCAATTTCTCTCTTTGGTGAGAGTTATGTCAAAGTTGGAGCTTGTTGTTCCCATACATTTATAGTAATTATATCAATGTCATTGACATTTGATGTGAGTTGGTACAATTCAATTAGGAGATTGTTCTTTTGCTTTAGGGTTTTTGATAGCATCTTTAGGGAAATTCCTTGCATGTTTGATTAAGGATCAAGTCATGATCACCTAATATTAGTTCATGATGAGTAACATGTTTGTTTATTTCATGTTTAATTCTCTTTATCATATTATTCATTTATTTTATACCTAACATGAGATTAGTCTTTGCCAAAAGGAGGATTACTAAATCTTTTTTGATTGTCAATGATTATAATTATAGTAGAACTCCTTAGTACATTCCCATGCTCTCTACTTTTTCATCACTCTCTATTACTATTTGAAATTCTATCTTGGCTACGATCAAAATATTTAATTATTGAGTAATTTGTTTTGAAATAAAATTATATTATGTTGATGTCCATTAGGATAATGATTGTTCGTCTATCTATGCAACCTTGAAATTTAAATATAGAAGGTAATGATTCATTTGGAATGGAGTTATCTAAAAGCTCTATGTTCAACAAATTTGAGGGTGCTAGTTGGTGAAAAAAATACTTGTCTTTAGTTTCTGATACCTCAGAAGGGTCTTGTCAACCATTAGGATTTATAACTCATGTTGATATATATGGTCTAAGGTGTATTTTTCATCACATGAGAAACATAGGCCTTGGACATGTTAAGCTCAAATTTCAAATGAAGTAAGTGTTATGTGAATTTTTATGATATTTGCCTTTGGTGCTCTTAGAGGGACCTTTGATCATTTTTTTTTGCCTCTTAATTTCTCTACAATGGAATTGATATGTTTCAAGACCTTTTGACTTCTAAGATAATAGTCATATATTGATGGATTTATTAGTCCTTAGATGGCTCAATGTATGAAGAGAGAGATGGTGAATTGATTTTGAATTTTTTGAATTATAATTTAATTTGTATATTTAGTTTCTTTTTTTCTTCTTAGATTAAGGGTGTGTTATTTATAATCTGAGGATGAAGATAATTTATTGATTAACATGAGGTTTTTAGACTGATTTGACTTGTCAACTTTATATTCACTTCTTAAGTCAACCTACCTTAGATTTCTATTATTCACACGTTATGATTTATAATTTGTTGACATATGAGGGAAAAACCTTATAATCTATAAAACATCAAAGTAGAATACATAATTCTTATATATGAGAGATGAGAGATGAGAATAGAAATAGATGATGCACCATAGTGGGTTGAGAGTCCAATATTAGTATTTAACACTTTTCCTCAAGTTAGAGCATATAAGTCGAACATGTTCAATTTAGTACGCGTGGCTTCATAGGAGATGCTGAACATACTCTTTGTGAAGATGTCTACAAGCTGATGAGATGAATGTCTTATGAAGAGTAGAGATAAGTTTGGACATAATCTTATCTTGAATGTAGTGAGAGTCAATCTCAATATATTTCATACGCTCATGAAAGGTGAGGTTGCCGACAATAAAGATGGTGGCTTGATTATCGTAATGCATGGGCATTAGAGAGGGAGAAATAATATCAAGATTGTTGAAAAGTGATTGAAGCCATATTATTTATTGTGCTATCTCAGCCATAGCTCGATACTCAAATTCCGTACTAGAATAAGACACCACCTTTTGTTTTTGAAATTGTTAGGTGACTAGGTTATCACTAACGTATGTGCAATAACCCGTAGTAGATTTTCGATCGCCATTGTCACATGGGATACTCGGAGTCAGAATAGACTACAATGTAGAGATGATTGGGTCACCGATAAATTAACCCTTTTCTTAGGGCTCACTTGATGTAGGCGAGGACTCATAAAGCTCCTTCTTAATAAACTCGTTGAGACTTATACATGAATTGACTTAAGACACTAATCGTGTACACAATGTTAGGACAAGTGATGGTGAGATATATCAACTTGCCCAACAATTGTCAATATCGGTTAGCATCCTTGAGTAGGGGAGATGAAGTGTCTCGAAATTGTAGGCAAGCTTCTATGAGCCAAGTTTTTGACTTGTATCCAAAAAGACTTATGTCCTAAAGTATGTCAATGGCATACTTCTACTAGGTGAGGACAAGTTTTCCTATCTTGATACGCAAACTCAATCTCAAGGAAATACTATGGAGTCTCTAAGTCACGAATGTTGAAATGTTACTATAAGTGGGTTTTGATAGTAAAGATGTTAGCCTCATCACTTCCAGTCACAAGAATGTCATCGACGTAGACTACAAAGATGAAAAGGCCCCCCTCTGTCTTCTTCATGAGCATGGTAGGGTGGAAGGGCTGACAAAGTCGGTTGGGGCTAGATGGGGCTGGCTATGCTGCGTTGGGTTGTGTTGGGCCGTGTTGACTCATCGGGAGGCCGGTGGAAGCATAGCTGCCGTGGCCGGATGGCAACGGCTACGGCAATTAGGGCGAGGGGTGGTGATGGTGGTGATGCGATGGTAAGGGTGAGGGGTGGTGATGGTAGTGATGTGATGGCGAGGGCATAACGACAAGGGTGAGGGGCGACAATGATAGTAGTGCAACACCAAGGATTGATGCTGACGGTGCCCCCAATAAGGACCTTGACAGCGACAATGACAGTGGAGACATTGGAGAACAAGAGAAGAGCAATTGACAAAGGATGACGGTGGCAAGGAGAGCGGTGCCGAAAGGAGAAGGAGAGTGATGATAGAGATGACAACACCTGAAGAGGGAAGAGTGGCAGCGTCGAAGAGCTACCCAAGGAGGGAAGAGTGGCGGTGTCGAAGAGTTACTCAAGGAGGGAAGAGGCCAGTGAGGAGGAGAGTGGTGTGTTAGAGACCGGCGGCACACCAAAGAGGAGGACAATGACGAGGGAGACCTATGGTTCTGATACCATGTTGACACATAAAGAAAAAACCTTAGAATCTATAAAATATTGAAGTAGAATACATGACTCCTATATAGGAGAGATGAGAGATGAGAAGAGAGAGGTAGATAATAGGCCCTCATGGGTTGAGAGTCTGATACCACTATTAAACATAATTAATTTATGAGTTCAACTTGCCACCAACTCTATAAACTTCTTTTTAATATGTGTATCTCTATTAAAAACCACACTTTTATCAACCTTCATTGAGATATGGGCCCTCCACATGCCTCACTCCCTGTTCAACACACCGCAAGTGTTTGAGAAGTATTTGAGTTCACCACAAAAGCTTTTGATACTATTGAACTCACTATAATAGTTAGACTAATTATTTAGACATAACATAGATACTTGTCGACTAACTATGTGTACCACAAGTATTTATAGACCATAAGTGTTCAAATGCACAAACACCACATGTGTGCCACTCAAGCACACCACATGTATACGATGTACATCTTAGCACATCACATGTACTTAGGGACTGATTTAGCTTATATTAGGAGTTGGACCTTTGATTAAGTACATTACATGTACTTATTGGATTGCCACACTACATATGCTGGACTTGAGCATGAGCACACCATAAGTGTTCAAATGCAGCAAATGCAAATAATATGTAAGAATAGAGCATGAAGAACATAATAATAATTGTTATGACCTTGATTTTGTTCGTTGTTTGCTGATACTTGAGTGAGGATATAAAGTTTGTTGAGATTAAAATAAGAATAAGAGAGAGATTGAGATTCCCAAAGTTAATAGTTTCTTTACTTTGCTTCATGGTTTTCTTCTAATCTTATAAAATTTTGCAAAAGGTAATCTATAATGAGGCAAGATGGTTCTTTATAACTTCAGCTTATTGAGTTTTAAATTCTAGAAATACAAATTAATCTTAAAATATTAATATTATTTTTGATAACTTGATAATTATTGATGAAGCCATTTGATACAAAAAATCTAAATGTTAAAGACTCACACATAGAATGATGACATATTATCTATCTTACACATTCTTCTTATTATATTCATACCCACACATCTTTAATATTTATGCCCTTGATGACAATCAAGTTAGTCAAAGATATTTCTAAGATCATCAATTAGATTCCTTCTATATCATGTGAAGTTACTATAATGTCTTTCAATACATGTAATTATCAACAAGATTTCAACGTCCAATCAATTTCTAATAAAATATCATTAATTTTATAATTTTAAATTAATCTCTAAAAAATTTCATAATAATATTGAGTTAATCCATAACTCAACATGATCAAGGGTAGTAGTTTTTTAGTTTCTCGCTAATTTTCAATGGTTTAAGGGTAGGATTTTCTACTTCCACTTTGGTTTCTCTCACTATTTTTTAATGGTTGAGAGAAAGATTCCCACTTCCACTTTTTGTGCCACTTGCATAATCACCTTCAACCTCACATACTCTAATATGCAAAAAACTTGACTATCTCATTTTAGTCCTTTGAGAATTATATTTTCAAAGATAGGCTCTAACAAATCTCAATTATGGCATCCATTAACTTGATTTTTTCTTGGTATTCTGCTATGGAACCTTACTACTAAATCTCTAGAAAATGTTGACATAAGGAGCTTAATTGCTTGTTACTAAATCACTCTAATAATTGTTGTCAGAAATCCTCCTAATTCATTAAAGAATTCCATTTTGTCATACATAAGAGATTTTCTTTCCAGACTCATTCTGATGGTCATTAACTTTTGCTTGGGTCAACTGATGTATAGAGAAAAAAAGCTTGGCTCGAAAACTCAACCCTTTTGGATTTTCACTGCTGAAAAGGAGCATTTTGGATTTTCATCTTGTTTGTTAGCTGCAGCAGTTTTCAATCCTTAGTGGAGTGATCCTTGTCAACTAGTCTGTGGGTATTCGTATGACGGGCAATCATCTCATTGCCCAAGAAAAATAGGGTAGAAGGGTCATGACTGGATTCCTTATCCCACCTTCCTACAACCATGTTGCCAATGACTTGTAATTTGTTAGGAAGCGCATGTGATAGCGATGGGCTAAGTTGTTGATGAAATTCTTCCATAGCCTGCATAAAAAATTCCAAGTGTTAGACAAGTGTGGAAAAAGTTGTCTTGATCAAGGAGAGTGGCCACATCCCTTTTGATATTGAGGAGATGTCATGTTGGATCTCATCAAATATCTTTCTCCAAGTGCTCGATCATGTTGCTTGTTTTTGGTGACATATTGACTTTAATATTAGTTGATGGGACATAAGTGTAAGTGAGGGTGGATTCTAGTCAATGACACAAAGGGAAGGATCCAACATCAACTGAGAGTCAATGTCATCAGTTTGAGACGACTTTGAGAGGGCCCAATGCCCTTCTTACTGAGACTTTCCTACTACACTTCCCACACCCTCCCCTCAGAGCCTGACCTATTTTATAGAACATTTTAGTTCGCAAGATGCTACTAGTTGGTTGATCTCCTACGAATTGGTTGACGATTTTGGTGTCTTTTGACCTTCTCTCTCCATGTGTTGCCTGCTATGTTTTTTTTCTTGTTTAACCATCAAAGCCACATTCGTTGTATTACCAGAAGAAAGCTTATACACCAGTTCATCGATCTGTCATATAGATATTGCCTGCTATGTTCTTCAGGGATGCTTGGGGTTTATGAGGATCATTTCACTCTGCCACTAGGCATTTTACAGAGAGAAAGCTCACTTGCTTGCTTGAGGTCTGTCATGGTTTAATTTTTTGATTTGCAGAAGGGTCTTGATTCTGCAACGAAGGAAAGGAAGAACAGAAGGAAAGAGGAAGGAAGGGGTGATTCCTACTCTCCTACGAGTAGTGTAAAATTCTTCTATGGCATTAAGTGTCATCGGGGTCGATTGATACTGAATAATTATGCGTAGTGCCATTATTCTTCTTTAGGAATTGTCCGCCTCTGTCTTCTGTTCTTGAGGTTCTTCTCTCCTTGGGGATATTGCACGATGATGCTAATTAAGAAGGGTTTCTTTGTGGGTTGGACGTTACCCCAAGACGAGAGGGGGGGGGAGAGAGAGGGAGAGAGAGAGAGAGAGAACTGGCGGCAAAGTCGCTCTCATAGTGGGGTGATATTCGGTGGCTAATTCAACAGGGTACTCGCCCAGAATTGAAGAAGAAGAGGAATGCGGAGAGAGTAACAGTAGAGAGAGAGAGAGAGAGAGAGAGAGAGAGAGAGAGAGAGCATAGAGCATTCTTCTGCCTTGTGGCCTAGGAACGCATCAAAGCTCTCGGGCCTAGATGAACAAGGGAGATGGGGTTGGGCTCAATATACATGACTTTCAGTATTTACGTTTCATGAAGTTAACCAAACAAAATCCAGACCCCGAAAATAATAATAACATACATTCTTCTTAGATCAACGACCCGCGTCATTCATTAAAAACGCGATTTTTCACCAGAAGCTCGACCCTCTCTCTCTCTCTCTCTCTCTCTCTCTCTCTCTCTTGGTGGTTGCACTGTCTGAGAGCAGCGAGTGGGAGGTGATAAGCTAAATGAGAGTGTGGCCACCGGAGGGGGAGATCGGCAACGGAGACGGCGGCCCGGTTGTTGACGTGCTGATCGAAGTAACACCACCGCCGCCGCCGGCGGGCGGAGTACTGGTGGTGGTGGCCGTGTAGGAGCTACTGAGGTCGCCGAACTCGAGTGCCCTGAGGTAGCCGGGCTTAGCGGCGACCTCGTCCACCTCGGCGTCCCCGGCGAGCATAGCGCCGACCCGCGACATCGCCGGGCGGAGCACCGGCGGCGCCTGCGTGCACAGCAGCGCCACCGCCACCAGTCGAGCCGCTTCTTCTTCGTTGTACCACGACAGACTTGGGTCCATCATGTCTAGCACGCTCTCGCTCTTGCTCTCCCGCAGATTCCACACCTGCGCCGCAAACAAAGAACCGGAGAGAGGGTCTTGAGAGAGTCTATAGAGGGTCTAGAGGAGAGAGAGAGTCTAGGGAGGGAGAGGGCTGACCCATTCAAGGAGGTAAACCCTGTTGCCGTGCTCGTCCAGGGCGGCGTTGGGCCTGCCGGAGAGGATCTCGAGGACGACGACGCCGAAGGCAAAGACGTCCACCTTCTCCGTCAGATGCCCCGTCATGGCGTACTCCGGCGCCAGGTACCCGCTGCAGAAACCAGACAAGACAGAGAGATGGATAACTTGACAGATGGACGAGCTAGAGAGGAAGAGCAGGAAGAAGAAGAAGAAGAAGAAGAAGAAGATGAAGATGATGATGTGAATAGAGGGAGAGAGAGAGAGAGAAGATTGTCTCAGAGAGACGAGCTGCATTGAAGGAGACTGCTTCTGCCTGACTCACATGGTTCCCGCGATCCTGGTGGTAATGTGGGTCATCTTCTCGTCGTAGAGCTTGGCGAGGCCGAAGTCGGAGATCTTAGGGTTCAGATCGCCGTCGAGGAGGACGTTGCTGGGCTTCACGTCCCTGTGGACGATCCTCAGTCGCGATTCTTCGTGCAGGTACGCCAGTCCCCTCGCCATCCCCACGCAGATCTCGTACCGCACCGCCCAGTCCAGCTGCAACCCCCCCCCGCTGCTCCCTGCAACTCCGGCGCCGCCGCCGCCCACACGCCGGTCGTCGGTTCCGGAAGAAGAGAAGAAAACGAAGGAAGAAGAAGAAGGAGGTGATTAGGGTTACCGAAGAGGGCTCGATCGAGGCTGTTGTTCTCGAGGTACTCGTAGACGAGGAGCCGCTTCTCCTTCTCGAAGCAGCAGCCGAGGAGCTTCACGAGGTTCCGATGCTGCACGGCGGAGATGATGGAAATCTCCGCCAGGAACTGCCGCTTCCCCTGGTGTGACGTCACCGAGAGCTGCTTCACGGCCACCGTCCTCCCGTCGGGGAGCTTCCCCTGAGACCATCCAAGCGGAAGGAAGGCGATCAGGCCATGGCCATGAGCTTGCCCACCGTTCTTCTTCTTCTTCTTCTCTCTCTCTCTCTCTCTCGACTTCTTCTTCCTCTCTCTCCTTTCTTTCTTCTTCTTCTTCTAGTCGCTATACCTTGTAGACGGGGCCGAAGCCGCCCTCACCGAGCTTATTCTCGGCGTTGAAGTCGCCTGTCGCATCCCTCAGCTCGGCGTAGCTGAACGTGTGCGGCCGATCACTTATATCTTGGAAATCTGTAGAGTAAGCCGTTGACGTTTCGTTCAATCCGTTGACATTTTGGAGAAGAAGAAGAAAGAAAGAAAGAACGTACCGGCATCGTCCTGCAGAGTTGACTTCCTCCTCCTAATCTGCACCCATTTCAGACACCCGAAGAGAAGCAAAAAGAACACCACCGCGGCGCCTCCTACGGTCCCACCAATCAGAATCTTGTACTTGTTCTTCCTCGACGTTGACCCCAGCGGGCGATTGCTGACCGTCGGCTCGAAATCTGAAGAACGAACATCCCCAAAAAAGTCAGGAGACGACGCAAAATCCGCCGTCAAAAAAAGTCAAACTTTTTTAAGACATAAAAAGCATTTCTTCTTCTTCTCATGTTTTGAATTTACCGAACGGAGACAAGCTGATGGCGGAGATGGCGGGGCCGTAATATCCCTGCCGGGGGATGCAGCAGGTGCCTCTCCCGGACCAGAAGAGGTGGACCTCGAGGAAGTTGCTGGTCACCGCCGCCGTGTACTGCTTCGCCACCGCGTCGAGTGAGACCCCACCAGCTTCCTGCTTTATGTTGAAGTCTTTCTCCACCCGCACCCCCTGGTAGAGAGAGAAACGATGACAAAGAGAGATAGAGTAGAGAGAGAGAGAGAGAGAGAGAAGGAGAGAGAGAGAGAGAGAGAGAGAGAGAGAGAGAGAGAGAGAGGAACCTGGATGTAGATGTCGAAGACCCGGCGACCGTTGCTCTGCCAGACGGGGGAATCAGGGTAGGCGGTCTCTGCGAATTGGAGCTTCACCGTGTAGTTCCCGTTCTCCAGGCCGAGGCCGTAGTATCTGAGAGAGGAGGGCGAGAGCCTGGTGGACTGGAAAAGCTCGGAGTCGAAGGTGTTGGTGAACTGGGAGAGGCTGTTCTCCACGTAGCTCACGTTGGGGGAGTTCACGAACAAGCCAACGGTGCTGACTCCCCACTTCTGGGAGTCGGTGACGAAGGAGGAGGCCGTGGTCAGGGTCGCCCCATCGGCTTCGTACAGGATTCCGTCGGAGGCGGCGATGCTCCTCACACCGCCGCAGTTGATGCCGAACGAGTAGTCTGCGGGTCGAATTTTAGAGAGAGAGAGAGAGAGAGAGAGAGAGAGAGAGAGGCTAAATTGGAGGACTTACATAGAGGAGAGCCGCGATTGCATGGCCAACCCCGCTGCAGGCAGTTCAACCCTGCGGGGACACTGTCCGGCCAGGTATTTGAGTAGATGAAACGAGTAGGGGAGAGAGAGAGAGAGAGAGAGAGAGAGAGGGTTGGTTGAGCACCTGGTGTTCGAGCTATCGATCACGAAGTTGTTGGCCACCAAGTTTCTGCAATAGGGCAATGTGGAAGGAAGGAATTTGATTAAGCAACTTCACAACTGAAATATTTCCATTCTGCAAAGCGAAAATCATGGATTTCCGAGGAAATGATAGATATATGATGAATAAAAGAGTGCATTTCACTCTTTCAGAAAATCATGAGTTTCCATGGCATCAGATGGAAGGCAGGGCAAACAGATGCCGGGAGAAATCATGGGCATGGTAGTCAAGAAACTTCAGAATCAGGGAAGCCTCTGAGTGTCCTCGTGAGAGAGGGATTTATCATTCTCAGACTTACAGTTGCAGGTTTTCTTCGTCGATCCATCCCGGTATTCCTCCAGAGAGATAATTGTAGGACAGATCACTGCAAGGGAAACAACCCACATTCTCAACTGCGTGGAATCAACTTTTAGGACAAAAACTATGTGGCACCATTGAATATGGATCAGCCAACAATCAAGATGCGTATGTATATTTATGCACACATGGATGTATGTATGCATGGATGCATGTATGTATGTATAAACATCCGGAAAGGGGTTTGCCCACTTAAAAACAGATCAACACTGCAAGCATGGATGGATGCACGCATAAATGTATGTATCTATGTATAAAATATACGGAATGGGATTTGCCCATTTGAAAACAGATCAACAAGAACCAAATTTTATCCGACTCAACCAACTAACCATGTAGGCCATGGGCTAAACATTTGGCTAAGATCATGAATTTTGCAAATGTCGTAGTAAATGATAAATGAATACAGTAAATTTAGCGCATACAAACCCACATATTTTTCAGGGTGGAGCTCTTCACAGATGGCAGGCTACCAGAGAGGCTGTTGTTCCCAAGGAACCTGTGAGTAAGAACAACATGAGACATACAGGATAATTATGGATATGAAATATGAAATTCTTGAAAACAGGCATTTTCCATTTTGAGGAAAGTAAATTTTCTTACAGGTATGCGAGTGAAGGTAAACTGAAGAGCGATTGTGGAATTGGACCCGTTAGATTGTTGAAGCTCAAGTCCCTATTCGGATTCGAGGGAAAAAAAAAACCAAACTTGGATAAAAAACACAAGCAATCGTTCCCACTGTCGCTTTGAGAATCAGACAAATTATTTTAACAAGACTTTGGAATGAACAACTCACAGAATCCCCAAACGTGTGTATTCCTGAATGTTGGAAGGAATCGTAGCAGATATTTTGCTGTTCCTTAATATCCTGAACAGATAATGAGTAGATTGCTACCAAGTGCCCGAAAAATATTTGCTTTTTCATTAAATGGGTTGAAGGTGTAGGGTCTCACAGAATGGATAGATTTTTCATGTTCCGAATAAAATCCAACGACAAGCTCCCTTCCACCAAATCCCCTATTCTCCTGCATTTTACAGTGGGCATATCTATCAGAGTTATTATTGATAAATTATCTGTAATGCAGAAAACCACTCACAGATCATTCATCTTGGTGAGGTTGGAAAAGCTAGAGGGCACTGGGCCTTGGAAGGAGTTACCCTGAAACCTCCTACAAGAAGATTAGAGGGTTAAGGACCAAAGTGGGTAGTGAGAATTCATACAAGGAACGTGGTAATCTAAAAAAAATAGGGTTATTTATCATCAGATATCAGTTTCCTGATGGATATGTTGAGCCTTCCATCTCTATGGGAATGTAATAATAAAACATGATAAAATGTTGCGACCACACATGAAGTTAGGGTGATCAACGCCTCATCATGAGAACATAGTTGCCGCGATTGGTTTTATTCTGTGAAGGTCATCAGTCACAAAGCTTTAACTGCGCTAGATTTAGAATGATTGGGAATTTTTGTCAATGCTGACGAGTGCAATGGACAATTCTTGGCTTCTGGCAAGTCCATGCCCTCATATATATGTAGAATTATATTGCACAATCACTTCTTTACCCTTCTACGATCCACGTCTCTTTGCAGGATCTTTTTATTTATAAATTAACAATGCGACTCTGGCTGGCGATTCTGTACTGTCCCCATTATGTACTACCCTTCGCATTAGGTTAGATGATGCAGCGCCATAATTTCTCAATCATAAATAGGATCTTCAGATATGACAGAGCCTGGATTTCAAATAAAAAGACACAAGAGCCGAGTTTAGCAAAGGCACGAGTGAGGAGCACAAGGATAGATTTCTTCTGGAGACAAAAAGCGAGGATTAGGAATGGGAGATTATCAGGGAGATAAAACTTCAGGTAACTAAAGGTATGGTTTCACTAAAAGTAGAAATGTAGGAAGAAATAATGATTTTCTGGAATTGACGTGCACTGGAAGGTGTGGAAAAGATCTGAAAAGTAAGGAGGCAGGATAATTCTCACTACTTTTAGGAACTTGGACAATGAGATTATGTCAGATTTCACTGGAGTAGACAAGGGAAGATGACCCTTCCGACGAACCATTGAACTTCAATAGAAAATCGATGCAACTATGTATGGGGCAACCCCATTAGTTTCCTGCCAGTGCCAACGAATGATTCTTCATGGCTTGAAGAGTTTTAATAAAGGTGTTCTTCTTGTCTATCGGAAGCCGTGCCTAAGGAAACACAATTCTAGATGATATTGGTGCAATAACCCCAGATAGCCAAATTCTGACTTTCAAGTTAGATCCTAACAATAATATAAAATCGAGAGAAAGTGCAGGCCACTATGTTGTTAACATCAATAAAAACATCTATATGATCAAATAGTGCACATATCAAATTGCAATAATGCTAGCAAGCTCAATTTGCACAGTGCAATAACCTGAAGTGGGGATGAGGCTTGGTAGCATACATTTGCAGCAAGATAAAGGTTTCACTTCATTCACATGCGTTAGTCACGTTAATAATTGAAAGAACATCATCCAGCAAAATCTTACAGAGTGTTGAGGTCTGTCCAATTCCCAATGAAGTCAGGTATTTTTCCAGTGAAATTATTGTCAGAGGCCCACCTAAACATGCAAAAAAATGGTCATAACTTGGTTTTTATTTTTACTGAATCCACATGTAAGTGTTCAACGTACACAATTTTCAGTTTTCTAAGATTTGAGAATGACGATGGTATCTGACCGCTCACCCCTGCACTAGCAATGTACCTGCTCAAAGACAATAGTATCAAAAAGTGCATCATTCCGGTTGATTTTTCCACAGATAGAATAACATAGTGTGTACTCCTAACCAAAGCATTAGCTAATATCAGTCGTTTGCTAACTGGAATAGAAAAGTTGCAATAGAAAACTGACAGCCGAAATATTTTTCCAAGGAACTAAAATTCATCATCTAATCAATAAATGTGTTGAGAAGGAGAAACTGACAACTGCTCCATCTCTGTCAAATTCCCTAACTCTGGGGGTAGTGGCCCAGTGAACCTATTGCTGCCACAGCTCCTGTAAAAAGATAGATAACAAAAGCTGGGTCAGCAGCTGCAAGTGTGCAACAATGCATTCCAATCATTGTAATGTTTAAAACGGCAGACGAACTTCTGAACAGAAGGAATTTGTCTTAGACCTCTATCTACAAACAATCCTATCATAGATAGAAGCCATGATCATTGGGCAAGGCTAGCATATATTTCCTCATAACAAGCGTTGTCCAGTGATAATCGCTTCTGTCCATGTATGGTTGTTTATAGGTACAGGTCTGAGACAGGTTCTTCTAGCCAAAGCGGACATGCATTTATAGAGAAAAAGGTTAGATGGATAAAAATGACATTATTTTTCATTCGCTTGGCAAAAAAATTTGCGGACAAAAAGCAATTTGAGAATTAGTAGGTTGATACTGTAGTAAGCAATCTGTACCAGTAGGTTAGTCGTTTGACATATGGAGGCATCTTAGACATGAGATATTGTGATATATAAGAAATCGTCGTTGACCATGTGAAATTTGTGGGCAGAAACTTTATCTATCTTAGGAAAACGAACATAAATTCATTCCATGACCTACAAGGTCGATTAATTTTGCATAAGAAAGAAAAAAAGTTTCTACACCCTAGTGGATTGATATCAACTCCATTGCTCACTTTTCTTTTGAATATCAGACCCCCACTACAATTTATTGGCATTTTTCCAGCACGCTTGCCTTCCATGGGGTAAAATGAAATAAAAGCACCCCAAAAGTCTCAAGAATATCCCTAAGAGATGATTAGTTTTTAAGTTATAGATTTTATTTAAATATATGAAGACTACAAAAAAGGAGTCTGGAAAAAAAGTTGAAAGAAACCCTGTAGACTCATGGATAAGTGAGCACCTTCTAAGCGTAACTGGCTACAAGTTTATCATGCCATCTTAATACAAGAACTCTATGTCAGCATAAGATGAATTATTGGGAGTTGGCATGCAGATTCACGACATGAACCATTGAGTACTAAGGTTTGTGTGGCCTGATTCGTTTGGGATCTCAAATGCTTTATGGAGAAAGTATCAGACTAACTTCGTTTTCAGATTCATTTATGCTTCTTGTTCTAGAGGTTATGATCTAACACTAATTCGTAAAAGTAACATGACGTGAGTCCGATCTTGTGCCATCTTTACAGAGATTATACGGGCGTGCAATAAATAAGGGTTCCATTAGAATATGAAGTCCTCCCTAAGCGACTATTTTTCACTTTCACTTCACGGTTCCCGTTTCTCTTTTAAAACTTCGTCCAATTGAAAGTTATTGCAAACCAACTAATGACTTCGTCTCGACATGAACAAAATTTAAATCCATTTTATAGAGTCTGCAATGATAATTTCCAAGGGTCTGGGAAATCTGAAAGACAGCGTGATATGAATGGCCCAATAAAACAGAAATTAATAGAAAATTCAGATACCCAGCTAGCATGAAAAATATTTCACTGGGATATCTATCATAGACAACCCGGAGTTCAGTCAGACCGTCTGCGTAATATATAACTTACAGCATTTTGAGATTCCGAAGATTTCCCAGCTCCTTCGGGACGGACCCAGACAGTGAATTGATACCCACAGTCCTAGTGACGGTTTGCCATACAAATACATGAAAAAATTATCAGAACTACTATTGGTACCCAGTAAAGAAAAAGGAGAGAAAGAGAAGAATTGAAGCTGCTTGAAAATTATGAAACAGAAAAAGGCCAACGATTAAGTAGATAAAGAAGCATTACACATCCATATTTGAATGAACTGGACAAAGAGGGATCGATTTGGATGGAAATGTGAGACTTAATTGTCCATAGAAACTCGTGGAAAAATTTAAACTTTGAGCTGGACAAAGAGGGATCTTATATTTTTAAAAAAAATTAAGATTAAAAGTCTTGATTGTCCATAGAAACTCGTGGAAAAGAAACTAAAGATGTGAATTAAAAAAAAAAGAAGTCAACCCAGTACGTAGAGTCTTCCTTTCCGCTCTTTCAGTTTTTTTCCCATTTAAATAAGTTATACAATTAACTATTTTCATAGTCATTATTTCCGTAAGTTTTTACCTTGCTGACATGCTCGTGTTTTTTTTATTTTTCTCGGTAGGTAATGCAGCCGTGCACATTGTAGGCACTAAGAAATCATCATTGTCCCAAAGTTAGCACTCACAGATTTGCTACCTCCTCTTCTTAGGGCTATGGTTTAGTACCTAGGTGCCTGGTTCTAGCCATTGTTGAGCAAAACTCATGCGCGAATCCTTGAATCTTTCTATCTTAAGGGTCCGTGAATTGTCAGAAGTTTATGAATGATGATGATGGAAAAATCAATGACCTTAGATAATAAAGAAAAAGGAATAAGCACTACACACATTTAGAGACCAATTCCGATGATGACTTACAGATATTCCATGAGAGTAAGATTTCCAAAAAAAGCTGGAAAAGGTCCACTTAGGTAATTTTGTGCCAAGTTCCTGCAATTGACGGACAATAACATCAGAAAAGTATTTCATTCAGGGACGGACGACTGCGTCAGAAAGAACATTTCATTAGAACTCATGAAAATTAATTATATAGTCACTCTTGCCCTGTGTTAAATTTCTATATTTGGGTAGTGGAGATCATAGTAAGGGTATTTTCAATCTATTCCGGCTTAGGGCAAGCATCAGTATTTTCCATCCCAATTTCATAATCATGTGTCCGATGGGCCCAGTACCCGGCCCAGTTTTCAGGTAACTTATATCTGTAAAGGAAAAGGGTAACTCACAGGAAAACAGTGAGAAATAGGCCTCGGCCGAGTTTGGTGATGGGGTATAAGAACCCTGCGGGCCCGGAAATGAGGGGACTTTCGTGGAAAACTCATTTAGGAGCGCTGGGGGAGCTCTTGAACTCGCCCCCGATCCTGTTCTAGGGTTTCCTCCTCTTCTTTTAGTTCACCTCTGATTTTTCTTTATGGCTCCGTCTGTTTCTGCTCTATGCTTCTCGGTTTCTAGATTCGGTTCTAGGATATCAGTATCCTAATTTCCAAATAAGGTTATCATACATCATATGTTCTACTACTGGTAGACTTCTTTCCAAGTTGTCTTCACACTGGATGCGTCACAAAAGTACGTGCCAAAGTTGAAAGCATATCATGATGTTTAACTCGAATTCTCATATCCTAAGAGTTTCTGAAGTCCATTACAGAAAGAATGAAATTTGCGTTATAATGGACCAGGGATCAATTTAACAAAGATGCCATCAGTCAATTGATGATGGGGTATAAGGATTCTACATATTTTATGCAATTTAATTGAAGTTGTCTCAGTGCACCACCGAGAATCATAGACTTATGATCTAATGTCTCGGTTCTCAGGGCAGTGAAATCCCTTCAGACAAAATTGCAGTTCTCTGAACCATAAAATTGCATAAATTGAAAATTACACTTATAATCAGAACATACATAGCTCAAGTTATGCAGCCTTAAGGATTATTCCACTTTCAGTTAAGAAATATATCTCTTTCCATCTGTTTCATGGATCTGTTCTACTTTGGTTCGAATGGCTCTCAGATGTAGAGAATAGATCCCATATCCTATTGACGAATAATAAATTGTGCTGTTGTGCCCAAGTCTCAATCCAACTCTGGGGATTTCCTTTACCTTTCTTGTGAGAACAGGAAGCTTATTAGGAAGACGATTTGCAGAGAAAATACAGTTTGGTGCATAGTACAGAAGACAATATCCGCATCTATTTTTTTCATTCATTTCCATTGAAATGAAAAACGATGCAAAAAGGAGAGTTGCTTCGAGGCTTTATATTACAACAAAAGGTTGGAAGAAAATAAATTTCAGTTGCCATTGATAAATGGTTCATCTGAATTTTTTTTATTGTATATCTTGTCCAAAACTATCCGGAAACCCAAGCTCTTCTGACCATGAAGCTCCATTGATAGATTTACATCACCATTCTAGGTTTCGATCAATGTTCTTTTCTGAGTTTTCTTTCATATTCTTTTTTGTACCTCTGAATTGAACTCCTTGAAAATAAAATATAGACAATAGAACTATGAATGAAGACTCTTCTGGTCCTCTGGTCATGATTCTAGCATAAATAAATGTAAAATTTATTTCCCTGCAGTATATTGATTCCTACATGTTAAATTTCCATAGACAGAATCAGATTGGCAGGCCATATGCAACTGTTGTAAATGAGGGTCAAGTGGTCCAATACACACCAATTGAATCCCCAAGGTTTCTTCCTTTTCTAGATCTTAATAACGTCTCTTTTAATTACATTAGCTTCGAAAAAAATTATTCAAAAAGTCATATAAAATCATAGTCATGGACGCACTCCTATGGAATCACCTCGTGATGCTTGTGATGTTGAACCTTTCCTCGCTATATCCGCAAGTAGGATCTCATAAGTGAAAATCCCACAGCTCGATGCAAGTTTTATCAACGAATTCACCATTTTTGTAGAGAAAGGTAGCACTAAGTCAAAGAAATTTGTTCTGGTGGGTAATGGCACTATAAATTTCTTTTCCAGTTACAGGGTTATATATTCACAAAGCATTTTGAGATTGTGACATGCATATCTAAAATTTTGTACAAAACATCTTTTAAATATTAAAAAACTATGCTAATTATTTGCGATACTGTTTTTTTCTGTCATTGATAGACACGAGAGAAAAGAGGGTACCACATACAGATTTCTGAGGTACGTAAGATTCCTGAACTCCTCTGGGATGCTCCCCGTCACATCCTTGGCATATACTTTCCTGCATGGATAAGGAATTTCAGGCTAAGAAGGAGCTAAGGAACCATGCATATATGGTCATCATACTTTAGTCTGGATTATAAAGCCATGTTCTGCCCATCCTCGTTTAACCGAAAGAAAACAACCCGAATGCGGTGAGTACCACCGCAGAAAAAAATATGAGCGCGGAAAAATCGTTGAAAAATTCATCCGGAGAGAAAATCTGCGACCAGAACGTCGTCGCATCGACTGCTGGAAGATTTGCCAAATACACGGGCGTATTTTACTCGTTCCCTCAGATTACAGTATTCCAATACGATTTTTTTTCTCCAGAAAAAAAAAAGTGGAACCATCGGGTGAAGAGATTTCGAGGAGAATCATTCGACTTACAAATGGGTGATATGGCATGTGGTCTGGTTGTTGAAGCTGCAGTCGCATTTCACGGCCGGATTGAAGGACGGGGTGTTGTGGTCGGTCGTGTCGATGGCAATGCCTGTGCAGGGGTTGCCGCTGATGTTCCACAGCGAGGAAGCCTTCAAGCCCCATCGCCCCAAGATGGAGTTGAGCGCTTGCACTGCGGGAGGAGAGACTTAAAAGTCGGATGGGGGGGGAAAGGAGAATAAGGAAGGGGGGGGGGGGTTTATATAGTAACAGAATTATAAAAGTACCCGTAAAAATAAAATAATATCCAAATTACCCTATAATTAAATTAAAATATGGATGCAAACAATTTCGCGCGTCGAGTGTATGCAAACAATTAATATTTATAAGCAGATATCTTTCAATAAAGCTTATTAGAAAAATAGCACCGTAGGGAGATTCTAGGCTCGGAGAAGCTGTTCCGTGTGAATTGGAAGCGTTCTTGAGAGAGAGAGAGAGAGAGAGAGAGAGAGAGAGAGAGAGAGAGAGAGAGAGCCAGGATATGATCTCATGTTTTGGATAATACCTCTTTTTTTGCAAAATATCTGTCATACTCAATTGGTCAGCAGGGTATTTTTTTAATGGTAGAAGCCGGCGGGTAGAGAGAGAGAGAGAGAGAGAGAGAGAAAGAGAGAACCAGGATATGATCTCATTTTTGGATAGTACCCTTTTTTTAAAGAAATATCTGTAATACCCAAGTGGCAAGCACGGTATTTTTTAATGCTAAGAAGTCGGCAGCTTGAGAAAGAGCGAGAGAGAGAGAGAGAGAGAGAGAGAGAGCTTAGAAAACTAGCGACGACGATCAGTCGTTGAAGAAAGAGGCTTCATGTGGGGGAGATTCGGTTGCAGGTTGAACTGGCTACTTGCCAGAATTGAGGTAGGAGAGGAATGCGGAAAGATTAACAGTAGAGAGAGAGAGAGTAGGAAAATTGGCGGCGAAGTCGGTCGGGGAAGAAAGAGGTGTCATGGTGGAGGGAAATTCGGTTGCAGAATCAACTGGGTACTCGTCAGAATTGAGGAAGGAGAGGAGTGTGGAGAGAGTAACAGTAGAGAGAGAGAGAGAGAGAGAGAGAGAGAGAGAGAGAGAGAGAGAGCCTTTTTACCTTCTGAAGGTTCCGTCGTAGCTTGAGCTCGAGATCCACCGGCCAAGCCCCCGAGCCCGACGAGGCAGACCACTGCGAGCGCATGGAGAGCTCTCGAGACGGTCATCACCCCCATGGAGGAAATAGCAGGCCAGAAGAAGAATACCGGAAGGGTAGTAGATGATGATGATGATGAGGATGAAGAAGAAGAAGAAGACAAGGACAAGAGAAGGACAAGTACTGGAAGATGGAAGTGAGAAAGAGGAAGAGGAAGAAGGAGCAGGAAGAGACGGAGAAGCAGAGGGAGAAGAAGAATAAGAGGAAGAAGAAGAAGGTGATGCTGAAGAAAAACCAGATGAAGGTCAGAAGAGACGCCGAAGGAGACGATGTCGAAGAGGACGAATATGGCAGGCGAAGGAGGAGGAAAAGAGAGGACGGAGTGTAATGGAGGCCTAGGATTAGACGGAGCTTGGAATGGGTTGGGAAGGCGACGGGGTCGTTGAAAACTTATCTCGGATGAGCCAAGGATTTTGAAATGTTCAAGATGCGCCTCCCAAAGTCGTGGACGAGAGGGACCTCAGAAACCACTCACGACAGCAGGCGCCACGTTTACTTTAAAATTCTCTCTCTCTCTCTCTTCCCCCATTCGGTGATTCGTCTGGTACGGGTACGCTCTCGCATTGTCAACCTCTTGACCCTGTCAACCATCGTCAGCAACCTTCCCCCCTCTTATGTGAGAGAAAGAGGGAGAGAGAGAGAGAGAGAGCATCAACCTTGATCTGGACACGACACTGACGGGGACTGGCTAAGCGGGTTCTATATTCAGAGATGAATTAAATAAGAAAAACTTGGAAAATTTAGGACTGGGTCAAAGCCGACTCAAAACAGTCATCAACGAGGTCCGAGTTTACAAGAAATAAAGATGGGATCCAGGAAGTCTTCTATTCCCTCGTTGCAGTCCCAAGGTCAACCATGCTCCACCTTCTCTCTCTAAACTATCCTCTCTCTCTGTCTCTTGCTGTGCTCATTTGATAACGTCAAGGGCTCTATAGGCCCCGTGGCCCAAGCCACTCAAATTAATTTATAAGCCCATGATTGAAACGGTCCAATAGTGCAAGATTTTTGCTAAATTTTGCCACTTTTATATACCTTAATTATTTAATGCTGGTTTATGGTAGGAGCTGACATGACTCAATCGCTGTATAGTAAATCACACAAATTTAAAATTTATAAAACTAGAAAATACGAATTTTAAGATATTTAAAAGTATTTCTAAATAAATATATCAAGTATAATTCAATAAAACTTTCAAAAATAGCGATAATTTTTTAAGTCGATCACAGGGATGTAATATAATATCTGGTAATTATTCAGAATTTTTCTCAAAGAATACTATTTTATATGAATTTTATATTAAAAAATGAAAAGGAAATATATTTAAAATTTATGAAAAAAGGGAAATAAGGGTGCGGACGTCAAGATGACGTCAGTGACCGGCGAATGCAAATCGGACAAAAATAGAGTTTCACCTGATGATTCTTTCATAAGTGATTACAAATGTTTTAATTGATCAAATTAAGATCTATAAAAGCCAGAAGAATCATAATTGAACAAAGTATATTTTGGTAAATTAAAATCACACAAATTATTACTAAATGAAGCATAAAGTAAGTTGAAAGTAGAAAAACAGAGTTATGACGTCGCGACAGCAATGTGTCGACGATGCACTAGAATCTTGAGTGTTTGAGAAGATAGTCATGTAGTGTTTATGGCCTTGAAGACTCTCCTTGGACAAGGACGATTTGGGTAATCTCTAGATCTCCTTGCGAAGTCTAGAGATCAATGAAATGGGTTGTTGAATCGTCTCCGGAGGCTGTCACCCGGTAGAGCGAAAAAATGGTGACTTTGTGGCTCTCTGATGACTGTCACCCGACAGAGAAGAGCTGGATGGAGGTGGGGCGCGTGTCAAGGAGTTCTATCCTTCGGTCTGCGTAGCAAGAGGAGGCTATTCATCACATCCGGTACGCTCTCAAGAGGTGGCGACTCGTCTCCTGACGGATCGTCCTCTTTCCGATGATAGTTTGTTCATCGATCAATCAGATATGTTTTACTCGATGGATTCGCGATTTGTTTATCGTGAATCATTCAACAATTTTAGTAACAATGCTCTACAAATCGCGTTGACGAGATTTTCGCCGATGATCCAGCGATTCTGCTTGCTTAATCCTTCATCGGTGATTTGCAAGAAAGTTGCGATAATCAGATAAAAATATGAATTTTGGCTCTAGGAGAATTCAAACCTGTGTCAATTGCCTCCCCCCACCACCTTTTTTGGGGAGGTGTGACACGGGTTTAGTCTCACATCGATTGTGTGTCAAAATTTCTCGTGAATATATAGTAATACTATGTTTTCAATCAAGTCCCTTTCTCGCGTGTGTACAACCACTCCTTGCCCCACAATCAGTTGGCCACAGGTGACGTGGAAGGGGAGTGGTGCACATGTGCCCCTATCAGTCCTAGCTGCTCGAGCCCCTGCTCGTGGCTACTCCCCGACTATGTTTCCGACCTACTTGCGAGCCCGGCTAGACGATGTGTCTCTCCATTTTGCTATATTTTTATTTTAATTTCTTTTCCTTCATTTATCTCAAAAGTAAGACTACTAAAAATCATATAAAATCACATAATTACCTAAAAATTTATGTTAATCAACTGAAAACTACTTTTCACACTTTAACACAAATATAAGTCTATTTATCATGAGTTAAGGCTAAAACTCTATTATTTATTAATTATTAACTCATGATAATGAAGACTTATCAAGAGCCCAAACCCAGCTAGGGTTCATGGGAGGGGGATAGACATATAGATAAATAGAGAGGAAGAGAGAAAGAAAGAGAGAGAGAGAGAGAGAGAGAGAGAGAGAGAGAGAGAGGGTTGGGCATAAAATTCTTATCAAAGTCAATGCTATCTCAAGTTGATGAAAAACTTTCAAAAGATGAATGATTTAATCCTTAAATATCTCAAAATTCTCATCAAACTAGCAAACTAGCAATTTTTGCACAGGACTTGCTTTGTAGGTAATCTAAGAAAAAATATATTTAGTTAGTATTCTCTAGGTTATGGGAACCTCAAATATCTAAACATGGTAACGTGGAAATTCAACAAAACCCATCCCTTCGTAGGGCTTGAAAATAAGTTCAAGATGGGTTTGCTTACCAAGGTGCTTAGTCTTGAGAACTTGTCAAAACATAGGAGATTGTGGTATATCATCTTTTTTTATAAAATTGTATTTATATCCTATTTTATATTTCTATTTTCATCATCTTTTCTTCACATTGTATTCTATCTAGCTTGACTTAAGTGAACCCTAATTAACCAAATCTAATCCAAATACATGTATGTGTTTACATTTTAACAATCTATTAATTTTTTCCTCCTTTTCTCCTCTCTCTCCCTCTTGAGAGCAATGACTCCCTCTCTACTATTGACATCTCCTTTTATGGGTAGAGAGTTAGGACAACATCAACATAGTATCAAAGTTTACCAATTGAGATTGTTTTGACCTTGTATTCTTGGAGTGTTCTTTTGGTGGTATTACCCAATCTCAAGAACGATTAAACATGAATGGGTCTAATATGTTATAAATGTTGGTCTATTAAATGTAAGGTGTTTTGATGAAAATAAATATTTATCGGATAAATTACAAGATCAAATTATACTTAATCTTAAATATACTTGATATGAGAATAAACATTAAAGTAGTCCTATATAATTCAATTTAGTGTTATTAAATATTGAGATAAAGATTCATTGAACATACTTGAAATTAGGAAGACTCAATATCTATATATATGATTGATTTCATCATATTAAATTATCATGTTGCAAAATTTTGTAGAATGTGTCAATATTTATAGAATATGCCAATATGACAAAACAATGATTTACACATCTAGATCAATAAGATTTTATAAGCTAAAAAATGAGTATGAAAGCTTAGTCCATATATTATGTAACTTGGACATTAGATCATTGCTTTCAAATGATTTTATATCCATCTAATTGATTGAATTCATATTACTTACTCTATTGAATAAGATTCTCTAAATATTGACAAATATACTTTGTAAAATTATTTTGGATATTATAATATCCAAAACTTTGATTATAAATATTGAGATTGTGATTCAAGATATTTAATTTTGGATCATGTTTTATTTAAGGTTATTTAATTAATATTTAATCGTTAGATCATCATCTTATTTGGATATATATTTTTTATCATGTTTTAATGATATCAGATCCTTATAGACCTTGACTGACCTAATATGATTTAGATATCTAAATAGTGCTCTACAAAAGGCACATGTTGATTTTTCATGAAGATATCTAGACTCTTGAAGGACATATTGTATTGGTTTTTTAGTCATTTTAATTTCTAATCATTTATGAAAGTATAACTATGGTGAGATGATGAAAAATAAGAAAGGCTTTCTAATGGCACACCAAAGTTGAACGATTATCTTTAGTTCCTTCACGACCTCAAAAATTTTATTAACTTTTTATGTAGAAAAATCTAAGAGAAATCATGAAGTTCCTGAGGGCTGGTCACACTATAAGAGGGCATTGAGTTGTGGAGCATTAGTCAAGCATTCAACAATGTCCCTCAAACTCATTGAAGCTGAAGCCCTTTCCACTATCTGCCACAATGACAAGAAGATGGCAATGAAATCACATCACTTTTGTCCTCTTTATCGATATTTCAAACACCTTATAAGATGTTATCTTCCAAAAATCATACCATGATGAAATATTTATTATTTATTGTGAGATAAATTTAAAGCTAAACTCTTATTTATCATGAGTGAGAGTTATCTCTATTAACAAAGGTGTAGCTTCCTAGAGTTGTAAATCTAGAAGAAACTTCTGAAAATTCTGAAGGAGTTGTCCCACATCAACCTAAAAACTCTAGTTCATCTCCTTTAAAACTCAATATAATTGATTACTTTGCTGAAATCAGCTAGAGAAGATGATATAATTTTTTTCTTGCGACGATGATTCTTATAGCTAGAATAGCTTGAGAGGATAGCTTGAATCTTCATATATTCAGCTGGTTTTTTATCCTCAAACCTTCTATGATAAGTAAGCCTTTATCCTTTAATAGTTTCCTGATTTTGTAGGATCTCCAATGTTTGAGATCTTCGTTCAAATACTCACTATTTTCTAGAATGCGCAAACATGACCCTTGAAACCAAATCATCAAACTTTTGTTGACTTTCATCCATGTAAGCAGCTCATGTTGTTAAGGTATCATTTGTGTATGCAAATTAAGGGTAAATAATAAGAAATAATGTATCAACTAAAGTTAATTTTAATGAAATGGAATGAAAAACATGAAACTTGAGTTTAGAAGGCATGTCATGAATTTTGATTTAAATTTGTACATCAACCATTAACTTACACCCTAATGCAACATGTATAATATTAATGTGCCATTTTTAGGAATGATTGAGATTATAACTTTTAAGTAACAATGGGAATAATTGATAAAAATTCTCTCTCTTGCAATAGACATGGACAAAACGTTTCGTGCTGAAAATATATTTCCACGGGCAATATTTACTGATATGCATAGATTTTATATTTATATGTATATATACGTTTATTTGAGAGAGAGAGAGAGAGAGAGGTGACGGCTCACCTCCACTTTCAAAAGGTAAAACCAGAGCATCTCACTTAGTGAAAAAATAAATAAACACAAACAGGATATCAACACATCAGATTTCATGAAAAAGAATTATATAACAAAAATAATATGCCCTCTAACTGGGTTCCACATGACACGTGCCATCATTAACATCCTAGGTGATGAGGACGTGGTGAAAGAGTCAGCCAAAGTACCACTTTGACCCTACAAAACTTGTACTCTCAGATCACCTCACTCTCTCTCTCTCTCCAATGGGGGAGAGATCCATAACTAGTCATTTGATAAAAAATAAAAAAAAGCAAACCACTTTCTAACTCTTCTTCTTGTTCTTCATCTTTCTCTTTCTCTTCTTCAAGTATTTCCCATCTCTCTCTCACTTATATCTTATTCTTCTTCTTCTTCATCATCTTTCTCTTTCTCTTCTTCCAGTACTTCCTCTCTCTCTCTCTCACTTGTATCTTCTTCTTCTTGTTCTTCATCCTTTCTCTCTCTTCTTCTTCTTCTTCATCTTTCTCTTTCTTTTCTTTCAGTACTTCCTATCTCTCTTTCTCACTTGTATCTTCTTCTTCTTGTTCTTCATCCTTTCTCTCTCTTCTTCTTCTTCATCTTTCTCTTTCTCTTCTTCCAGTACTTCCTATCTCTCTTTCTCACTTGTATCTTCTTCTTCTTGTTCTTCATCATCTTTCTCTTTCTCTTCTTCCAGTACTTCCTATCTCTCTTTCTCACTTGTATCTTCTTCTTCTTGTTCTTCATCCTTTCTCTCTCTTCTTCTTCTTCATCTTTCTCTTTCTCTTCTTCCAGTACTTCCTATCTCTCTTTCTCACTTGTATCTTCTTCTTCTTGTTCTTCATCCTTTCTCTCTCTTCTTCTTCTTCATCTTTCTCTTTCTCTTCTTCCAGTACTTCCTATCTATCTTTCTCACTTGTATCTTCTTCTTCTTGTTCTTCATCCTTTCTCTCTCTGCCGGGGGATGCAGCAGGTGCCTCTCCCGGACCAGAAGAGGTGGACCTCGAGGAAGTTGCTGGTCACCGCCGCCGTGTACTGCTTCGCCACCGCGTCGAGTGAGACCCCACCAGCTTCCTGCTTTATGTTGAAGTCTTTCTCCACCCGCACCCCCTGGTAGAGAGAGAAATGATGACAAAGAGAGATAGAGTAGAGAGAGAGAGGGAGAGAGAGAGAGAGGAACCTGGATGTAGATGTCGAAGACCCGGCGACCGTTGCTCTGCCAGACGGGGGAATCAGGGTAGGCGGTCTCTGCGAATTGGAGCTTCACCGAATTGGAAGGAGTTACCCTGAAACTTCTTACAAGAAGATTAGAGGGTTAAGGACCAAAGTGGGTGCTGATAATTTGATTAATGGCATTTCACAGTACAGATCTTTCCATTCCAGCAAGCGGGTATCATCAGTTTAATCATGGATAAATACTATGATTAGAGAGGACATTTTATTTATCTCAGAAACGTGGTAATATAGAAAATAATTAGGGTTATTTAACATCAAATAGACATGTGATGTTTCCTGATTGATATGCTGAGTCTTCCATCTCTGTAGGAATGTAATGCTAAAACATGACAGAATGTTGTGGCCACATCATGATGTTAGGATGAACAACAGCTGCATCATGAGAAGATGATGTCTTCGATCGCCAAGCATGGCTAAACTGTGGCTAGGTTTTCGAGTGACTGGAGATTTCTGTCAATGCTGTCAATGCAACTACTCTGACCAGTAATTATGAACTACTTCCCTTCACATTAGGTTATATAATCCTCGATATCCCCTTTTTCACCCTTGTTTATCATGTTGGGCCGGCCTTTTGGTCTTCTTGCTAGTATAACTCCGGCCCAAGGGTTTTAACAAAGCTATGGAGGTGATTACCAATAGGATAGGTATAACTATTATGTTGACTTAACATATCTCCCTCGGATCTATTTAGTTATTTATTTATTTATAATATTCCTCTAATTTATTACAAACCATAAAGTCACATTACTGTTCATTATCTCTAGTATAATAGATTGTACTCTTCGAAGGGAATAAATTAGCATTAATTAACGTAATTATTACATTTATTTTAAATTTTATATATTCTAATTATTTAAATATCATTAATTTTTAAAATGTAGATATACACGCATGTTTGCTTTTTAAAAAACTTATTATGGGTAGGAAAATATCTATAGGCGGGTCGTTGGGCTACTTACAAATGGACTTCAAGTTAAGCCCAGAAAGAAAAATAAACCTGGCCCAGTTCTGTTCAGTGGGTTCGGGCCTAAAGCCCGTTCAGAGCTAATTTCTAAATGGGTCATTCCAACTGGGTTTCATTGGGCCAGTAACACGGCCTTAACCCCCCTTTTCAAGAGAGAGAGAGAGAGAGAGAGAGAGAGAGAGAGGATAGGAGAAGAGCATCCCTTTTCTCTACCCTTAGTTGGCACAAAAAGTTCTCTCTCTAAGTTTACTGAATGTAGTCTTAAAATGTGTCATTTATAAAATATATTCTTGAAATTACATATTCTAAGGAAAAAGGGGAGATGATTCATTAATATTTCATCATCTCTCTCATTCTAGACATCGGTGAAATGTGTCGTGTTGAGAATTATTTCCACGGGTGAAAGTTACTTATACCATATATTTTATATTTATTTATATACATAGAGAGAGAGAGAGAGAGAGAGAGAGAGAGAGAGAGGGAGAAGGTGCCCCCCCCCCCCCTCCACTATAGAAAGGTACAATTAGAGCATTTCACTAAATAAGAAAATAAATAAACACAAACAGGATGTCGACACGTCAGAATTTCAGCAAAACCAAAACACATAATTAATTAATACAAGGTCCCACATGACACGTGTCCTCGCTAGCCACGGCGGTACTAGTCAACGCGTCTGCCGGGGTACCTCTCCGACCCCACAAAGCGAGTTGGACTCGCAAGTGGACGGTCACCTCACCCCATTTAAACATTCACCCTCTGCCATGTTGTTTTATTTTATATTCGTCCCATAGGAATTTCAATATGATAAATAACCCTATTATGTGACGTGCACGCCACGTGTATTGGGCCTATTTATTCCCAATTCACAGACTCACATGAAAAATGCCACGAATAATATTTATTAGTATTTATTATTTAGGAAATTGACGAGAGGTGGAAGCGGGTAGATGATGGGCCATTCCGAATTTTATTAATTTATTTTTTTATTGATTAATTTTTAAAGTTAACACCAAAAATAAAAAGCTTCTCTCAAAGTAGCGAAGTGCTTTAAATGGCCAACTATTTTTTCATGCGGTAGATAAGTATGAGTTTTATATACTGTTCTCCCTATTTTATAATTATTTCAATTTTTATATTAAAGTTAGAACAAAAGCCGTCTTTTTTTCAATCTCAGGAGGAAATCTTACATTGGGCAGGTGGCCAAAGAGCATAGAAGTGCCGATTTCTGTGTTTTTTCACTCAATAAAACCTGTTTAATGGCCATTTCTGAAAATGAAGATCATATATAATTTCTAATTCTAGAGCATTCATCAGTCAACATGGAAGGAATCAATCTTGAGAAGTTAGGCAATTGTAGAATTGGGATCGTCGCTCTTCAAACCCGTTGGTGGCGGTCGGACCAGACTAAAGTCCCCCACCCCCCCATTTGGTTAGGTTCGGACGAGTCCATCCCGAGAATCGTCCGAGTCGTAGAACCGAGGGGGGGGGGACTCGTGGGGCCTACATGTTTCTTGCCACGCATCAAAGCGAAGGGAATAACCGTACGCCGGAATTAAGACCGTAACGGCTTGTCCCGAAATCAACGAATTCTTCGTCCGTAACTCCGTACAGAGCGAGGGAAAGAGAGAAAGCGAGGGGAGGGGGATGAGACGAGAAGTATCGAGGAGGTGGTAGACCATGGCCAAACCATGGGATCCGATGGTTTACAGGAAACTCCCTGAGAGAAGGTCTAATTGCTACAATGTCCCGGCACTGCAAGCTCCTCTCGCCTCTCTATACAGGAGCACGCTCCAAGGGGGCAGATATGGAAGGAAGAAGGAACACGGAGAGGAGCAAACCATGGCGGCGGCGGCGGTCAGGAGCGAGGGAAGGCTGCGGCTCCCCAAAAGGATCGGTCCAGATCTCCGTTGAGGCCGTCGGAGGACGGCTGCGCGCCGGCGAGGAGCAGATCGAGGACGCGCTGGAAGACGGCGGCGGAGCAGGGGATCCGGAGGACCCCGCGCTGCTCGTAGCCGTACTCCTCCGCCGATCTCCGCAGGAGCTCCACGAACACCGGCCGGCTCAGCAGATCCGCTCTCACTACGAACCTCTCCATCTCCTCCCCCACGTACACCGGCAGGTGCCCCTCCGGCACCTCCGCCGACTCCCGCCGCCGCCCCTTCCCCGGCGACATCCCCCTCAGCAGCCTCTCCTCCTGCTGCGACGAGTCCCCCACCCTCGACAGGCGCCGAATCAGCTGCTTCATCCCCTCCCTCACTCCACAGAGAAAGCCGCACAGTAGAGAGAGAAACAAGAGAGAGAGAGAGAGAGAGAGAGAGAGACAAGAGAGAGTGTGTCTAAGGACAGGGAGAGAAGGTTGGGGCAGGAGGGGGGGAAATAGGCGGTTGGGGCAGGGGAGAGGGTGAGACGGGGAGGGGTTTTTAAATAAACGAGAAAAAAAAATTGAAGCAATTAAAATAATAATAAATGCTGTACCGGACGGACCGGCCAAGGAGACGTCATCTCTCGAGATGAGAACGGTCGGGTTGGGAAATTCCCGTACTCGCCGTACCGAACTGGACGGCTCTGATCCCATCGGACTCTCCCTCTCTTCTCCGTCCGATCAGTGAGCCTGCGTGGATGTGGAACGGTCTAGAATCCAACCCGTTTAGGTCCCGATTCGCATTCCTACGTGGCATGCGCTTCCCTCGCCACCCAACTTAAGCTTACGCTGCTCCCCCGGGACAGCATTAAGAGCTTCGTTGGTCGTCTCTAGAAGCTGCCGAGTAGCCACTCTGAGGATTAATGGGGTCTGGCGTGGCCCCACGATCTCCTAAGGCAGCCATCAACGATCGTGATCGCAACACGCAACAGAGGAATTTTATAGATCTACCCCTGTTAATAGATGCCATTACAGTATAATCCCTCTTCCACCAGGCCGTGATTGAGAAAATAATTAGTTATTTGGTCACATAACGAAAGACGTAATAAAATAAGAGTCATGCTACATAAATTTAAAATCCTTTAGGGTTATATAATCATTAATACGTCTTCGCATGGCCGCTCAACAAAAAGCAGATGTTGGCGTACACGCAGGTGGGCGGGGATATGTTTAGAAAACCGCACGATTAACGACAGAATGGAAGAAGAGGAGCAGCGAGTTATCGACGATATATCATAACGATAATTTGAATTTCTCTTCCGTAGTCCCAGCAGTACGATGTGCGTGAGTGGCGTGTGGGCCCCACTCCGGACCTCGCTCATTGCGCCGCACTCAAAGTAGTAATTCCGACAACGAGAAAGCTGCGCCATCAGGAATATTACCGAAATGCCACTGCCGGAATGAAACCCATCACTCCCATCCGAATCCATCCATCCGACGGTCGGAATGAATCGTTGTAAATAAACTCCATTTATGAGCAAAAATCGTAGAATTATTGAATTTCCCCGGAAATTATGAACGTATCGGAAAAACTTAAAAAGAAATATTTGGTGCTGCTTTTAGAAAAGGTAATTGACGAAAAAAATCTACTTTCTGAGCGGGCGATCCGTAATAAAGAGAGTGGGACCCACTTTTAGAAAACCATTCAATTTGGAAACCACTACGTCCGTACACGAACAGCGCCGTCTCCGACGTGGACGTTCATTAACGTCGCCGCAGCCCTTACACCGGAGTCCACGTGGTTCCCACTGCGCATTGATTTGATCAATTTTCGTAAATCTATGGACCAGGAAGCCATCACGGCCGTCCGATGCTAATCCGACGGTCAGTCCTTCGCGGAGGCGGATCGTCCTAAGATTCGGGGTAGCCCGTCGGTCAACTGGGTGGGTGGTCGACCACGATTGCGGGGGATCTGGGCCATTGGATCCTTATTCTCGGATCCGAAATTTTCTATTAAAGGGAATGGTACGAGGGACCGTACGGGATCCGAATTAGCAGATATGCCTGTCAGAAGCGTAAAAAGTTATCGGGTCCTGGGGAGAGCCGTACATTCCGGATCCCGTGTGGCGGATCCACGTGCCTGGGTCCCACAAAACTGCGTGACGTGTCCAACTAAGGGTAGAGACAGGGGGAAAGTCCACAGTCAGAGTGAGGTTGACTGGAATCAAAAGAGAGCGGTGGGAGCCGACAAGCTTGGCGGCGGGGCGGAGAAAGAAGGAATTCTTGTGGGCGGAGCAAGTCAACGCGCCGGGGGAGGTTGGTCCTCTGTTTACACACGAAAAAGACGGGGATGAATGAATGTAGTAAAAGGGATATTCGTTCAATTAACGCGGAATAATAAATAATATATAATATACGATAAATATTAAATTACAAAAAATCGTGGTCAATGATTGGCCATTTTCTCGTCCCCGCTCGCCGACACCCCCCTTGGCCATCAGTCAACGTTGGCCAGCTGGCGCATAATCAATCACACTGAAAAAATTCACGAGTTAAACAGAACCTCTCTATCTAAAGCTCTATTTCTCTCTCTCTATCTCTATCGATGTACACCTGGCAGGAGGGATCGTCAAGGAAGTCAGGAGGGGAAAGTCAAGGGGAGCAAGTGGTCCACGTTGCTTCCGCGTTAAGCAGGCAATGAAGTGAGAGGCACCAACGCGCGAGGCTATGCAGGCCATTTCCACATAAGCCAAAACCCTGGGGCTCGCACGTCATTCATTCTTCCCCCCAGGTCTACTCATGAGCTGGACTTCACCCACTCTCTCTCTCTCTCTCTCTTTCTCGCTCTACCCCTCTCTCCTCTCTCTCTCCGAAGCCCAGAAGCCCATACGGACGACGCCGTTTGGACACTACTCTCTTCTCTTCTCTCTCTTCAAAGCCCAAAAGCCATACCCATGACCCCGTAGAAACTACTCTCTCTCACTCTCTCTCTCTTCAAAGCCCTAAAGCCTATACCCCTGAAACGGTTTGTACAGTAATATCTCTCTCTCCAAAGCCCAAAAGCCTATACCCATGACCCGGTTTGGACACTACTCTCTCTCTCTCTCTCTCTCTCTCTCTCTCTCTCTCCGTCCGAGGCATCTGTGCTTCAAAGACTAGAAGCTATGTTGTTCATGTCGAGGTGCCAGCCATTCAAACGTCTCTCTTCTCTCTCTCTCTCTCTCGCTCTTCTTTCTCTCTCAAGAGCACTGTGCGTGGGTGATCACACGACCCGTAATCTTGTCACCTAGTAGGTAGAAGGCTAACATTCTCCGTGGGGGGAGCGGCTCCGAGCTAGAATCCACTTCACATCGTCCTCACCGCCGTCGCCCTCGCCACGGACGGATCGTCTCACAGACGATCCCTCCATTCCACTCGCAGAACAACAGCAGTCAAATTAAGCCACCATCTCGAAGAAATGAGGGAAAGGGAAAATTTCGTCTTCTCAAAGAGAGAGGGAGAGAGAGAGAGAGAGAGAGAGAGAGAGACTTGGGCACAAATAATCTCGTCTCCACAGTGCTAATTATAGAAAAAAAATAGAGAAAAAGTAATTTGCGAGCTCCCCAGAAATTATTTCGTCATGAATTCGTAACCAGATGTCAAACAAAATGATTTGGCCAAGAACTCGTCACGAAAAAGAAAAAGAAAAAATTAAAAAATTAGTGATTCTGTAATTCCTCATCATATAAATAATCTAACCAGGTTGCTAGGAGACTAGAGGGACTCCCCTTTCCTCTTCTTCTTCTTGATCAGACTCTCTTTCTTCTTCACTTCCTTCTTGTACTCTCTGTACAGACTGATCCATGACGAAACTCTGTTCAGCTCCACCTGCATTTTCTCAGCCTCCACGATGTCTCTCACCACGGTGAAATGCTCCTCCATCTTCTCTATCACCGCCTCCTCGCCGCCCGCCGCCGCCGCCGCCGCCTGGTTCTCTGGCAGGTACCCACTGGGCGGCGCCGCCTTCTCTCTCTTCCTCTTGCGGTTCAAAGATGGCGGCGATTTGCGAGGAGGAAAGAAGGACCCTCGGAGAATGGAGAGCTCTGCAAATGCCTGCTGGGGAGAAGCTGTGGGGAGATGAACCTGGTTCAGAGATGTGGCCATGGTTGAGATCCAGGAGCTCGTGGAGGAGATGGCAGGGTGGTAGTGCTTGGCGAGCAAACTGAGCTCCCAGAGAACCGACGACAGGGCGCCGCTCAAGTTTGGATCCGAGGCCTCGGGATGATACTTCTGTGAATCATTGAGAAATTTCATGGGTTAGAACAGATGATTGAGAACAAATTAAAGATGATGAAGAAGAAGAATGAAATGATTATTAGAACAGATGATTAAGAAAAATTTATAGAAGAAGAAGCAGAAGAAGAATACGATGATTATTAGAACAGATCATTAAGAAAAAAATAAAGAAGAAGAAGAATATGATGATTATTAGAACAGATGATTGAGAAAAAAAATTAAACAAGAAGAATATGATGATTATCAGAACGGATGATTCAGAAAAATTTAAAGAAGACGATGAAGAATATGATGATCATTAGAGCGGATGATTTAGAAACATTTATAGAAGAAGAAAATGATGATTACTAGAACAGATGATTAAGAAACATTTACGGAAGAAAAACATGATTTTTATTAGAACAGATGATTCAAAAAATTTAAAGAAGAATATGATGGAGAAGAAGAAGAATATGATGAATTATTAGAACAGATGATCAAGAAGAAGAGGAATAAGCCGGGGGCGGAGCCGCCATTGGGCTCACCACGACGAGGCCAGAGAGGGAGCCACCGCCGGAGTCATTCTCCAACAGGTTGCGACATTTGGAGTTCTTCAGAAGCAGTTGCTTCACAGTGACCAGTGCTGCATTCATTAGAGGAAATTCGATTCAAAATCGTAAACCATACCATAATATAAGAAAATAATTAAAATATTCCACATCCAGGGGTTTCATTTTTCCTGAAATAGAAAGGGGTTGACCTGACATGGCCTCGGCAGGTCCAAAGCACAGAGAGAAGGTGGCGAGCCGCTTTATGAAAGCCGCAGCCCTCTGCATGTCATGCTGCTTCCCTTCGCACAGCATAATGTTTAAAGCCCCTGCCAACACATCACCTTGGTCCCTGCTCGCAAATCACAGCATAGCGATGAACAGAAATGGCTATAACCATAATAGGAAATCTGATTCGGGTTGACAAAAGTCAGCTGAAGAACATGCACACACACAAGTATAAAAAAACCATCATGAAAAAGATGAGAGAATTATCAAGTTTTTGCTATAATCAGTGACATTAGCTGACTGAAATCTCCCCCTGATCATGGGCCCTTTCTTTCTCACACGGGGCAGATCTAGATCAACCTTCTCTGCCCAAAAAGTCAACCTGATTTCAGAACTTAGCATATGCTCAAGTGACAAGAAACAGCACAGCATGGGCTAGGGACATCAGCACATCCAGGTTGACTTTTTTCAGGACTGATTACACTATGTCAAACCCAAACTCCAAGGCCCCATTTCTAGGGACAGTTTGAAGCTGAGAGATTGACATGGTCCAACAATTAATGAGTTGGATTTTTTTCTGTAAGATTTGATCGGATAATTACACAACATTTCCTCTTCGTCCAGCCTTTCATGCGAAAATCATCAATATATTCGGTCAACGGCAAAAACATATGGACGCTTCAATAAAAAGTAGGCGCTTTATTAGGATGGTTTTGGTCAACTAACCTGTCAGGCCTGTACTCGATCAGAAGATTATAAAGGTGGGCATAGAACTCCTGCAGATCTATATTCAGAGCGTCGAGATTTTTTTTCATTATTTTGAATGCCACAATGCAGCATTGGAGACGTTCAGAGACGGACAGACGGCTTCCTGGAGAGGAATCCTGGCCGCCACTGAGGCCTGTAAGCCTTTTTAGGCAACCCATGATGTCGCCCATGAAATCCAAGTCAATCAAGTGAGAGAACTTGCCCAATCCTTTCAGGCATGGAGCAAGCAGCGGGTGAGAGGCAGAGGAATCGGATGAGAATGAGCTGGCATTCGACCTGAAACAGCAGTGGAGCAAATGTTAACCCATCATAGCTTCAAGAACGCCAAAAGGATAACACCCAGGAGAATAGTTGACATTTAATTTGTGGGTTGGTTCAAAGCTCAATTTTCTCTCTTTTGCAGTTCCCTTGGCTTTCACAAAAGGGAACCCTTCTTGAAATAGGAATAGTTAAGCGCAGACATTTTATCTTCAGGATGGAAAAGTATTAGATATTGCCCATAAAAAGAAAAATTATACCGTACGTACCTGGTGACACCAGGATCTATAGTATGCTTCAAAACTCGGAAATATGTCTCAAATAAAGCAGCAAGTGTTTGAGTCTGAATCTTTCTCCTCTCCTCAGGAGTGGGAACAAAGGAGGCTGACTTAAGGTCTGCATTGACCTGCACAAGGCATTTAAACTCTCAAAATCATGACTGAAGTAATGAAATGATCAATAAACCCAGATCAGTGGGCGGTTAATGGAAAGCATACTTCTTCTCTAGTCTTGGTCACCAATTCCTGTTTGCTCATCTTTCTCCCATTCCCAGATAATTGATTTTCTTTCTCGTCATTTTTTCTTTGTTTTTTCTTCTTTGGTTTGACTTTTTCTTCCTCCTTCGGCTCAGATCTTCTCAGATCCTCATCAAAGACCAGGGACAAGAAAACCTGAAATGTACATGTTGGGAGCAATAATGTAATAAAAGATAGTTGTCCATGTTAACTTGAACGAGATCATTTAAATAGTTTATTTCATCGAATCTCCAATATTAGAGTAGTAAGCTACTAATCAAACAGGGATATGCAACCAATGTGAACTAAAAGTAGAATTGAGATGCCAAATTTTCTATACCTCGACAGAATCAGGATGAAGCTGACAATCATTCACCTTCACATGATTGGATATCAGCTGAACAGCATCCAAAGTTGCTTGCCCTCCATGTTTACCCTCATTACCAAACAGTGTTCTCACAGAGTCACAACAGACTTTCCTATGAGAAAACGAAAGTCAGCAATTCCAGAAAGAAACAGCACTGCAATCCAGTATGCTAAGCAATCACTATTTTCACTGCACAAGTACCAAGATCTTTGAAATCTCCTCGTCAATATCTCCTCATCTATTATTTTTTTCACCCGAAAGTGGGTAGTACAGGCATACTTTTCAAGAATAAGAGAAGAGGGAGGGATATAGATGTTTTCTATGAGATCTCAAGATATGGTAGATCATTATAGTAGCTAGCCGAATCTACCCAAAATAGCAGGTTTGTTCCCTTCCGCATTACAAAAATTATCACCAATTCTTTGAACCCATCACACAAAATTAAACTTTCCAACAGCTACCGTATCCCACTTTCTCATACTCTTTGAACATTTCATAAACAGAGAAGATTGAGAGTCATGTGGTGCTTAGGGGAGTATCAATTTTCTTCCAGTTATCAGTTTATCGGAAGAAAACTGATTACTGTCGACATGAATGAAATATGATCAATCAGACCCTTTTTCCCCCATGCTCACAAGCAGCATGCAAGACCAAGAGATGCTTCACAGGTTAGGATAGAAGGGGAAAAACCTTATCACGTCATCTGAAGAGCTTATATTTTTCACAACGCCAGAAAGAAGGTTCCCACTAAAGTTGAATTGTGGAACAGCATCCAGCAAATTACACATGCAACGAACAGCTACAACCTTAAAGGAAGGCTCTTTTTCCAGTGTCATCAGCCTAAGAAGATATTGCTACATAAAAAGAGAGTATAAATTAGATTATCAGCAATGGGCAGTAAAGAAAACACTTAAAGAAGTATATGGAAACAAATTGAAGCCATAGATTATCAACATAAAGTATGATCTCATAAAGTTAAAATTCTGGTCTAAACACTGAACATGATGGAAGATCACCAGAGACGAAGGGCGAGGTAGGTGCCAACATCAAGGTAAATCATACAGTAGATAACTAATAAACATCAGGCACATGGTGAGAAAATCAGACCTTATATGCATGCAGAAGGGTAGATTCATAAAACCTCATCTTCCTGATAGTTTTCGATACTTTCATTTCTAGTTCCTTTTCAGTCGGTAGCCTGATTCGATATCTGTAACATGTCTCTTAGAATCAATGGAAGTATTATACCAACAAATAAAAAGTGCATGCACAAAGCAAGATTCTAGAAAAGATAAAATCTAGGACAAAATCAAAGACCTACCCGGGAATGATATCTTTGAAGACAGCCAACAAAGAAAGTAGCCCCAGCTTAACCACCTTGTGATCTTTGTCGTTACAGAATTGCAGCAGATCCTTCAGAGATTTGATATTTGATTCAGGATCTTCAAGCAGTGATATTCCGATCTCTGCCAGTTTATTCTTCTTTTTTACAAATACTTCTTCAACAGAGAGGTCCTCCTCTACCTTTGCCTAAAGGAAACACACAAGCAATAAAGCAAAGCATAAAGAGATAAATAGTGCATCTGGAACCAGGAAAAGTGTAATATCACATAAGATGCACTTCTACAAACACTATGGATTTACACTGGAAGCATGGTTTTCTATATCATTCCAATAGATCAACGGAAAGTCAACAAAGTCGGGGAGAAGGAATTAATCCCTCAAGATTAAATATTAACCCCTCAATGAATGGCGAGGGAAATCCTGGCACTAGCTTTGTGTGGAAGCCTGATCCAATTACAAGGTTTTTGAGAAAAAAAACGTTCTTCAAGTTTCGAACGAGAAAAAGAGGAAAAATGTATCATATAACAGGAATGTGAGATAATAGATGCCCCTATATTATTATCTGCTGTTCTCCCGGTCTACAAAAAAAAAAAAAAGATCAGTCCATTGTTACAACCGCTACATGATGTGTCTCAAGTGAAATACAAAAACTTCTGTCCAAGAGCGGCGTTATAGCAGTAGGAAATGAGATAATATTAAATAGTCACATGAGAAGCGGGAATAGTTGGAAATCAGAAGAAATAAGCAGATGAATCGACCGTCCGATGCCATTTTACCCGTTTGAATGTGAACAGCACAATCTACATCGAATAGAACGTGCTAGCATTTCATTCATTGCCTCATGGAACATTTTCAATCATAGTTGACTCAAGAATTCAATTCGAAATAATATTTTAAGTTAATGAAGAAAAATCAGCAGAAAATGCTAATAGACAATGTACACCATAAAATGGTATTTGAGTAGAGAACAGAAGTTTATTAGCAAACTATAACAAGGAATACATGCAAAATTTTATGTACCAACTTAAGCAGTTAAAGAACTAGAAAAGTACCAGCACAGCGGCGTGAAGATTTGCTGGCGCCTCGTCTACACTTTCCTCAGCCTGCCTTTTCGCCTCTTTCTTCATTTTCTTCAATTTTCCTCTTCGTTCTGCCTTTGTGAGCTTCACAAAACCTTTATCATCACCGTCGGCCTTGTTCACAGCGGCAGTTTCTGCTTCCTCTTCCTCTTTAGGTTTTTCAGATTTTGTCTCAGCTGTAGGCAAGGTCATTAGAAATGCACGACCAACATAGAAATTGGACAAGGCATACTACACTATCTGCGACTATTGCTATCTGGAGATGGATAGAAGCAGTTTTGAAAATAGGAAATTAACTTTTCCGATCAAATAATCCGGATTGTAACAATATCATAATCGTCGCCCTCAGCCATGACCACAAAATTAGGAATAGAAGATAAGCTTACATTGTAGGCATCATTATGATAACTCTGCAAATGGATTAAGAGTATACCTGCCCGGTAATAAAGTTGTCCATCCAAAGTCTTAACTGGGAGTGCATCAACAGGATCGATCTCGAGAAGATTGTCATCTGCTGGCTTCTGAAGGGATAACTTTTTGTTCCGTTTCTCATACAACTTTTCCAAGTCATCTTCCTTTTGATCAGCAACCCGTGTAACATGCCTACCAAGAGGAATTCAGCATTATCAATCACACAATTGAGAACTATGAACTTGACAAAGAAAAACTTGTTAGTTCCAAATCCATTCTGGGTCATAGTATGCCGACATTCATCACAGTCACACAATTCACCTAATCCCAACTAGAATTATCGTCATGATATACAAACAGAAGAAATAGTAGGATGTTATAATGTGAATAAATGACAAATATATTAACAGCGAAAGTTTAGAATTGTAGACCATATCATAGGGTATCAAATTGTGACAATGTGATAGACGAGATCCTTTTTTTCTGGGCCAACAATCACAAAGCACTAAACAAGGACAAAATAAATAAATAATGGAGGTGCACTTAGCTCCAATCAGTGGAACTTACCAAGGTAAGCAAGCACACTACCTGACATGATAGACACTAAAAGCTTAGCTCTTACAAATATCTTTCCTCAGCGGCTTAAAAATCCCAGGAGCCGGAATGTTTCTATGGATATTCCAATCAACTGACTGACTGAAATAATCTTAAGAGCGTCCTTATGTTCTCTAAATGCTCTGCATATCCTTTTTCACCAACATTAAACCGGAAGATAGCAAGAATGGGATTGAAACACTGACAAAGGGACTTCCACCAGTCAGAAAAAAAAAAAAAACATCAGAAATCCAACTTGAAATGCATTATTGGTACTCTAGGTACAATTAATTACCAGTTAAAGATTTCACAGCTAAGAACAGGTACCAAGCGGTCTCCTTCACAACTCTTCAATGTACAGAGGAATCTTGGTCCGCGAAATAATAGTACATATAAGAGAGCAGTGTATGGCATTAAAGATGGAAGTCTGCATAGGGAGAAATGGGTGCACCAACAGCCTTCCAAAAAACACCCATTCAAATAGTGTTATGCCATTTAGTACTCGACCATTAGACTCCATTATATACAGTAATTGTGCCCATCTATTTATAAACTGGCTAATCTGAGTGGATCATCTGGTTCTTGAAAGATTCAGCTAGAATCGATATTGTGTTCGGTAATTCCAGACAGCTCATGACTCCAAATTGGCGGACACTATCTGATTTTGAGGTATACTATTGTACATTCTGAGGTCATCAGAATCTCTCCCTCAACCCATCTATATACGAAAAAGAGAGAGATTGGGGGACTGAGGATCCTTGTCTAAATTGAGATTCGACTGATTCCCCATAGCCTAGTCAAGCCTAGTCAGCATACGTACTTTTGGCCTAGTCATAGAATCACATGAACTTAGTATCAACGAATATAAAACTAATATAAAACTTTAGGCTTGGCAAATGTAATATTGTATTAAAGAGACGTCATTCATGACCATTTTATACAAATACCGACGACTCAGAAGATGTAAAAATGGAGTATCTGAGAGCAATAGAGGTGGCTTCCCACCTCAATAGTCATGGCAAGAGTATTCTCACTGACCCAACTCCCTTGGAGATTTGAAAAGCACAAGACGCAGAACACATCAGAAAAATAGGAATCACATGTAGTAATACTGTGCGAAAGAAGAAAACCGATTCAAGAGAAGGATGAAAAGACAGAGCATCCTAGCATTTTTTCTGGTCAATCGGGATAAAGCTCTATCTTTAGATTGACCACGACTCGGGTGTGCAGAGAATCTTGTCGGGTTTCGGTAACTAGCCAAGCGCTAGTGAAAGTTGTTAAAGCTAAATCTACACTCCTTCAGATGAAAAAGAAGAAGAATACCTAGACCTGCTGTACCCTCAAAGTAGGATCAGGCTTAGGCTACTAGAGACAGAGGCAAGTCTCTAATCTTATGGTTATGAGTGATGATTTGTCGGAATACCTAAGATAGGATATATGTCTTCAAGTTCCGGGATCGGTATAAAATTTAAGTGCACAGCATTCATCTTCGTCGTAAGGATCTTCTTCCTGATCTATTTCTTCACCTCAGTCTGGAAGATCATGGTCTTACTGTATTATTAAAAAATATTACAGACATGTGGCACATCAACTGAGTTTTGTTAATATAAACTCAGATGTCTACTCATTTTCATATTTTATACTGTACTTTATAATTACTTATTCAATTTAAAATAAATAGACAAGATACTTGTCCTATTTCAATCGTTGGCGTATCACGGGAACCCTTACATCAGCCTTCTCCTAGTGGTGAACAGCCATTGTGCAAATGCCCAGCTCTGCCACATTCTAAGCAATAAGAGCCATTTAAAATATATATCTGGTGCAGCATGCAATGCCCGACTATTTGTAACATGCTCCCGTATTATTTGTGATCCTTAGATTTCCTTAGAAGAGTGGGATAATGAATTTCTAGTACCAAAAATAAGCAAGATACAAATGATTCGCACAATCCCACATAGCAGAGCCCTACCAATGCAACCCATCTTTCGAGTTCCAATTAAATCATCTAATATGTTCCATACTGAAAAATGCAGCATGGATCAGATCTTTCCATTCCTACACCCTATTACAAATGATTCGTATAATTTCATACGTTATTTTCTTATTATCTAAGTTCTATGACAGCCTCCCACCTCTATTAGGCACCTTCTACAAATAGTGAATTTATATATTAATAAATATTCCTTTTTGTTCTTCATGTACAGTCAAGTTACATCAGATGCACCTAATAATCCCAAGGTGCACTGGATTTTTTTTCCATTCTTACAAAGTGGTTGTCATCATGCCTATAATAACTCGACTCACCACAAGAAAATTCAAAATCAATACAACTCGGTCAAAATTATGATGGGTTACTAGTCCAACACCATTCTGTCTCAAAAAGGTTCATATCCTGCGTAGATGTTCGACTGAACTCAGCATGAGCAATCCCTATTAAAATTCGATTGAATTTCCTGGGTGATGTGCATCTGCTTCAATCATAGAAAAGTCCTTTCTTTGCAAAATAATCATTTAATGGCTTAATTGATCAAAACATATGCTAATTTCACCCAGTCTCCACACTAAAGATGCATTCCACATATTCATTCTCAATTCAAGAAACTACGCCTATACTGCCAACAGATAAAGTATAAGAGCAAGTCAAGTGGTTCATCAACATTAAAGGCAAGGTAGTGAGCTTGATGTTCATTTGCTTTTGCAACCAATTTTGAAATGGAATATCATTACTTATTTAAAAAATATGCCTACATTAGTCACAGAACTATCATGATATTTCCAACAAAGACTATCATTGGAAACCCCTTACGTCATGCCATCCACAGAATAAGACCGAGTGAATTGTACCGTGCTTTCAATGTCTGAACAAAAAACACGAGTGTCCCTTTATTATCTAAGACTAGGTTGCCTCTGAAACAGATTTTTACTTAGAAATTGATTATTTTGCAAATTGACCATTTCCTACTCATTATTTTACAAATTTGATAATCACGGAAAAGGGAAAGTAATGCATAATACATAAAAAAATCCATAAACATTGGCACAAATAGAAATCATTGATCAAATTTGTGTTCCAGAGAATGGGAAAAAATAAATTTTTTTATAGCTAACCCTTTTTCATCAACTATGGATGAAATAGTTCTCAAGCTTGGTACATGCATCGGGACCAACTTATCAATCACAAGTCAAACAGTCTTCCCCTTTAGGGATGATCCCTTGAAGGATACGAACCATAGGGGCCTATCATCCTCCGTGACCAATAATCTGGGTAATTTTCAGAGATACTCCATCATCTTAAACTCATATAAATGCGTGGAGATAATACATAAATCACAGAGAGAGAAACAGAGCGATGGAACAGAGAAAAACCTGTCCTTTCAAAACCAACTAAACCTTGAAAGTATGTATTCGATTAGAAGGTTTTTGAAGTGGAAGAATCATGTTGCAACGAAACTAAGCTAAAGCGTGGCGTGTGAGCAGTTAAAGAGCGTCGAGTAAGGTGAAAAGGGGGAACAAATTGCCGCGCACCTATCAATAGATTTTGTGTCCAGGCGAGTAAGAAAACTCGCAAAGTCCTTATTACCGCGGACAAACTCCAAGTCCTCATCGGACACCTCGATTTCCTCCTCCCTGACCTCGGGAGGAAGACTAGGAGGGAGAATCACCTTCTTCTTCTTCCCCATTTGACCTGCAGAGCGACCACAAAAGTTCCCAACTTCAATCCTCCGATTGACATGCAAACTGCCCAGTGGCAGTATACAGTCATCAAGCCACCCTCAGTGGGGACCCTTGAGCATCCCCATCCTGGGTTAAGCTTGCAGCACGAAAAACGCCGCTGGGAGAGACGCAGACAGACGAGGTACTCCTGGCAGGAACACCCCGAACAGGAGAATGGAGACGAAGATTGAATAGGAAAAAGAAATGGACCCACAAGAAGAGACAGGATATAGAAACAGAGAAGAGCATCAGGAGGAAGATGAGGAGGAGGAGGAGGAGGAGGGAGCGGCGGCGGGGGAAGGAAGAAGAGGGCTACCAGCTGACCTGAGCGGCGGCGAGGAAGATGCGCCTCTGCAGAGGCGGCGACGGCGGGAATGAGAGCGAGAGTACGAAGATCAGAAGGGGGAGAACGATAACGGGCCGGGCTGCCCTAGGCGGCCCTGGTAATCGATAACGGGCTCAAAAGAGGGCCGCGGGCTGGGCTGGTCTGTGGGCCCGTTGAGGGCTCAGATAATGGTCTCAGGCCTATCCGTCATGTCACTAATTAAGCTATAACCCACACTGCTAATTAATTAACTAGCATTGCCAATGCGGGGCAGGGTGTCCTAAGTGGGCCCAGTAATCAATAAATGGCTAAAAATAAGTGACTCATGCCTATCTGTTGGGCCAATAATTAAACCATAACCAAGTTGAGTTATTGATGATTTTTAGACATTAATGAGAAATCATAAAATTGATAATATGTGATGTAAATTAGCATTGATGTACTAGATGAGATTAAAGATTATTAAATTATTTCAGCAAAAAACTATTGTCTAGATCATAGGAAATATCTCTTATTTCAAATTCTAGTCAAGGATATATAACTATTAGATTATGTGAGTATAAAGATAATAAAAAGAAATTATTTGATGTGATAATCAAGTGCCTTCAGTAATACATGTATATCCATAAAAAGGTATTTGAATGAGTCAGATGAAAGAAAATTTGGAGAAAATGATCTAAGTGTTGATTTTTTATTAATTTTATAAGATTCTTATTTAATATGTTCATGAAAGAGTAAAAAAGTCTAGAAGCTTGACCTTTTCTATTAAAATAATTTTTAATCTTAGAAAATATGTCATGTATGACTAGTCACATGTTTCTAAAACCATTCATAAAAACTCATAGTATTGAGAGAGTTATGATTTTTTCTTTTATTTATAGTTATTTTTCTGTATTTTCTAAAATCCATGCAAGACTCATTAATGCCCGTTTTAACCGTTTGACTCAATAAGAGGCAAAAAAGAAATAATCCAACCTACTCAGTCCAAATTAAGGAGAGAGAGAAGAACATAAATTTCATATAATGGTTGCTACTTCAATGAACATTTCTTATCTTCATCAACCCTTTTCAACCAAGTATCAAAGAGTAAAGTTTAAATGTTTCAAGGGAGATATGGATATTACTCCAAGTCTTAAGAGCTTCATCCTTCAAGCCAACACTGTCAACATCTTCTTCAACACTTGGTGGATGAAAACAAGATTTGAAGGCTTTAGTAAATTGCTTATTTATTTATTTATTTATTTTTGAATCTATGATATATGAGGATACCCCATCTTGCACTAATGGTGTACTTGAGTGGAAGACCCACAAATGTGATGTGTGTGGTGGCATGTCAAGTGCATGTGGTATGCTTGGTTAGTCATTGAGCATATATAGTATGTTATGTTGGTTAGTTCAGCTTATGTGCTGAACTTAAATCCATGGCACTTATAGTGTACTAAACATAGATTGAGTCATGTGGTGTGCTCACATCTAGGTGAAGTCTACTAAAAGTGCAGCTTCTAATATAGATACATAGACTTTAAATAGTACATGGTGTAGATGTAAAAAAAAAGAGTTTAGTTGAACCACTCTAAGATCCAATGTGCATATTTTCTTTTTGGTTTTATTTTATATTTATATATTCCTATATCAATTTAATTAAAATATTAATATATAATAGAGAAACAAAATAATAATTATTATATTGAATTAAAAATTTTAAAAATTAATTCACTCCTCCTCTTTATTTATCTAGCCATATAGGGACCTACAAGCCACATTGTTCATAAATTAGTGTGACCAATGGGGACCCAGACCATTTTTGCTCTTTGCCTACAAGTAGGTTTTTGGACCCAACTTTCTTTATTATTAAGGCCCAAAATTTAAGAAAGGACTTTATTAACTATGATACTTGCATGCCTAAATTTGGCCCAAAGTCTATTTTTTCTTCAAGGATTGGGTTTTTAGGGCTAGACTTTGAAACTTGGGCTTTATCAAATATATTCTTGGCAGCCAAGTCAAACTCTAGCTTCATAAAGTCCTCTTTCCTAAGCTCATTTTCCAAGATCTTCTTTCAATCTCAATGCTTATCAAAAATAGTTCCTCATTTAGTAATTCAAAAATTAAACATATGTCAAATAATCCATGGTCAAATTAAACATGTTTCAAAACCAAGCCTAATAAAACTTTACATAATTCATCATTTACCATGGTGAAATGTTATAAAATAATCTGATATTGATTAATGTGATGTGATGGCAAACCAGCAAGTTTTGAGCTCCATAATCCAATTTCTTTGGTTCTTCTTGCCAAAACTCATAAAACAAAACCCACATTGATTCTTATAAAGTTTAAAAACCACATAGCAGTCTACTCACTCTTCAATTATGAGTTTTTATTCTAAAACTTGAGCATTTTTTCCAAGTTTTTCTCCCAATCAAGGTCATATAAGAGTGACGTGCCCATCAATAAACAAGTGCCAAAATGCTTAGACCAAGATAAGTCAATGACACATAATACCTCTCAATTTATTTCCCAAGATTTTTCTTTGTTTCGGTCTAAATCAAATAAAGCTATTCAAGTTTTTCAGATAATGAAAATCTTTGAGCTGATTTTAAAGATGTTTGATCTTTTTTTTTCCATGTCTTCAGGTTAAGAGGAACATTCCCATATTTGTCAATATGAAGGAGAACTCAAAATAGTGGATTTCAACCCACTTTGGTTGTATAGTTTGTCAATGGGTTTGAATGAAAAACTCAATTAATTTAATATTTCCTAATTTTCAAGCATATTTTTGGATCATTCCTCTATCCAAAAAATTACAAAAAATATAATAATATAACGTTTATTGCAATAAATTATGTTGATAAGCTTAACATCATATCCATGCGTGAGCTTTGTAAGTCCAGCCCAAATAGGGGCCATTGACCTGTCCCCTATGTGATTGATATCATGATTCTATGCCACAATGTTATCAGTATATCGTCATAGTTTAGCTTATTCTTGAGGTCATGATAAGAAAATGGTGCTCATTGAAATATGTTTAAATTAAGGTTCATTGACAAATAAGGTTGGGGTAGTGGGTGTTCTTTTATCATCCATGGTAAGATGATGTTCAGACTAGTAACATAAAAATCCTGTTAAGATGAATTTAATAATAAGATGAAGGACATAGTGACTACACTGGCATTTTTATCATTATGATAATGTCACCCACTACCAACATACGTCACAACATCTAATGCTTGGGGTGGGTCAGCACGAGATAATAGGGCTGTTTGTCAAAATACTTGAAACTTAGGGTGTATTGGTCGTCTCAACGATTAGTCTCTCTCTCTCTCTCTCTCTCTCTCTCTCTCTCTCTCTCTCTCTCTCTTTCTCTCCATGTAGCCTCCCCCACACGCTACCGTTGCCGTCGCCGGCGACGGGGCCAGCTACGGCCACCAACGTCCAAGGCGGTTTCCCAGCGGATGGCAGCGCCGCCGCCGTGCCCGAATGGGTGAGACGAGACAAGAGAGAAAGAGCGAGAGAGAGAGAGAGAGAGAGAGAGAGAGAGAGAGAGAGAGAGAGAGAGAACATGCATGGTATTCATGAATGGCTCGCTCATTCATTAAGGTATTCACGAAGATAGACTGGGGGACTTGCACGCTTAAGGGGAATACTTGCATGGTATTCATGTCATGATTTAGGCATTCATTAGGGCACCCATGAAGAGAGAGAGAGAGAGAGAGAGAGAGAGAGAGAGAGAACATGCATGGTATTCATGAATGGCTCGCTCATTCATTAAGGTATTCACGAAGATAGACTGGGGGACTTGCACGCTTAAGGGGAATACTTGCATGGTATTCATGTCATGATTTAGGCATTCATTAGGGCACCCATGAGAGAGAGAGAGAGAGAGAGAGGATTACCAGTATATAAGGGAATTCTCGCATTGTATTCATGAATGAGTCACGAATTCATGAGCGTACCCACGAAGAGAGTGCGGACTTGCACACTTATGAGTACGTGTAAGGTATTGATGTCATGATTCGTCATTCATTCGGGTACCCATGAAGAGAGAGATTAACAACTTTACCGGGAAATTCTTGTGGGCACCTTTGATATGGAGAGTTATTGTTTACAGGGAAAACTTCTAGAGCACTTAAGAGAGAGAGAGAGAGAGAGAGAGAGAGAGAGAGAGAGAGAGAGAGAGAGAGAATGGGGTTTACAAGTTTGGAAGGGAATTCTTGCATGGTATTCATGAATGGGTCGCGCATTCATGAAAGAGAGCGGGACCTGCACTCTTATGAATACTTGCATGGTATTGATGCCATGATCCAGGCATTCATTGGTGTACCCATGAAGAGAGAGAACGAGAGAGAGAGAGATTTACTAGTTTACAGGGAAAAGCTTGTATAGCACTTAAGAGAGAGAGAGAGAGAGAGAGAATGGGGTTTACAAATTTGGAAGGGAATTCTTGCATGGTATTCATGAATGGGTCACGCATTCATGAAAGAGAGTGCGGGACCTTCACGATTATGAGGAGTACTTGCATGGCATTGATGCCATGATCCAGGCATTCATTCGGGTACCCATTCAAGAGAGAGAGAGAGAGAGAGAGAGAGAGAGAGAGAGAGGAGGTGCGACGGGGGAGGAACGAAACCACTCCCGGCGGCGAAAACAATAAATCCCAGGAGATTTTAACGGAAGAAAGAGAGCACGGAACGCGTACGCTCCTCCCTCCCTTCCTCCCGTGGTGGCGCATTCAATGCTCCCATTTTGGTGAGGTAGGCCACCCATCGCCGTCGAGACAACCGCCCTCTCTCTTCTCCCTCTGCTGCCCCCTCGTCGCAGATTCATTAAATGCCAGACATCGACGTCGGCATAGCGACGGCCGGCTTTAATGACCCGCCGGAGGCCGAAGAGAAGAAGCATTAAATGCGCCGTGGCGGAGTTCTCAGCCCCCACGCAACCCAACCCCTATCTCTCTCCATCTCTCTATCCCTCAATCTCTCAATCTCCTTGACTCCGTTTCCGCTCACCTAACGGCGTCGCCCTCAGGGACTTATCGGTAACTCCCACCGTTAACACGACGGCCGCCGCCGGAGAGGACTTGGTGATGACGATAATGATGATAACAATGATTAGCGGGATAATCGAGATTAGCTCGAGGAATTTTGCTTAAGAGACCCCATAAATTTTGGATATCTCCGAATAGGCCCTTCAGGGACATCTTCACAAAAACCCCAACTAATGTATCGCCAGGTCACTCATATTTACCTAAAAACCCTAAATAAAACGTATCTCTCGAAAAACACCTAACTAATCTGTTTTTTTTTCCTCGAAACGACCTGCATCTGACCCGGGGCGTTGTGGCGGCTGATGGATGATTAGGTAAAAGACCCTAAAAAAACCCTCACGATCGAAACCACCTCTACAGTTTTATATTTCAATTGTGGGCCCTCTCTCTCCCTCTCGAGACGCGGCGTGGGGGCAGTTGGAGTGTGGATTATTGCAAAAGAAAACCCTAAAAAATCCCGCACGATCGAAACCGCCACCAAAATCTCATATTTAAAATTCAGCCTCTCTCTCTCTCTCTCTCTCTCTCTCTACGCCGTCTTCTTCCACCTCCTGCCTGCAACATGTAGCCAGCCATGGCTGCTCGTACCGTCAGAGCTCAGACGGAGAGGACAAAGCCCATAAAAGTGGCACTCTCTGTAATTTCCATCTTCTTCCTCCTCTTTCACCGCGATGGAGATCACACACAGCAGAAGCAGAGCTCTGGGTATCTGGAGATGGAGGAAGAGGGAGGGATTCTTATTGCCTGAACAAGAGGAGAATCGATCGTTTTCTTTCTTTCTGCATTTTTTTTTGAACAGGAGCTTCTGGGGATGAATCTATGGAGGGGGAGGAGGTCTAATTCTCAGAAGAAGAGGAGGGTTTTGGGGGAGGCCGGCGGCGGTGCCGGGGAAGAGGGCACCGGCGCCGGGAGGGGGACGGGGGAGTGACAACGGGGGCAGCCGGGGTTAGAGCGGGAGACGAGCACGTAGCAAAGACAGGCGGGGCAGGCGGCTGCGGCCAGGGCGTCGCCGGAGACGGCAGCGGAGGCGCTCCCAGTGGAGGCGGCGGCGGATTGGTCGCCGCCCTGGAGGACGGCGGAGGAGGAGGAGGAGGAGCGCGACTCGCCCTCCAACTCGTCGTCCCGAGTCGACTCGCACCGCCGCCGCTTCGCCGACGAGGTGGTGGTGGTGGAGGAGGCGGAGGACGCCGGCGGCTCCTTCCGGCGAGGCTCCCGGTGGGCGGCGGCGCGCTCCAGCGCCGACTTCACCTTCTCCAGCGTGCACACGCTCTGGTACTCCGCCGCCGCCGGAGCCGCCGCCGCCGCCCCCGGCGACCGCAGGGTCAGGTCCAGGCTCGGGGCCTGCAGCAACAGAAGCAGCTCCCCGGCCGCCGCCCTCCCCGGCGGCCGGTTCTGGTCCTCCGCCCCGGTGCGCCCTCTCCGCTGCCACACAATTCCCACCCTTCATCAGCAAACGAATAATAATCTCCTCCGGCAACGACCTTCTTCACCCAGAAAGAAAACTACCTCGCCATCGCCGCCGCCGCCCCTGCAGCTGCCGCTGAGCAGATCCCTCGTTAGAACCTCCCCTTCCCCGCCGCCGCCGCCGCCGAGGAACCTCACGTCGGCCGTCATGGAGAGAGAGAGAGAGAGAGAGAGAGAGAGAGAGAGAGAGAGAGAGAGAGAGAGAGAGAGAGAGAGAGAGAGAGAGAGAGAGAGAGAGAGAGGAGAGAGATAGAGAGTCTAGAGGGAGAGGGAGAGGGGTGGGAGGAGGAGGGGGGAGGAGGTGGTTCTTATACGTAAAAATCGCAGCTTTCAACAGGGAAATGGAAAATTCAAGTGGGGATTTGCCTCCAATAATGACGTCGGCGACGGCATTAAATGCCCCCATTTCTTTAAATCTCTCCTAACTTCGCGTGTAATTAACATGAGAGAGAAAGAGATGTAATGTTAGAGAGAGAGAGAGATAAAGAGAGAGAAAGAGTGAGAGAGAGAGACATAAAGAGAAAGAGATAGAGAGATAAAGAGAGAGTGATATAGAGAGAGAGTCTAGAGAGAGAGGGAGTAATAAAGTTGGATTATATATCGTATAACGTAATGAAACTTAAATGGACAGTTATGATCGTCGTTAACTGGGGGCCCGGAGAAAGTCGGCGGGTCGCCGAGGATGTTTTTTCGAAATTTCCACTGAATTTTATAATTATTACAATTTTCCCTCCGTTCGGCGTAAAATATAAGACTACTCGTAATTAGAAGCAAAAAGAAAATTTATTTTTTTCCTGGGTAAAAATGAGACGATATAGATAACAAACAAGGCAGCTCCCCTCCTTGGTTGATGACATGGCCAGAGACGTCATCACGCGTGGCGGGCCCCACATCGATCCAATTGGGCCCACCCATTAACTGAAGTTGTTGGATACTTTTTTCCTCCAATAAATAAGCAGTAATCTGACCATGTTCCCTCATTAAATATTCCATTGGCCCATAAGCGAACGGCCAGGGCCCACCCAGACTACTACTCTCTACCCTAATATGGGCCCGACAAAAAGCCCAATAATAATTATGGGCCCATTTCCACATCCAACTGTCCCTACGTAGATATATAGATAGATAGAGATAGATAGATAGAGAGAGAGAGAGAGAGAGAGAGAGAGAGAGAGAGATAAATGGACATAAATATATATAGATATAGATAGGGAGAGAGAGAGAGAGAGAGAGAGAGAGAGAGCGGGTTGGGCCGAGCTTAGAGTACAAGCACGAGCCCAGAAGAAAGTCGGGTTGGGGGAGAGGGCAGTTTAGTCTGTGGGACCCACTGACTACCAAACTGGCGTAATAAATTCAAATAATGATTATATGAATAAAAAAAGGGAACCCATGTGTTGTGGGCACGGGATATGCGAAATATTTATTAAATATCTTATATACTGGGCATTAATTATTCCCTTGTAAAGCATAGATAGATAGCAAGGCATGAATGCAAGTCTCTTTCAACCCATAAATATACAATTGGCCAGTTTTTGACCACTCATCAATATTTAGTTCCAATTATAGACTTTAAAGAGAGAGAGAGAGAGAGAGAGGAGGGTCAACGATCTAGAAAGATAGAGAGAGAGAGACGAAAATTACGAATAAAATGAATAATTATATAATAATAAACGTATCCATGGAAAGAAGACGTTGGATAATCATAATTATTATTATAATAAAAATTATCGGTCATAGTACAGCGACCTTAGCTAGCCGGTGATCCGACCATGACGTTGACTATCGATCCCGCCCGCTGGGTGTGCCGACGCCATTGACCGAATAGTACGAGCCGACCGCGAAGAGTACGCAATTTAAGTCAACGTTCTTTATTGTTCGTATGTTGGGTATTTTCTCTAGGCCCAACCGACATTTAATGCGCTCCTTTGACATTTTACAACGCTCTGATTTTTTTATATTTATTAATAAAGATTTTCTGTTGCTTGTTCGACCTCATCCACGGCTCCTAGAGAGAGAGAGAGAGAGAGAGAGAGAGAGAGTTCAATAATACACACGTGTGGTTTACCATCAAGTGGGCCCCACGGAAAAATATAATATAAAATAAACAAACCTTTTTAAATTCAAATAATACCGAAAAACGTTAGATATTTGATTCTGTTATGATGACGTCAGGGGGGAGAGAGAGAGCGGCTGGTGGCACGAGTGGTGAAGTTACCGACGGGCCAGAACTCTTTTCGGCGTGTCACATCTTGGAGTAATATCCAGTTACAGTGCTTTATTGGAGTTTGGTCCCGATTCCGTTGTAACCCGCGGACGTCACATCGTCACCAATGTTCTTCGAACGAGAAGCATTTTGCAAATAACTCCTCGTTGAGAATGGCACAAATAGTTTCCCCTGTGTTGAAAAGTAGTAGAGAGAGAGAGAGAGAGAGAGAGAGAGAGAGAGAGAGCACAGGGAGAGAGGGAGAGAGAGGGAGAGAGAGAGAGCACAGGGAGAGAGGGAGAGAGAGGGAGAGAGAGAGAGCACAGGGAGAGAGGGAGAGAGAGGGAGAGAGAGAAACTACATTTAAAGGTTCTTCATGGCGTCTTGGTACGTGCAACACGTTGAAAAAATGCAAGCAGGGAGATAATTAAGGCCGTTGACAAAATGCAAGCAGGAGGAAAATGGGAAAATAAATAGATGAATCCATTTCTTTTCATATTTATAACACCCGAATCAACACCAAAAAGGAAAAATTATCCACTTGTCATGCTCCCTCTCCCTCCCTCTCTCTCTAGGTCTAGTTTTGGGCCTTTCTTTATACCAGGCCCAACTAAGGCTTCCGATTAAGCCCATCCTAGAAGCCCGGTGCTCCTCTCTCTCTCTCTCCCTCTCTCTCCGACCTGGTCTAAGTTGAGTCGGATTGGACGATCAACAAGAACAAGAAGAGGCTTCACTGATGATCTCTCATGTGCACATCTCCGACAACATCCTCTTGAACACAATCTCCGCCGCCCCCGGGTCGACTCTGAACCCAGACCCTCCGCCACCGTACCGGAGGTGGAGGAGCTCCGACGGAGAAGGCGGCGGCGGCAGAAGGGATGAAACCCATGGAAAACCAGGCGGCGGCGGAGGAGCTTCACTGTTCTTGTTGGAGTAGACGACGTCAGCGAGGAGGAGCCATATCAGATCAGAGTCGACGCGAGCGAGCGCCGCCAGCGCCTGCACGGCGGCTTCCCTGAGGTCCGCCACGCCGCTGCAGGCGATGCCGACGACCAGGCCGGCGACCCTCTTCAGCACCGCCTCCACGGCGGCGGCGCTACGAGTGTCTGCCGAGATCTCTGAGATCAGGTTCAACACGGCTTCCTGGGTCTTAACGGCGGAGGCCTCGGCAACGATCTGGTCTTCCGAGGATGGCTCGGCGGCGGCTCGGTAGGGGAGGAGGATTGGCCTCGAGCCCTCCGCCGGCGGCGGCTTCCTCTGGAATGGAGACGATGCCAAGAGGTTCCAGATGGCGGAGCCATCGAGGCGGAACCGGCGGATGAAGAAGTCGCCGCCGCATGCGTGGACAGCTGTGCTTATGACACGTGTGCATCTCCTGATCACCGCCTGCAGACATGGTGATGTCTAAATTAAGAGTTGCAGAAAACTGAAGAATTTTAAGAAATGTCACAGAAACAAACAAATTCCTAAGAATTATGCAAAAAAGAAAAAGAATTGAGAGAATTAGAAGACGGCGAAGTTCATAAATAAATAAATAATAAATAAAGTTAATAAAATAATTTCAAGCATCGATCAACGGTTCTTTTTTTTTTTTGAATAATTTTATTTTTCGGCCATTACTTAATGAAGGTTTCTCATTACCTAGAAGAACATAATTAACATGGACAGCAACCTAGGATGATCTAAAGTCTCCAATTAAAAAACTTAGAGATGAATCATAACAGGGGCAGTTAAAAAAAGCATAAAAAAAGGTTTTCTTGAACGGATAAAAGCATAAAAAAATAAAATCCCGACATCTTAAAAGCTAGTAAAGTCAACATGGCTCCAAAACATGATAGAACACATGAAATGTTTTCATTTCGACAACCTAAACAAAAGGGCAAAATTGTATTTTCAACAGGTGCTTAGTTCAGAGATTATTTATCCATATAAATAATCTATTTACAGGACTGAGGGGTCATGGCCAAGTAAAGGATCCCGGATGAACTAGTATTTGAGAAACACAATTTTTTTTATTTCTAAAGTGATATGCAATGAATATATATATATATAAATACCCATTAAGGTAAAGATTGGAGATTCTAGGAAAAACAAAAAATCTTACCACCGAAGTTCTGTTCTTCATGCAAAGGACTAAGTACGGCCATATTTTGTTCATCATGGGAAGTAAACGGTTCTCGTCAGTTCCCCCACCATCTGAAGCGTCTGTAATGTCTTGTAGATCTTGAAATAAAGAAGATTGAATTTGTCTCTCAATTGCTTCTTTGGTTCGTTCTTCACTCTTGTATGCATCCTCCACCTTTGAAATAGCCACAATTCCATCCTAAAAGGAGGAGAAAAGATTTACACACCAACCACAGACGATAATACATTGCATCATCAGAATAATCTTTACTCAAGTTCAAAACATTATGGGCATCGAATAGGATTGAACAACTTGATTAAATATTCCCGTGATAGTTGCAAATAACGTGCATGTGGGTTCCAAGAATTATGCTAAAATACAGTAATGAGAAAAACATGACGCATATCTCACCAATCTGTCAAGAGTCCGGTACAATGAATGAATCATAGAAAAATAATTTTCCAGGTAATTCAAAACCCAGTAGGAAAATATGATCAACTTCGTTCAAATTATGCTTTCGAGGATCATGGGTCTGATTCCTAAAACGCATTACGATCAGACGGATGGCCTATTTAAACCATTATGATTTATAGTTTTAAAAGGATCTTGGACATAAACTTAGGGTAAGTCAGAGATGATTTGGCCCAAGTTCTAAAGAGTTGCAAGTGAATGATACCATATCAATCAGTTTTTCCAAAGCGTCCAAATATGTTGCGCAATCTATTATCTATTAGCTCAGATAGATGACATTATAAATTTCTTGAATTCTGTAAGTGCCTACTGTTTTTTTAAGAGAAATCAAAGAATATGTATGCTCAGGATAGCCTTATTTCAGGCTTAAATTGATATAAAACGATTTGCTCAAGGGACTGTAGGTTCAGATCATATTATTAGACAGAAGAATTACTAGGTTAAGGGCTTGAATCACCTGAACTAGAGTGATAATAGGGGAATATTAAGGGGCAAATCGAAAAGGAGGAAGTCTTCATGGCAACAGTAAATACCTGATAGAAAACCAAATCGAAATGCTGATGTTTATCTCCAATATCAAACATCGGAAGAACCTGGAGTATGACTACAAAGCTAACTTTATTGTTATAGTCTGGGAGCAAAATTTCATTTTTACAATTTAGATAAGTTAATAATTTCTTCAACAGACATAAAAATCTGTTCGAAGAGGACATGCAAGACCTAGTTAACAACATTTCAAGAGAAATATAATGTTGCCCTTCGTGAAGTAACACCTTTTTAATTAAAAAAATAAAATTCATATTAGTATACGTTTCCAATACCATTAAATGGGTTCCCTCTAAATCAAGATGCTTTTACTAAAAACCCAGAACAGTAGATATAGGTCAAATGAGACGATACCTCAACAATGTCGAGTGCTGCTAGACAAGCTGCTTCTTTAACCGAAGCAAGTAATGGGCCAGCAGGTTTTAGGCAAGATTCTGAAATAGAACCAACTATGCGTCGGTACCTCTTTAATTCATTCAGCTTAATCAGCAACTCTTCCCAGTATTCTAACTGGTCGTCATAACTGGCGCACTTGTCGCTGGTTTTTGCTGAAATATCAAATGTAATATCGAAATGAAATATTAATTTCCAACACACGGTATATGCAATTACCAAAAGCAAGGGCAAACTCGCACTAACATTGCCCCGCTGTGAAAGGGTTTACCTGATTCAAGGGAACTAACGTGCGATTCTGTGTTCACTGAGCCATTTTCCCCTCTTCCTTTCTCTGCACTAAGGATCTTGTCTTTGACACGCATGTAAAACGATTCAGCTTCATTACTCACTGCTGAAGCTTCACGCCTTGAAGCTCTCATGATTTCTCGAACAGCCTAGAGAAAATAATTAATGTCACAGTGACAGGTATATATGACCTGGAGAGTTAAATGCTATAAAGCATGATCAAGAAGGAAGCAAGCCTAATGCTTTGAAGCACAAGAAGAATTGAACACGAATATTTATTCCAACTGGTTTTAATCTTCGCAATAGCAATAAATAACCCATGTTTCATAGCTCAGCTGACCTTAGAAAACATTAAATACAGCATAAAACAGGAGATTAAATAAATTCAGAAAAGGAAATATCAACGTGCAGGGAATCAGCCTGCCGTACACACGCTAAGAACATGGCAAAAAGACTTAATCACACGCAGCATGACCGTGAGATGCAGAACAAATTTTTTGAATATGAAATCCATGTCGGAGTTTGGAGTCAGTTTTTCCAGGGTGCTAGGCCCACCCATCGTTCTGCAGATCCAACTTTGAGGTAGGTTAGTGAGGGATTGCAGGAGAGCAGAGACCCGTTGAGAGCAAGGGAAATTTTAAAGGGTATTTAAGACTTTTACCCCCAGGGGGACGTCCTAACCACATACTAGTAGCTCTCGTATTGATAGTGGGCTCAGTGACTGTAGATACAGGGCATCCAAACCGTTCTAAAACATGCATACATTTGCATGTGATTATTTGTCTTCTTCTTTCCCTTCTTCATTGCCTTTAATAAGTCATTGGATGGTTTTGCACCTACAAATCTTTAAAGATAACAAAAAAGGGCGAAACCCTAATATGCAACAAATTTCCGAATCAGAAAATAGGGAGTAAGCCAATCCCTCCTACAGGTACAATATGGATGTGGAATACTAGTAATAGAGTCTGTGGGCGTACTTGTTTTATACCTGGTACATCACACCTAATGATACTTCAAGAACTTGTGGTACCATTCTTTATTATATTGATAAAAAAATAGGAACATTGTGAGAAGCAATCAGCCGTGATTACTGTGATGGCAAATGTGAATAGCAACCTAAATAATTGAACATCCAACATCACTGGAGGCAAAACGCTGTTAACTAGTGTGGGCATGAAAAATGTGCATTTCCTTAGGTGACAATATTTCAACTATTGAATACGAAATATATAATGCGATGATATATTTTCCCCACCTTCAGTTGTGAGGATAAATCACATATCGTCAATTTTTTATTTATGAACCATAGTGCTATCAGATGACAAGACATAATAAACCCACAAATTACAAGACCTTAAAGTAGTCGCGAAAGGAGTGAAAAGGGGCCATATATACTGAAATTATGAACAGTATGTGAAGGCTGTCTCACATCACCCCCATATGCTGAGGATCTAGAAACGAACTCTCTGCACAAAGATTTTCATCACATGCACCGGGTTTTATAGTAGGCATGCACGCCACACATTTCTCCTGACTTTGTTGACTAGTAAACAGATATGCCTATTAAATTTCAAAGGGCAACGCACTAAAGAAAAGCAGAGTAAGAACAAATGAAGATTCACTGAAATTGAAGACGAACATACATAAGCAAAAGTGGGACATCCCAGGATCGTATTTGGTGAAAGGATTACAGTAAGAACAAATGAAGATTCACTGAAATTGAAGACGAACATACATAAGCAAAAGTGGGACATCCCAGGATCGTATCTGGTGAAAGGATTACCATATGGGAATATATTATTATTATTATTATTATTATTATTATTATTATTTTGAATCACATCATGCCAATGGATATTTTGTCAAGGACACTAACTGTTCTTCCAAGGAAGGGATTTTAAATTTAGATTCATCAAATTTTCTGACGTACACTTCCCAGCCATTATCATGCATGTTCAGACAACTATTTTATTAGTTTTTGGCCTTGATCATGTAAGCTCTCTTTTACACTTCGAAGAAATATACCCAACATTTTTATCTGCATTTCCAACTGTTTGTCTATATGAACAATCTGCATCAGGATCTGAAATTTTCCCCGACATCTTCAGGTGTTTCAACGAGGAAATGACCTCAAGTCAATGACACAATGGTATATATATTTCTTCCAGACCCCCACAGCATAAATAATTAAATGAAAGACTAAACAAAGATAATAAAAAGTTACCGTGGTACCTTAAGAAAAGGAACAGTCAACCCAGGGTGCTGATTCCGGCCGAGGACTTCAAGTTCCATTGATATAGATCGCATCTAATCATGTTCAAGATATATTTTTAAAGCAAAATGAGCAATGCCATCACCATCTAATAATGGAAAAATATTCAAATAGCAATAGCATAGGGACAATGCTTAGACAAATATGACATATAAATGATGTAACCTATGTGGGGCTAATTAGTATCGAGTCGAAAGTAGATTATTCAGTGAGAAGGGCATTCTTGAGGCATTAAACCGTCACTGTGTTGGTTGCTATACATTTACAGTAGTGAATCTAAGTCCTGTGAAAAACTCAAGTCAGACATTCAAGTTTTCGACCCAACATAGCTGCTGACTTTATCTAGTTTTGCAGCTTACATCCAGGAAAGGTATATTCCCTATAAGACCATTCTATAACGACTCAAGATAGTGAAGTGGAAGATCATCAGACAATAATTCTAGGCCAACCTTTAAAAGAAATAATCACTTCAACAAGATAATATCTTCCATGCATACATTAGAAACAGTTTGGATACCCTAAATTCCACAAATCCGAGAAAGTACATAAGGATTAGATATACGAGGGAAAGAATAGACCTGTTCTTCCTGTGTCCGTATCTTTCATCCAATTAAGGGGAAAAAACTGGAACTTGAACAACTCATTTTTGGTAAAGAGATCAAGGAAAGGGTCATGAGACATTGCAGTAAAAGGGCACTTGTATGATCATCACAAGGCTACCACTGAGGAAAGGATTCTGGAGACGAGACACGAAACGAAATCACATTAAAGCTCAAGCAGAGAAGCAGAATTTTATTCTTTTCAGACGATTAAAAGCTCAAAGGCATCAATTTATATTGAGAAGTTTGACAATATCGACAGAGATTATTCATTGTCTTAGAGGATAATATTATAAGAAATCAAACATGATTTATGAAGTCGTAATAATTTTCAAGTTATGGGAATACGAACAACAGTGAAGCATATGAATCGAATCAAATTTTAGTTTAATAATTTATCATGAGCAGACGTTCACCAAAATAGAGACCCATCTTTAATGTCATACAATAGTATCTTCCAGAGCTCTCAGTGAGTACTTTCAACTGTTGGTATAAAATCAAGACATAACATTACTATTAATGACAAAAAGCTTGTTCATATACATAAACATCATCTATGGGGCAAATCATAGAAGGGTACTTGACTGTACAAAAAGTTTCAGATAACTGAACTTTCACATACCGGTTCCTCAAGTAGTGGCAAAATTTCATGAGCAGCACCAATATAAGAAAGCATGGCAGAAAGCACATCAGGGATGCGAGGATTCAGATCCAAGTGACGTAGTTGTCGACAGAGTGAATCAATGACGTAGTCAGCATTTGACACAACTAAGTGACCCACCTATAATGCCATACATCAGTATTGACTTGACAGTTCAAACATGAGAAACAAAAAAGACTAAGGAAACTGCATACAGTTGGATAGCCAGAAGCAGTAGAAACAACACGCAGGACAGCGTCCGACGCACTCCTAACTTGATTGCATGAGCAGATGAGATTTTGAAGTAACAAATAAATAGAAGACTGCATGAAACCACTTCTGAAAAAATGTTTCCCGAGAGATATGTTGAAGATGCCTATTCCCTCAATTATAACCTGGATTAAACGACAGGCACTGAGATGTTAAGACCAGTTTACTAATTCGTCAAAAAATGGAAAAAGGAAATAGTTAAATGAAAATGGTGATGATATATTTCCTGGTGCAGCATGATTGAGTCACGAAGAAAATGGAGCGACAAGTTTTCTGCTTGCATGCCTTGAGATAATTTTGACGACTTCTCATCAATAGGAAGTTCCCAGATTTCATGAGATAAATACTCATGCAAAACAGCTCCAACACAGTTAATCACTTGCTCCTTAGCATCCTGAGAAGTCTTCCAAACATATTTCTCCTTTCTTAGATTGAAATCAGGTTTATCATTTGCATCCGCTGCTTGATTTTCCAGAGACTTCCCTATCTTGGATTTGTTTTTCCCAAAAAACTTAGCAAACAGAACTGCCGATTGATCAGACGTCCCATATATCATTTCATTTATAACACATGAAGCAGTACTTGCCTGACGAACGAACTGGCCAGAACCACTTCTAGCATACCACAAGTGCCAATTTTCTTTACCAAAACTTTTCATCCGGATCTCAGAAATCAACTTTCGAACGCATTCAAGGGGACTATCGATAAGAAGAGACAATGATACGTCGCTTCTGTGCTCTAGCCAGAATAAACGAACAGAAACATAATTAATATATGAAGTGTATTCAATTGAGATGAAAATTTGCACAGTATCTTGAAAATGCTAACTACCTGCGGTCATGGCTAAACCAAGAAGTCTAAGTAATCTTGAGAGAGCCATATATAACTTATCACTGCCAACTGTAAGAAACCATGGAGGCATGCGTGGAAGTTCAAAACTTCCGTATACATCATTGCTCTGTACAAAAGAAATTTGTGGTACAGCAGGAGAAAGCCTAGTGATGTCATGGTCGGGAAACTCAAAGAGACTGACAGCTTTTAACTCAGCAATGGAATGCAAGTACCCAGTGGATAATGGTTTTGACAAAATCAAGTTGTTCAGTGGGCCAGAATATAGTGAACTCTGACTGAATGATGACATTAAAAACTCCATAAAGCGAATAGCTTTAATCTGCAAATTACAAAAACAGAGTGCAGAAGTTTCATGTAAGTTGAAAATTATTTCTTCATAAACTACAAAAATCTTTAGCAGCAAGACAACGAATGATAAGTTCAGATCTTTTACAGGGGGTTGAAGAAGGTGGTCAGCCACAAAACCAGGACCAACATAATACATCAATGCAAATAACTTCTGTGCGTGTGATACTGCGATGGTCTCCTCACCACCAAGAACAACTCTTGGAAACGTTTCTATCAGCCTGGAAATGGAGTAACAACTTCATCCACGGAAGTAACAAGTCCGAATTTCACACAAAAAAGAAGCATACTTACCTGTTAAACAACACTGCAAGATCAGTTTCTAGGAAGTACTTGTTCTTGAACTTTAAAAGGGATTCAACAGCCTCCTGTGCATCTGACAACACGGCCTCTGAATCATCACAAACCAGAACACATAAGCATTCCTGCAATTATGTAGCCAGGAGCAGAAAAAAATAAGCACACAGAATTGAGCATGCCTAACAATCTAGAAAGGGACCAAAGCAAGCCTAGATAATAATATGATTTTTTATCAAAATGTCTGGCAAAACCGACTTCTAGAACCTTCATTACCATTATTCAGAATGAAGTGATGAGATAAGCCCTTGAAATACATCAATTCCGAAAGCAGCATGTTTATGAGTGCAAAATACTGATCAAAGGTCAAGATAAATAAAGGGACGTTTGAACAGTATTCATTATGAGAAGTTCAAAAGTAACATTGTAAAAAGTGGAGTGTTGATAATGAAAAGAAGATCATATAAGTGATGTGAATGGGTGAGGAAACAAAAGGAAAGCATGAAATAAACGAGTATTTGTCTGGTTTCTAGATCAAATTTGTCAGTGATGACAAAATCAGCGAATCCAAAGTAATACTTCTTTCTGGTTTACATCATGGAGTCATGTCTCATCTCATGCTGGATCAATATCATTGCTCTACTGCTGTAATAGCCTGGAGCACTTATTGCTTCTGCTCTATAAATCTGCTTAACAGAAAAGGAGAGGCTATGCTGGGAATTTTATGGCTCAACTAAATGTAGAATTGTGTTTTACCATCTCAACTCCCTGTAACATATAAACACCATAAAGCCAACTTGTACAGACTGTAATACACATAATAACGACAAAAACTCCAAGCCAAATCACCAAAATACAGCATGGACAAACAGCCGGTCTAATGAAGAACATCAGTCATACCCATGGGAAAGAAACGGCTTCTGCACAGAGCTGTCAACAACATTTCCCATGGACTGAGCCATTCTCCTACCGATACCAGGATCAAGAGGCCTGTAACTTTCAAGATACTAGTACTTGCACTTTTATAAAGAAGAAGATGGAGAATTATTGTGTAATAGACGGCCACATAGATCAGCAAACTTTTAAGAGTACTTGAAGGAATCTTCCAAATGACATGGAGGAAAAGTGAATGATGGATAGCAGAGGAACCCTACACATGAATCCATATACCAATTTATTATAAATGAAGGATATGAAATCACAGGCATGGGAACCATGGAAGCCAGAGTTAACTGACTCTATTCTGAACTGCTTGACTTTAAAATCCAGGTTAAAATCTTATTCACCTTCCTGCAAGATCCCATGGTGAATGTTGCTTCAACCTAATCATTTTCATTAATCACTGAATTGTAACACCAACTCCATTCTACAATGGAATTCTGACAAGTAGCTATCAGTTCAGGGATCATGAATCATCTTTCAGAATAATAAATTTTACTTTTCGTCAAAAAATAATAATAGTTGTACTTAAAATCCTACAAATACGATGATGCTTGATCACTCCAAACTTCTAATTACTGCCATATTTTCACGAAATGAATGAAATGCCTTTCATCACATATTTTCATTATCACAAAGAGGGGAGAAATAGCTATCACGTCTTAAAGGATTTTGTAACCCTAAAAAAGACTGAGGTTCCTAAACCTGAAAGATTGGTTTAAAGATTACAAAGCTTTAAGTGTCACACTAACTTCCACGAATTTTGAACGTGAGTTTTAGGCAAAGAAAATAAGGTTTTTATAAGCCAGAAAAAGCCTAAAATGAAGAAAGTAGGATAAGAGTTGAGCCCTCAATTACAGGGCAAGACATGCAAAAAATAAGCTGTGATGTGTCAAAAATATAGTATCAAGTAAAAGTATTGCATCAAGTGCCGACACTTGTAATCAAAATACAAACAGACAATCACAATGGCGACACCTACTGCTCGAGGTTAACATGTGGGTTCAGAATTAACACTTGAGATTTATCAGGACTTGAGATTTGACACTGATAAGGTTAAAGGCTTGATCCACAATGTGACAATTACAGTTACAACACTTGAGAACTTGGAATAATTATTTTACTCGAAATTTAATCATAAAAGATTGAAAAATTAGTCCTTTTTCTGATTGTTGAATGGTTCTTGGAAATTACTAGTAGCCCTCTTTGAAGATCATTAAAGGGTTCCACTGATTCATAATTTTGAAAACTTGAATCTCACTATCTAAGCTAACTCAATAGTTGATCAAAAATTAAGTGCGTCCTCGAGATTCGTTTTGATATCCTGAACTCTATTAGTAGTTTAAGCTATTTATTTCTTCTTGTCCTTTTCTTGTATAAGCTTCTCCTCATGCAAGGCTTCGTGGTGGTGTAAGCAAAAGTGTGGAGAGCACATCGAGGAACTACTTATTATTGGTTAGGGGTAACTTAATACAACTACCTAGGGTAATATTTGAAGAGTAGAGCGTCTTGAATTAGACAGAACCATAGAATTCTGTGTCTTCTGCGCTATCTTTTAGCAACATTTACCCTCTTAATGCTAGATCTGGATAGCTGACTGGGATCAACATGCATGCATGATCAAACAAAAAACATTCAAATTATCTCAACATGTTGGACAAAATTATACGCAATTTGAATAAAAAAATTTAGAAGTGAATGTGCGCATTTTTATTACCTACTTCAAATAAGAAAATACTAGCTTTAAAAGACGACCGAAGGTGCAAAATATCAGTTTTAGTAAATGGATTATGTCACGAAACTTCTTAAGACATTCTAGCAAAATAACATTTACAATTCCAACTGCTTGAGGTTTTGATTAATTACAAAGCAATAAGCACACACTCAATGCGTGTATGTACATAGAAATTCAAGAAACTCATCAAATGTTGATGTGAAACTTAGAAATGTGTCAGAATTGAGCAAACTATGAGAAAAAGTTAGCTTTTAAAAAAGAATTAGGTTTGCCTAGCTTTGGCAAAATAGGTATCCTAAAACACAAGGCTTTGAGAATAATCTTCAAGCATGACATAAAATATGCCTTCTTCAAGTATCGAGTATCGACTTCTCATGGTTCTTACACAAAATGTTGGATTCATAAGATCAGATAGGTATCTGGTAATTCATCTTGAGACGAATAACTATTTTGGTCCAAAATTGCGTTTTTTCACAAAATCACCTGCTTCTAGATTCCAGACTGAATCTTTAAATTTACATCATCATCAGGACGGAAAACATGTGTCATATTAAAAAAGGTTCTGAATTGCAACTAAAAATGACAGCTTCTTCAAGATATATAAAAACTACTACAATCACCATAGATTATAGTCTCCACAACCACTGTAATGGCAATTGAAAATACCATAAGGCAAAAAACTAAATCATGGGCTCAAATGACATAGAATATCAGGATAAAAAGGACACATGCAAACATTGTTGAGTTGCTATCTACACTTCCAGCACTATATTTAAACAATATTAACGTGCACACTGTTGACTAGTTAACAATTGTGGTTCTATCGACTGCCCATAAGATAGTTCATGCGAAAAAGACACTCAAAGTATCGTTTCCTATCAAACGAACAACATAAGAAAAAATATTGGTCACAAGAGGGGTAAGATTACTTACTAGTAGCATTAATTTGCTTTTTTTCAATGAACTGGAGCAATTTAACAATATTCTTCTAATACTAGCAACAACGCCTTGCCTGACCTTTTCAGCAGGATGCATACAAAGCTGATTGAAAATATACAGAAAATGTAAAATAACGTCATGTGACATCAAACTGACACTTAAAACATCGCAAAATAATGAAAATGCCAGAGAAGACAGTGCAGTTGCTAAATCATACATGTGGAAGTACAGCAGATAACAGTTGATCCACATGAAGAGCTGTTTGCTCAATCCATTCTTTTGTACGCTGCACATAAAAGGACCTTGTACTTCCATCAGAATCTGCATTTCTCTGTATCAGCAAGGAGTGCTCACTCCCAGACAGATTTATTGGAGACACAACTAAACTATCTTCTTGGGCATGCCCTTTCACAGGTAATTGACGGAGGGTCTCCAAAACAGATTGACTAAGTTCCTTTCTGTCAGATTGTAACTCATTTAAATTATCCATCTTCACCTCAAGGGCATTACCATTCATTTGATCCCTAAGAACAATCACCAGAACTTCACTTAAGGCTCTTATTCCATGGTCAATGCTTTCAACACTTCCAGCAGCGCCGCTTAACATACTTTTGTTGACATAAAGAGCTTTCCCAAGGCGACTGACCACACCAGGAAGGAAAAATGCAAGGGCATCAGAGGTACCGACCTATAACAGAAAAATAAGGCCAATATGTCAAAGAGGTAGTGGGCTGATATCCAAAAAAGACCAATTCTGCATGCAAAGTTAGACAAAAAAGGACACTACGACTATTCATTAGTAAAAGATAGACCACTTGGGATGATATGGAGAAGCATAAAAAAATAACAAGCAATATATTAGAACCCATGGTGGATGACCACGGGAGCACAAACACATGGGCCAATGCCATTCAACACCTCATTAATCTAATAAAGAAAGAGATAATGGATTTTCCGAGAACAGGCATTTATCTGAAAAAAAGAACAGCCCTTTGCGAAGAATAGCTGTTCTAACCATACAACAATCAAAACACTCTAAAATACCACCTCTACCATACCTTCCGAAAATGGCATGCAGAACCGACCCATCCCCCCTATACCCCTGGCATATGGCAGAGAAGATGCCAGGGAGAAGACCAGAACTTTGTTTTGGGATTCTAGTACACTTGTGCCCTTTGAAAGATGCGATTCTGCAAATATTCTCAGGGTTTTATAATCTCAACGTGAGGAAATGAGCAGTTGATACAACAAAAGCGAGAGGGTTTTCACCCATCTTTAGACCTTCAATGATTTGAAACGTGTTTGTTGAAAAAAAGTTTTAAAAAAGAACCCACGTGTAAGATTGGGAATAGAAGGGTGAAGAGATTGTTGGCAAGAAATATAAACAACCTGTAGGGCACTCCATTATTATGATGTGCAAAGCTGAAGTAGCAAATGATGTCTCACAACCGTTCAGCCCCCCCATGAGGATTTCATGAGCAAGGCAATCTCTCTCTCTCTCTCTCTTCTCTCTCTCTCTTCTCTCTCTCTCTCTCTCTCTCTCTCTCTCTCTCTCTCACACACACACACACACACAACCCCCCCATCAGTAATGATCAATGGGATCACAAAATGGCATAAACCAAAGGATTAACAGGAGGAAGTCAGTATACGACAGTCCAACTGATGCAAAGAAATGCCACATTTTTATCACTTGAAGGACTCTATAATTCAAATGGTTTAGAAGCATCCTTCCCCAACTATACCTTTGCGATGAGAATACGAAGTGTTAAGAATGCCTCCTTGCGCAGCTTTGCACTGCCACGGAGCCCTCTTTCAGCCTCAGTTTCTCCAATCTTTCGACATTAAAACAAGAAAAGTAAGGATAAGCTGATGGGGAGATAACTGCAATGAGACAATCATTTCCACACCTGGAGAAGTAGTGATAACCAGTGTCCAACAGCTGCAGAATTATTTGAAGATTGAAGAAATGCCATTAGACAGTCTTCTGATTCTCTGTGATACTTTGAAGCAGCACTAGCATAACCTTGCAAGATGTTGCTGAGTGCCCAAGTGGACAAGGGAGCCACTTGTTTACACGTACATGATTCTGAGGAACAAGGCTTCAACTGAAGAAGAAGCACCCGTACGCATCTGATGATTCCCTCACGAAATTCTTCTGAAGTATAAGATGATGGAAGTGAAGCTCCCATAGCCAACTTCTTCAGTACCATAACCATCTGAAAAGATATGGTTCCATAAAATGGCTCAATATAAGTCTCAATAAGTATATAAAAAAGGCCTAATTAGCGACATAGATGGCAGTACACAATTGAGAAATTATGCAACCAGGAAAACTCTTAGGCAGAGTTTGTGATCAATTCATCATGCTAGATTCAATATTTTCCTTTCCCATTCAATCATGCAGTTTATGCTTATTTCTTACCATTAATTTTCCATGATATACTGCATTATTCCAACTTTTCTACAGCTATATTTGAACAGTCTTGTTCCCTGGTTTTGAGGAGGTTGCAGAGAGCATTATTTATGCAGATGATTTACTCCTTGAGAAGGCCAGAAATCGGGTTGTATGCTCAATGATGACATATTCTTTGCCAAAAGTGTTTGCAATTCGACAAAATAAATATAAATTGGATGCACTATGGTCACGTAAGGAAGGATCATTTAAGAAATAAGAAACTTTTGTGAATTTCTAGTACTCTACCACATCGGAGTTGGAATGCAAGGAAGTAATGGAATGGGTCAGTGAGATACAATTCTTAGAAAAATCTTACCCGTTATCACTAAAACAAATGCAGTGTTCACAGCTTTTCATAATATGCTCATACCTGCAGTCTGCCAAATCACACTACCTAGTCCACTTTCATGGATTAAATATATAATAAGAATTGACCAAGCCATGTAGGTCGGCCTTTCAAAGTGATTCCATGTCCTATTAAAGACAACAAGACATCGAAAAAATATGTCATGCCTTTAATGTGGGAGGATGGTTTTCAAAATGAGTCAAATGGACTCCTGAGGTTTTCTGCTAAAAATAGGGTGAATGTAAAGACTTACTTCTAGATTCAAATCATAATCCCAAACAAACTTTGAAATATTGGCCCAACTGGCATAGACGGCAACACGGCTATAACATCCTAGTTCTTGATTTGCATAAGTGACGAAATGTGATTCAAAAATCCCATAACTACATGAAATATCCCCCCCCTCCACTCCCCCAACCCAAAGCTAAGGATAGCAAATAGTGGTGAATGAGTAGCATCTCTAGTTGCATGCCAATGAGGCTATTATCAAAGTTGATCAACAGAATCAACTCTAATCACTTTCATCTGGTTACAGTTTTCATCATAATGATACACTGATGAAACATCAATGATCCCCACAATTTGAGTCATATAAAAACGCAATCTAAAATTGCTGCATGTATACTGTTTCCAAATTGATTAGTTTTTTTCTCAAAAGAAGTCATTTACCCAAAATTAAACTTTTTAAAAAAAACAAAACCACATCCATTTACATGTTCAGGGATAAGGACTGACTCAGACGAAGAAATGAAAAATTTACCAAAGAAATCTTTTAGCGTAACTAAACCAAGAACCCACTGAGTTTCAATTTCCTTACCTCAACATGTATTTAAGAAGAACTATGCTGTTAATATTCTCTACATATTTATAATGTCCTAGAAGGTGCCTCATATTGTTTCTTGTATAAGAGGACGAATTAGATGTTCATAAAACGCCTTTACATTACCTACGCCTCATTGTCCGTTTTTCCAGAATCATTTGAGAATAAGGGCCAACAGTTTTATCACAGAACGCACCTGATCCACAGATGTTAAATGGCACTTGCTCAGAAGTTCCTCCAGACATCTCAGCACACCCTCAGCCACGCTATCGCTAATCACGTGTCTCTTCATTTCCGTGCCGCCAGGCCTGGCAATCCCCTCTGTTGGTGCCTTTTGCGGGGACCTGCATCCGGTAGCCCCATCCAAAAGAAGTAAAAGTGGAAGCAGGGTGTAGCTGAAACATAGACAATCAATGATAACCGAGTCATTCGGTCAACAAGAGATTTTACGGAAAATTGAATAAACAACATCAGGAAGGTGCTATCATCATAAAACCCCGAATGAAGGCATAGCATTCTCGATGTCAATGCTCACGACTCTGCAATCGCAACACAAGGAATTATCCCGACTCTAAACCATATGTAATCACTTCCCAATCCCAGGAGCCCACTAGACAGAATGAAAACAGTCCGGAACAAACTCCCACAGTATCAGGAAGCAGATCCAAAACACGCCTCCAGACAATCTCGGTGAGGAGGAGGCTTACTCGAGGCAAGGCTGGAGGACGAAGCCCGAGGAGTGGCGGAGGAACTCGGCCATGTCGGTGAGGAAAGGAGCGTCCCTCCTAGGGCTCCGGACGATTGCCAGCAGCTCCAGGCAGTAGAGCCTGAGCCTGGTAAAGACGCTCTCCTGCGTCTCTCCGGTGATATCCCCTCCATCTCCCGCCGCCTGCGGTGGCGGCGGCGGCGGCGGCGACGACGACGACGAAGACGACCGCTCCTCTTCTTCCATCACCAGCACCGGCGAAGCTCGAGAGAGGGAGAAAGGAAAAAGGCGGGGGCTGGGGTTTTAGACTAGTACGAAACGCGACGCACCATTTCCGTGCACACGATCCAATTCTAGGAATCGATTCTTCTGGAACAGAATCCAATCGGTGGGCCCTAGGTCACCGTCGCGTCGCGGGGATCGCGTCCCAGGGCCTAGAAATATTGTTGAAACTGGTTTCAATTTTTTTTTCGATCCGATTATAAATATTTAAATCGGATCCTAGATCGTACAGGATTAGGGTCGTAAGCCTCCCTCTCGCTCCCTCTCTCTCTCTCTCTCTCTGTACTAGTCAAATGACTGTCCAACAATCAACCAAGGTGATAGGCTCCCGTCTACACTACATCAAAGCTGTCCCAACTGGTACCCAAGGGTGGGTTGTTGACCCTCTGGCCCGTGATGATTTTTCTCTCATTGTCGACATATTAATAACCACACAATTCGAACACGAGGCAGATTAACACAGCCCTGATTCCATATTTATCACTTCAATGCATTAGAACAATATAAATATATTTTACAGAGATAGAACAGGTAGAGAGAGAGAGAGAGAGAGGGAGAGAGAGAGAGAGAGAGAGGAATGCACGGTTGTCTACGTCTTTCACCATCTCGATTGGGATATAAATTTGATTGGGTTTAAGAAACTAATGCCGATATTTTCGTTAATGCTTATCGACTTCATTCTTAATGAGAATCTGTCGGCTTCTTGAAGTGCGTGGAAAACTAGACTGATGGATCGATAGACAGATTTATATATATTATATCTATGTATAGAGAGAGAGAGAGAGAGAGAGGGCCGACTGGGGGGCAGACTGAAAAAATGGTTAGAAAGCAGCATGGCGACTGGCAAATCATTGGCTGGGCTGAGACCGTGCTTAGCGCCGGCTTTTTCTCTATCGTCGTTCATCTTTTTTCAATTCCCAACCTCACCCAATTCGTTGACTATTAGCCATTGTTTTACCCGCTAACAATTTGACAAATCGAGCCCATACTGTCTTTCTCAGCAGAATAAATTAGACAGCCAGAAACAGCGAGCGAGAGAGAGAGAGAGAGGAACGAATACGCAATTGCCGATTGAATGCGGAGTCCATGATTGTCAACGTCTGTAGTCGGCAGCCACCTCGATATGACAAACAAAAAAAATATAATACATGACATATCTCTACGTCACGTTAGAGACCATTAAATCCTTTGAAAATTTATCTCTATTTGCAGTATATTATCTTCATAAACCATACATAATATAATAATATATCACTGATATATATATATTTTTCTCGACTCCCCCTTGTCTTGTTCTAACCATTTAAAGAAATCCAGCCGTCACTGAACTGATTGGGGCGAACGTGCGGGCAGCATATCCATTAAATAGCTCCGAGACTTGCGCAAATCATGTGCAAGTTTTCGGATATGATCCCGATTAAAGTAGTAAAGGTACTTGGAATGCATGGTGATTAAGAGACTTGATTACCGTTTATGGTGATAAAATACTAGGAAGTAATGGAAATTAGAGAAGATCGCGATGAACGCTGGGGTCAACATTATCTCTTGCAAGCTGAGATGATCGAGATTTCCTGGGGATTTTGTGTGGCACGAGGGGCGTTTGACTGACAGCCATGGGAGAGATTTGGGGGACGAAGAAGGAACTGGGCGGCGCCGCCACCGATCAGGGAGTGGCTTCTGCGGGGACGACGCTGCCACGAGGCGCCATCAGCTCCAAGCCGGCGGTGGCCGGCGGTGGCGCCAGCTTCTCCTGTGTCTGTTGCCGCTCGCCGTAGAGATAGGAGAGGAAGCCCCAGAAGCACAAGGCCGTGGCGATCCCCTTGGCGCTGGTGAACTGCTCGTCCAGCAGCAGCACCGGCATGATCTCCCCCACCGGCAGAAGCATGGCGATGATCACGCCGGCGAAGAGGCCGGAGGAGCAGCAGATCACCCCCAAGAAACCCAAGGTCATCATCTGCCAGAAGAGGGCGGCGCCCACCAGAACTAGATAGTACTTGGTTTCCCCTAGCTCGTAAATCTGCTCCGCCTCCCTTTTAATGGCCTGCAAGAACTCAAAAAAACCTCGTCAATGGCGGTGGGTAGATCATACAGAAAAGGGGGGGGGGAGGAGGAAGAAGATGGGCCTGCGCTGACCGGAAAGTCCTTGTTGATTATCATGGCCACGGCGGAGAAGACGATGCCGGAGACGGACATGATGACCTGCATCTCTATCACGGTGGTGAGGGTCGCCTTCTGCTTGAACCACCAGTAGGTCCACTGGATCAGAGGCATCATCAAGCCGTAAAGAACGGCGGCGCCGATCATGGCGAAGAAACTCAGGTAATACTTCTTGTCTGACACCCCGGGGGGGCGGTCTCCGCTGGACTGAACACCGAGCAGCACCGCCCCGATCACGAGCAGGACGATGGCGTTGACCGAGAAAGCCGTGAACTTCTGCCTCACCAGGAGGAAGGCGAAGACCGCCGTGAAGACCACCTGCGTTGAGAAAACCAACGTCGAGGTGGACAGGGGGAGGGACATTGACCCGTAGGTGTACAGGTACGCGTCAGCGGCGGCGATGATTCCGATCCCCACGCTCGCCGCCGTGACCTTGGCGGAGAGCTGGACGAGCTTTCTCTCTCCTCGCTGCCAGCGGCGGAGGTAGGAGGCGTAGAGGAGAGGAAGAACGAGGGGAAAGGCGATGAATTGGACGAAGGTCGTCACCCAAACCCTGGAGCCACCATGCAAGAAATAGATGCGGGTGAGGAGAGGTGCACCGACGGCGCCGACCACCAAGAAGATGATGCTGAGGATGAGTGCTACTCGTCTGAAGGTTTCCTTTCTCTCTCTTCCCCTTTCCTCGGGGGCCGACGATCGGGCTTCGATGGCCATGGAAGAATCCATTCTCTACAGTTCTACCCTCGCTGAGAGAAGGCGTCGGGTTTTATATAGATAGGATCGCGCCGCTCCGAGGAGAAATAATAGCGATGCAGGATACGTTCCTCTGGGTATGAGAACTACTCTGGTCGAACCTGTTCAACCAGAATGTCAAAGGAATCTGGGCGCTCTACAGGATTTCGCTCCATCCCTCACCCTTCGTTTGTAATCCGAGTTCTCCCTGTCGCCTGACGAATTTTCCTCTTAATCGCTCTTAGTTTGAACCGGAATGTCAAATGGTCAACCCTTCCGCTGCTGAAAGTGCCTTGTCCGAAAATGTCGTCTTCTATTCCCCATTTTACACAGTTAATGACCTCGTGTTGGAAAAAAGGTGGATAACGACGTGACATTTCATCGAAGATGACAGCTGCTAATAAGGGAGCTCTTGCTTTGGCCTATGCGGTCCCGTGAGACCGGCAGATACACCCTAACCTCCTTGGGTTTTGAGACCCCGGGATAGCTAAACTAATCAAAATATTTCCTGTCAACTCCGCCCGGGACCCGGAGACCCTCTCCTTTCATCTATGCCAGCGACTAGTTTCCTGGTCGGGCCCCATCTTCTTCCTCACCTCACACAAAGTGATAGCCCTCCCCCTCTTCTCGGGCTACTTTGCCGGGATTTTCTGCAGACTTGAGCTGAGTAAATTTTCTGCAGGCTTCATTAATCCCTTCCCCAACCCCATCAGTTGGGCTCTGTGTTGCCCGCCTCACGCAAGTCAATGAAAGGATGCTGACGATATCCCTCCTCTCTGTCTCTCTGTCTCTCTCTCTCTCGCTGTCAGTATGCCATATTCTTATTTGGTTACTGACGTTAAGGGTCTATTAGTCTACAGTTAGGAGGGCCCTGGGGGGCAGGAAGCTGTCATATATCGAGAATAAACCAGTCAGGAATGATTTATTTATGAGTGGAGTGTGACATCTCATACAGACGCGAGAGTTAGTGGGAAAGAAGGGGGCGAGAACGTTATCATAGTTCGATTATAAACCACTTGGGAAGGATTTATTGAATAGTGGAGTATGTCACCCCTTACGGATCTGAGAGTTGCTGAGAAAGCTGGAGACGATAAAGACGGCGTCTGAGAGATGCCATCTGTCGGCAGTGTGGGAAGATGGTGCGGTGGCCGTGGAGGAGAGGACCAAACAAAGGACGATCGCATTCTCTTACTCAGCGATCACGGGGGGAGTCGGCCCTCTTACTCAGGGAAACGTTCAACTAGCAACACTGGGGGACAGGTTAGCGTACCTTTAATATTCTCATGTGCAGATCGGTACAAGTAGGAGTATATTAATTATGCCTCATCGTTATCTCCCCCGGAGGGAGGGAAAGGGGAGAGAGAGAGAGAGAGAGAGAGAGAGAGAGAGAGAGAGAGAGATGCAGTATTTCTCCTTGAGCTGTCGATGAGGAATATATTCCATATTTTCTGAAAGCTAACAATATGTTGAATGCTGCGCATTTTATACCATACCTCACAGAATCATAAGACTCCAAACTAGCTTAAGCGGCTATGGAAAATGTCTCATCACTATTAATCTTACATTATTTTGTAATCAGATTAGTTTAATAATTTTTAAATCGTGCACATTTTTTCACATCGAATTAATTTTTCTGAAAGAAAGATCTATTAGTAATGTGCAGCCGTAGACCATTCTATCAAAACTTAGAACATGATTGACTTTATAGTGAGTGGATTAAATGTCATGAGATTAATATAACTACTAGAATTTTTATGAAGACGGCCATAGAGATCTCATACTAATAAGAAAGATATTCTTCATCCATTTTTGTGAAGGGTTTTCATGTTAGGAAACATAGATTAAAGAAGTTATGTTTGACTATGTTTTGGAATTAAAAATCTATAAAAAGAAAAATATAGGAAGATACTCAAATAAAGAAAGTGATTTAGGAACATAAGAAAGTTTTTTAGATAGAGAATTGTATAAAAGGGCTAGGTAAGTTAAATAAATAAGAATCTATTACCTGATCCATGTTGATCTCCAAGGCATGCTTGATTGATTACTAATGTGCATTTGCTGTTGTGTTTAAATGCATATTATTTAATAATATTTATAACTAAGACTTAATAAAATATTAGTATAGAAGTAAGTCTTAAGTCGAACATAGGGAGATTGATTAATCTGTTGTAAAAATTAATTTAATTTATATATAAATTGATTTTAATATTTTATTAATATTTAACCAAAATAATAAAATAGAAGGGTGAGGTGAGAAGAATAAAGGAAGGGAAGTGGAGAAAAAGTAAGAGGAAAGAGAGAGAGAGAGGAGAGAGAGAAGAGAGAGGAATAAATTTTGTGTGAGATAGAGAGAGAAAGATCTCATGAGAGAGAGAAGAGAGAAATAGAGAGAGAGAGAGAGGAGAGAGAGAGGAGAGAGAGAGGAGAGAGAGAGGAGAGAGAGAGAGAGAGAGAGAGAGAGAGAGAGAGGAGAGAGAGAGGAGAGAGAGAGGAGAGAGAGAGGAGAGAGAGAGGAGAGAGAGAAGAGAGAGAAAAGAGAGAGAGAAGAGAGAGAAGAGAGAGAAAAGAGAGAAGAAAGAGGAGGAAATCTCATGTGAGATAGAGAGAGAAATGTCTCACGAGAAAGAGAGAGGGAGAGAGAATGAGAGATAGAAATAGGACAATAATAAAAAAAGAGAAAAATACAATCAACTCATTTTCATGGTGGCCATTATTTTTGGACGAATGTGCACTTGAGAATTCACACACATGACATGAGATCAACTGTGAATGTCTCTAATTTGTTTTAATCATTGAATACTCATTAATCAACCTTTAATCTTAGTGATTTTGCATTCAAAAATAAAAAAATACTTGTTATTTGTGGAATGTCAGAAATATGAATATGTCAAGATTTACTATGAAAATAAATAGAAAATAAGTTAGAAATGATCTTACTTAATCTCATATGAGTTTTAGAGGATTCAGAAGAAGAACAAAGATTATTAATTAACCGTAAAATAACTTACCGTAAAATATAAATAAATGATAAAAGTAGATAAGTAAATACTAAAAGTAAGAAATAAATCATTACCCAAGTTTAGTCTACTTCCTAAGCAATTAGAGACACTGGTGTGGTGGTTTGGTTTTTTCCAGACATATCACATCATGTTGGAAGTTGCAAAAGTATTATATGAAAGTACTATGCCATTTGTTAGAGAGATATGCCAAAAGAAGGGTTGACCATGCCATTAGTGTCATCTAAGGGGAGAAGGGAAGAATTTACCACTCATTGGAGGCTTTGAGTGCAATTGGGGGAGGAAGGAATAAGTTTACCAATCGTCGAAGATGTTGATCGTGCAAAAAAAGAGAGGAAACAAATTATCATATTCACGATTATTGTCGAGATTTTAGAGATAATTGATAATATCTATTTTACTAAAAAATAATCAATTATTATCTTTATATCCCTAATAGTGGTATGTGCTAGAACTTAAGTTTCCGATATCGTGGCACTTCATGAGCTGTTGGATTAGATGTACTTAGTCACGTGACACATTGAGTGACGAAGGATCAACCCACCACGAACCATTGCCAATCAGGAGCTTAAGTCCTTGGTACAGTGGCAATAGTTTCCTTTCCCTCCATCAATTTCCTTCCTTGTTAGTTTCTTTCTTTGTCAGTTTTTTTATTTGTTGGTTTTCTTCTTATATACGTGAATGGTTGAAAGGTATTTATGTTCCTATAAAAATGGTCAGCCATCCTTTCATTGGGTGGCTGACTTAATTGGTGATGCCACCTCCTTCATCTAACCATTTTGTCTCACTATGCCACCTCCTCTCTCTTAATTTCTTGTATTAAATAATAAAATGCACATGAGATACTAGAAGAGAAAAACATGCTATTACTTAATCTCATATATGATAAGATAATATGTCACATAGTAAAATATATCTCTCATTTATAAAATGCTGAGTTTATGACTCATATATTTAAGCATAGTTCATACCCATTATATGAAAATTAATTAAATCATGATAAGGAGATAATATATTCAATTCAGTTGTATTATGCCTACAAAAGATAATAAAAAAGGCCTATATGATTTGAATTATACAACATGAGTAGATTATTCTCATACCCCCAACTTACCCCATTACTAGTCCCTTAGTAATGAATTAAACTAGTGCATAACTTAGATTTATACTCCACCAAATCATCATGCAACTACACCCTTAGAGAAATGCTAGAATAACGAACTGAACTTTGTTAAGAACTTAGAATTTTCAAAATTGGAAGTAAATGATAGGCATACAAGGAGCCAAAGCACTTCCTTATATTAATAGTCCCTACTTAAGGATAAATAAGTATTTTCGAAACTAGAAGAAATTCTTTACTTTGTATCCAAACTTAGAACTTATGGAAAGAAAGTAAGAAAGTAATCTTTGCCTTGTAGAAGACATAAGCTTATTGAAGAGAAAATATGTGATATACATCAGATGAAATTGCCCCCCTTGTTTTGTAGTACTTTTGTACTATTATTTTTCTTCTTGTTCTTCTTGTTCTTGTTCTTGTTTTTTTTTTGAAAGGTGTTTTGCTAATGAATTTGAGAGAGATATTCATAGAAGAGATAAGATAGAAGATGTCATGTCTTTTACTATGAATTTGGAGATCTTCTAGTTACAAATTCACCATTTGAAATACAAATAGTGAATTCAATTTAGCACTAAAGCAAATACTTTCAATCACTAAGTAGGGGGGGAAATATTGGTTTAGAGATGATTCTAGGAGTCCTTGATCCATAGAGCCCACTAATATGCCAATTTGACCCAATAAGAATGCCTAAGATCAACCTCCCACTTGAATCTTATAATCCTAATAGTATGAGTACCATAAATTCTTGCTTCCTCCAATGAATATACATATAAAAATTTGGTGGAGATGTAGACTTTGTATGCTTAACATTTTATTAAAACTGCATGATGTTTCAAAAAATTATTTAAGAGAAAATAGATTGTATGCAAGAAGTTTTCATCTTCTCTCTTAGCCACACCCCTCAACTTGAATATAGCATTGACCCTAATGCAAGAAATCAAAGGATAGCAATAAAATCATGTTCAGAATTTTAAATTGTGAAAGTCAATACAATATTAAATTAAAGTCATTGTGACCCACCAACTTATCTCATTGCAATTATTGAGGATGTGATATAAGAATAGAGTTGTACATTGATGCATATAAATTTGCAATGATATATATTTAAAATTTCAGATTGGAAAGAAGAAGAAAGTTAGAATACCACCTGATGTGCATAGGTTCGTCAATCATCATGATTTGATAATGAGATTATGTTAGACCCTTTTGGCTGTGATCTTCAGCTCAGTGTAAAATAATTAAAACACAAATATTCAACTAAAGAAAATAGATAAACAAATAACAAAGATTCAAGAAAAGGATATGGCTGGGTTACTGATAGATCACTTTTGAGGGTCATTGAAAAGCTCCAAAATCAATTAGTCAACAATATTTATACTCTTGTATTTACTCTTTTAGATTATATTATGAAATAATTTAGTATTATGGTAAGCTCAGGGGTTGATCTTTAGGGAATTGCAGCAAAGTTTACTTTTATTTGTTGATTAAGATTGATAGGAATGGTTGGAGATCATGAAGAAGAAAAAAATTGATGTGTAAAGGAAGAGAATGGGCTGAGGTATAAAACGTATTTGTCGAAGTATGAATGATGTCACACAATCCCTTTGATCATGTGATCAACTCTAATACTAATCAGAATCTATTTCCTAACTAAGAACATCCGACTCATAGGTTCTTCGAAACCAACTTGATTATCACTACATCTCCTTCCTTATTTTCATGAGGTGATAGCTACTAGTTGTGGGAGAGAATCTCATTAAGGTTGCATAACCTGATGACAAATAGAAGACACACCTTTGATCGACAGGTATGGAGTTTGGGACCCTTTGAACCTTATTGGGACAGTGACTATTTGAAGTTCCACTAAGATAAGTTAATTTCTAATTATTTGATAAATCATGTATATAGGACGGCATCATTCATTATCTCTCACTCTTATAAGATTAGCCCTTAAATTGATGGTTGTGATGCTCCATTCTTGCGTGATCAGTCTTTAGATCTTTTCACTATCATGCTGAATTCTCACCCCTTAGATGGTAATGAGATCTTCATGTAATCATCTCCTCTATTAGATCTTTTTCACCCCTTCTCGTGTGCCTCTTGATAAGTAAACATCTTGACTACTAGATTCATACTCCTTTTATCTCAAATGAATGTTAATCAATTGAAAATCACTTTTTACACTTTAACACAAATATAAGTCTATTTATTATGAGTTAAGCCTAAAATTATATTACTTACTAATTATTAACTCATGATAATGAAAACTTATCACTATATATTCGTCTAAAACTTCGACATACAATTGATGCGAGACTAAACCTTTATCACACATTCTTCGAATAGTTTTATTTATTTTAATACCTAAAATATCTTTTAATTATAACAACGATATACAATGACGATGTCACTTTATAAGGATATTTAAATATTTATTTTAATCTCTCTCATATAGGTGGGAGACTAGCATGGGTTCGAATCCTATCAAAGTCAAGACTTGTATTTTTATCTAACTAAATCGTGACTTTTCTACAGATTGCCGATGAAGGATTAAGTTACCAAAATCACTAAAATAGTTAGCAAAAATCTCGTTAGTGTGATTCACGGAGTATTGTTACTAAAATTACTACATAATTAATGATAAAAGAACGTTAATCTATCGAGTAAATTATCTTTGATTGATCGATAACAAGTCGTTGTCGAGAAGAGGACAATCCACTAGGAGATGAGTCTTCATCTCTTGAGAACATACTGAATGCGGTGAAGAGCTTCCTCTTGCTACGCAGACTTGAAGATGGAGCTCCTTGACACACATCCCACCTTCATCTAACTTTTTTATATTGGGTGACAGTCACTAGAGAGTCGCAAAGTGGTCATTTTTTCGTTATGCTGGGTGACAATTATTGGAGACGATTTGACGATCCATTTCATCGATCTTTGGACTTCACTAGAAGATCTAGAGATTATCTATGTCGTCTTTGTCCAAGGAGAGCTTTTAAGACTGTAGACACTATATGACAATTCTTTTAAATGCTCAAGATTCTAATGTAACGTTGACGCATCACCACTATGATGTCGGAACTTTATTTTATTATTATTTTTAATTAGTTTAACTTCCACTATCATGTTTTGGACTTTGAAGCAAGATCTAGTGAATGTTCAAGTCATTCATATCTAAATAGAGTCTTGGAGACTATGGATGTCATTCAAAGACTTTCTTGAACATAGAATTTCAGCGATTGTTGTTACGAGGTTGGAACTCTATTTTTCCTACTTTCAATTTAATTTTTACTTCATTTAGTGATAATTTGTGTGATTCAAATTTACCAAACTATTCTTCATTTAATTATAATTCTTCTAAATTTTATAGATCTTAATTTGATCAATTAAATCATCTATAATCACTTATGTAAGAATCTTCAGGTGGAACTCTATTTCTGTACAATTTGTGTTCCCCTTCTTAAGAAAAGATAGATCTTCGTGTAGTAAAAGCGTTGGCATGCACTTCCCTTCCCATGGAGGTTCGATTTGCAGATGTCAAAAGCGAAAGACTGCAGCTACCTGAGCTAACCCAACTACAAGCCGAGTTGCTAGAGATGCTACAGCTGCTCATACACCTTAAAGCACCCTAAAGGAATGCTCAAGGTGACTTCCTGGGTTCCTTATAAGAAGCTTTTTTTGTCGGTCAGTCAGGAAAGGCTGCATTTTTTCTGGTCGATCTGGATGAAGCTCTATCTTTAGGTGGACCACGACTCGGGTTAGGCCAAACTTTGTCTTTTCTTTGTTCAACTTGGGACAATCCTTCTTCCAGTGTCCCTTCTCATGGCAATAACTGCACTCATATATATGAACCTTGTGATGGGATCTTGGTGTCTGAGGTATAAGTTTTTGGACCACTCTTCAACAGCCCTTTAGCTTACCATCCGGAAAACAACCTCGTGTCTAATTTCTATCCTCTTTTTATGTTTATGAGCTTTGTTGCCTCATGCTGACGCAGCCGTAGATCGAGCCCTGGAAGTCCTCTCCTCGCGGCTCCCTGTGTTGATATTCGAGGAAGTCGCTCTCGACACGAGGTATTGTACCCGTCCTAGATCCCCAAGTCTCCATGGTCGTTCTTTTTAACATCTCTTTCTATTCTTCTAATGTAATGCTCTCAGTCACCTCGTACTATCCCATTGCGCATCCTGTGTCATATCAAGGAAAGGGAAGGTTCATACTACCGCGGCGGGAAGTCGGGGTAGGGTTATTTTCTTCCGTTTCCAAAATAAAAATCGTAGTTGATAGAGTCACAGATATGAGACTTATTAGTCAATTTTTGGAGTGGGTGACTCACGGGTGTGGGTCAAACCACAGAAGTTTTAGTGCTAGGTTTCTGCAGTCTTCCCTTTTCTTTGGGGGGAAATCCCCTCATTTAAATGAAAAAGAAAGAAATGAAAAATAAAGTTTCCTTTCCTTCCCTTGTCCTTTCGCCATCTCCTTATTGAGCATTGGTGGTTGGTTGGTTGGTTCTTTCTTCAAAAGAATGTGGGAATGGGAGGGGGAAACAAGAAGGAGAGGAGGTGAATGAAGGCTAAAGATTTGCATTTTTGTTTGGATGGAACAGTTTCTTTTGTTTTGGTGGACCCAGTGACACATCCACCACACCCCTTAATTTTTTGTTTAACCGAGAAGGCAAGGCCCTCTTAGTTTCTTTAATTCAATTCATGCTTTCCGTTGATCAACAACCAACCACAGCTCTCTATAGTTCTTCACTACTCGTACAGGAAGGGGTCTCTTTCTGTCTGGAGGGAATCTTTTTTTATGAATCAATAATGCCTCAACTGGATAAATTTACTTATTTCACACAATTCTTCTGGTCATGCCTTCTCCTCTTTACTTTTTATATTGCCATATGCAATGATGGAGATGGAGTACTTGGGATTAGCAGAGTTCTCAAACTACGGAACCAACTGGTTTCACACCGGGGGAACAACATCCGGAGCAACGACCCTAACAGTTTGGAAGATATCCCGATAAAAGGTTTTAGCACAGGTGTCTCCTATATGTACTCAAGTTTATTCGAAGTATCCCAATGGTGTAAGGCCGTCGACTTATTGGGAAAAAGGAGGAAAATCACTTTGATCTCTTGTTTCGGAGAAATAAGTGGCTCACGAGGAATGGAAAGAAAATCACATTCTCTATTTGATCTCGAAGTCCTCATATAGCACTTCTTCCAGTCGGATCACTTGTAGGAATGACATAATGCTCATCCATGTTCCACACGGCCAAGGAAGCATCGTTTTTTAATCTCATTAAACAAGGAAGAGATTCTTTCTCGAGGAATGGAAGGGACTACAAGAAAGATAGACTCCTTTTCAAATCGACCCCCGGTGTTGAAAGGTTCTCGAGATTATAAATCTTCCAGGCGTGCGGGAAGGGAGCGAGACCAAGCCAGACGGAGAGTCAGCCCTGCCCTTCCCATTCTACGCGTGTCAAGTTGAAGAAATGAATGCAGCTTAAAAACTACAGGTCGCGCGCTTCAGTTGATTCTCCTCCGCTTGCTGCTTCAAAACGACAAAGTTTTTCGCTTCAAAACAAGTCGAAAAACTACTGGACTGGGCGTGCGTTAGCACTACGGCCGAACTCTGTTTGCCGGGTGTCATAAAGAAAACAGAGCTCACTGAGTTGTGAACTGAAAGCTGTAGACAGTAGTTCGGTTGAAGTCTCTAGTTTTTGAACCAGTGAAGTGGTGTGGTAGTGGAGTGGACGCAAGTTCCGAAGCTCCACTTGCGCCACAGCGACTGACTACTCAATGAAGTAAACGTATAGTTTTAAAGCGTAAACGGAGGCTCTCCTCTTTCTCCCTTCATGAATTAACTCGACCACTGTTTGTTCCCTCGGAACAGAATTTGTAGATGTCGTGTCCCTCACTCTACTCTTCTCTTCCGCCTTTACTTCACTCTTTTGTCTCAGTGAAGGAAGCGGAGTTCACTACTACTTATAGGTCGACGTGAAGTCAGCGAGTGTAGGACGAAGGACTTTTTCGTTATCGTACAGGAGTTACATAATTTGAATTTCTCTGACTGACATTCCACGTTCCCGAATCCACCTATAATTTATCCTTTTAGTTACTCATAGAATGGAATTTCTCACCGGAAACTATTCTTGGAGAAGTTCGAATCCGTTCCGTTCGGATATTGATCGGTCTTGGTTTGACATGGTTTACGCGTTACTGGTTTCCGGAAGAGTCAATTTCTCCATTAGCTAAACCCTTTCTTACCCTGCCTTTGGACTCGTATTTTGTTCGTACACAATCAACGGAGGCCTCCCCGACATATGTTGCAACGTCTCCTATAGCATGCTCTTACTTCGTCTTTCCCTTAATAAGTCATCAAATTTGGTGCTTTTCGATCCCCGGTTGCTATGGGGAACAAAGGACGAAATACAATCGATTCCTCCATCTAAGTGGTTCTCGCTTCTCTTTGTTCCTGTTCCTAACTCCTCCCCGGGTAGTTCCCAATGTTTGGCACTTTCCATACTTCGTGGGTACAACATCAACAAATTCGCTCATGATCAAGTTACAACCTAAGATCTATGACCATATTATGTTAACTGTTCGTATTTCGTTCATTCCATCGGTATGCTCCCAGGTACCTGTAATTGTGATCCGTTTGCCAGAACCAAGGGATCTTTCTGTGGAAACCTTCACGAACAATCGTCGTTTTTTGATGGTTTTTCCGCTTCTCACAGCTGCTCTTTCCACACCTCCGGATATCTGGTGCCAAATCGTCGCCCGTTTCCTTATTTCTTCGATAATAGAGTTGGCTATCTCTGTGGCATCGATTGTACAAGTTCGTGAAGAAGGCTGGACGAGTAGAATGAGGGAGAGCGACTCGATCGACAAAAAATAGGAGTAGCGCCCCTCTAGAACCTGGCAAAGTCACTATCAATGAATTCCCGAGCCATTCTCAACCAAGATATGCGATTCATTCCCGTAATGATTATAACACACAGAAGACTCCTAACCTTAGGAGCGGGATGAGTGATACATCCGGCGAGCGCCGGTGAAGAACGCAAGCAAAACTAGAGCTCGGGCATTGAACTATTCCATCAAACAAGAGAAAGGAGGCAAACTGGATGGAAGGCCTGGAGAGCGAGGTAGGGTTAGATTAGAGGGAGGAGAAGAGTGACTAAAACAAGTAGTCGAGAAATAATTACTAGACAGAATGGCATTGACCAGATATAAGTACACGAGAGAATAACTATCACAAACCAACAATACGATACAATAAGGCACTCCCTTGCTTACGCTTCGAGATACCCTTCGGGAAAGTGTCAAACGACCCTACCGAACGAGCCAAACCGAGAGTCCTATACTTGTCCACCGGCCCTATGGATTCTGTTCTAGACTTACCAATCTTGGTTAGCTTATCTACACCTTTGGCTAATAGAAAAAACAAATCATTATTCCTGAACTTTATCCGCTCAGTTGGCAAGCCTATTTCTTATAGTTCAAACTGGAACATTATTTACAATACCTTGCTACATTAATGCGCACTAGAAAGCTGCTTTCCCGTACAGGAGCTTCCCGTGAGACTAGAAGGAAGTAGTTGGTTTGACACGCTATCTCCAATGCTTTTGCTTCCATTCCTCCTTCCTCTTTCGGGATGTTCGTTGACCTCGCTTTCCTTCTTTCAGACATTTTTTGGATTTCTTCTTTCGAAATACTAGTTGGTAGAGTTCCTTCGTTCTCTCGCGGGTTTGCTATAAAATAATAAGCATTTCCTCGATCTGCTGATGGGCAACAAGGAAAGCTTTCAATCGACTACATCTTTTACACATTGAATGTAAACGCCCGGGCATCCATATCACGTGGTTTCTCTTTTCTAGAGATAGAAATCGGGAGTCAGTTGATAATGAGCATTTAATACTGCCCTTCTTTGATCCGTTGACGTGCAAATCGCTGGTTAAAGATCAACTTCCGAGATCTAAGACTTCAATAATGCCAGCTAGGGAAACCCTCGAAAGAACGGAACAGCTTGGGAGAAGGAGAACTCTTTCTTTGAAGCAATGGCACAGTCTACCATATAATTTTCGTTAAGCATCTATCAATTGACCCAACACGGAATATCGACTCTCGAGGAAGTCCCCTCGAATGGTCTCTTTGTCTATCTAGGGTTGCATGCAGCTGGGAAAATTGGCACGAAATTTCGTAGTTGACTCAAGCCATACAGCCTTTCGAATACTTTCACAATTTAGGGATGACTCGATCTGCCCCGCCTGACTGAAGAAGCCTTCCAGGGCCTAGCAGTTAATGCTTCCGAACACGGAAAGGAGAAGAAAGAATCGTATTTCATGCATCCCTCCGGCTGTCGTCAAACCCTCCAACTCGAGATGGTTGGAGGAATGGTCGGAAATGCAGCTGGTCAGTCAGGACGAGGGGGCCAAGGACAAGGCGACTGAGATCAACTATAGCGCAGCAGCTACGGATTGGGAATCCATGGATTCGGAAGCAGTGTCTCGACCTGACCGTAAAGAGAAGTCAATCGGTTCGGGAAGTGGTAGAGTACTAGTTGTCGATCAACCGGCTGTCTTACCTCAGGAGTCGACGTAGAAGAGGATGTTGTACCTCTTACGGAAAGGAATTGATCTATTAACAGGCTTTGCATTGCAACCGGGAATTCAAAAAAATCCCTTCTTTTAGTCCTAAATCGATACCTATCCTATCATAGGATATTTGTCTTTCTTTCGTTCTGGAGGTTTCGAAACCGGAAGTTGAGAAGAAAGGAATAAGGAAGGCCGAAGGGCGAGCCGTAGGCGAGCGAGGAAGATAACCCTGACTTTTGTTGGTCAACAATCCTCTATATATCCTCGTTACGTTGAGTCTTTCAGTTGGAAAGGCCAGGGAAGGTCAAGATATTTATTCTTCATAATATAATTGGATGTTGTTTTCATTAAGAGTCTTTTTATTCTTATTATTATTAATACTTTTTTTGATTCCCCTCTATCATATCACTTCTTCGATAAAAAAGAAGCTGGTGTGGGTAGTCTTAGTGTTAGTATTGTTGCCAGCAATGGGTCTGTCTGTCGGCGGCGAGGAGGTCGTCAATTCCGGAATTGGCGTAGACACAACTCCCCTTATCGAGGAGACTGCGCTTAACGCTCTAACCGTCATCTTTTTCTGACGAACAGATGACAGAATTAGCATAATGGTCTATTCAAAGCCAATGTTCTGACCTTCTAACCTGAGGAAAATGGTTCTTTCCTAAACCTTAACGAAGACTCTCTCATCTGTGACATAGTTGAAGGCACGTGCGAGGATACAATGGGACATCCAAAAGCTCCGGCGTATCCTCGAGGATCTATCTTTGAATAGAACGTGCACTGCTCTTCCGTGCCTTTGAATTGAAGAGGGCATTGGAAACAACAAATGCGTCTGTGAGGAAATGCAAACCAATGATTAATTAAGGTCTTTTTATTTTCCCACGTAGTTCGTCGGTCAAACCTACGATTCTCTTCTCGAAGTCATAGGGAGAGTTCATTTTTTTAGTATCACTTATATCAATGCAATGAAAGAACCATCCCTTCCTATTTGTTTGTCCTGTCAGACAGAAATAAAATGAGACCAACCCCCTTCTTGACCACTTGAGGGGGTGGGGTGAAGGGGAGGTTTACAAACAACCGGGGCTAAATGGTTTATGATTGAATCTCAGAGGCATTCTTATCATTTGGTAGATCCACGTCCATGGCCTATTTCGGGTTCACTCGGAGCTTTTGCAACCACCGTAGGAGGTGTGATGTACATGCACCCATTTCAAGGGGGTGCTACACTTCTCAGTTTGGGTCTAATATTTATCCTATATACCATGTTTGTATGGTGGCGCGATGTTCTACGTGAATCCACGTTGGAAGGACATCATTCAAAAGCTGTACAATTAGGACCTCGATATGGTTCTATTCTAGGTTATGTTCCTTTTTGCTCTTTTTCGGGCTTCCTCTCATTCTTCTTTGGCACCTACTGTAGAGATCGGAGGTATTTGGCCCCCAAAAGGGATTGGGGTTTTAGATCCTCGGGAAATCCCTTTTCTTAATACCCCTATTCTCCCTTCATCCGGAGCTGCCGTAACTTGGGCTCATCATGCTATACTTGCGGGGAAGGAAAAACGAGCAGTTTACGCTTTAGTAGCTACCATTTCACTGGCTCTAGTATCCACTGGCTTTCAAGGAATGGAATATTACCAAGCACCCTCCACTATTTCGGATAGTATTTATGGTTCTACCTTTTTCTTAGCAACTGGCTTTCATGGTTTTCATGTGATTATAGTTCAAGTAGTAAAAATAACTGGAATAAATGCTGATTAAAACACATGATTACCATTTATGGTGATAAAATACTAAACGCTGGGGCCGACATGCTTTCTTGCAAGTTGAGATGATCGAGATTTCCTGGGGATTCCGTGTGGCACGAGGGGCGTTTGACTGCTAACCATGGCAGAGATTTGGAGGACGAAGAAGGAACTGGGCAGCGTCGCCACCGATCAGGGAGTGGCTTCAGCTCCATGCCTGCGTTGGCCGGCGGGCGGCGGCGGCTTCTCCTGGGTCTGTTGCCGCTCGCCGTAGAGTTAGGAGAGGAAGCCCCAGAAGCGCAAGGCCGTGGCGATCCCCTTGGCGCTGGTGAACTGCTCGTCCAGCAGTAGCACCGGCATGATCTCCCCCACCGGCAGAAGCATGACTGTGACCACGCCGGCGAAGAGGGCGGAGGAGCAGCAGATCAACCCCAAGAAGCCCAAGCACGTCACCTGCCATGTAATGGCGACGCCCGCCAGAACAAGATAGTACTTGTTTTCTCCTAGCTCGTAAATCTGCTCCACCTCCCTTTTAATGGCCTGCAAGAACACAAAAGAACCTCGTTAATGGCGGTGGATAGATCATACGGAAGAGGGAGGAGGAAGAAGATAGGTCTGCGCTGACCGGAAAGTCCTTGTTGATGATCATGGCGACTGCGGAGAAGACGACGCCGGAGACGGACATGACAACCTGCATCTCCATCACGGTGGTGAGGGTCGCCTTCTGCTTGAACCACCAGTAGGTCCACTGGATCAAGGCATCGCCAAGCCGTAAAGAAGGGCGGCGTCGATCATGGCGGAGAAACCCAGGTAATACTTCTTGTCTGACTCCCCGGTGGAGTGGTCTCCGCTGGACTGAACGCCGAGCAGCACCGCTCCGATCACGAGTAGGACGATGGTGTTGACCGAGAAAGCCGTGAACTTCTGCCTCACCAGGAGGAAGGCGAAGACCGCCGTAAAGACCACCTGCGTGGAGACGAGCAGCGTGGAGCTGGACACGGGGAGGGACATTGACCCGTAGGCGTACAGGTAGCCGTCAGCGGCGGTGATGATTCCGATCCCCAGGCTCGCCGCTATGACCTTGGTGGAGAGCTGGATGAGCTTTCTGTCTCCCCCCCGCCTGCGGCGGAGGTAGGAGGCGTAGAGGGGAGGAAGAACGAGGGGAAAGGCGATGAATTGGACGATGGTCGTCACCCAAACCCTGGAGCCACCATACAAGAAATAGATGCGGGTGAGGAGAGGCACACCGACGGCGCCGACCACTAATAAGATGATGCTGTGGAGGAGGGCTACTCGTCTGAAAGTTTCCTTTCTCTCTCTTCCCCTCTCTCGGGGGCCGACGATTGGGCTTCGATGGCTATGGAAGAATCCTCTCTCCACAGTTCTTCCCTCGCGGACAGAAGGCGTTGGGTTTTATATAATGGCGATGCAGGATGGGTTCCTCTGGGTATGAGAAGTACTCTGGTCGATCCTTTTTCACCGAGCAGTGAATGGAATCTGGGCACCTCATTCCCATTCCGACAGGATTTCGCTCCGTCCCTTTCCACCCTTGGTTCGTAATCCGAGCTCTTTAAGCCGCCGGACGAACTTTCCTTTTCTTCGCTCATGGTTTGAATGAGTGTCTTGTGGTTTGAATGAGTGCCTTGTGCAAAAATGTCGTGTTCTGTTCCCTATTTTGGACAGCCAATGATCTCGTGCTGGAAAGCCGACGTGACATTTCTGGTGACATTTCATCTAAGATGACAGCTGGTAATAAGGGAACTCTTACTTTGGCCTTTGCGGCCCCGTGAGACCGACATATACACCCTAATCTCCTTGGGATTTGAGACCCCCCATAGTTAAACTAATCAAAATATTTCCAGTCAACTCCGCCCGGGACCCGGAGGCCCTCTCCTTTCATCTATGCCAGGGACTAGCTTCCTCGTCGGGCCGTATCTTCTTCCTCATCACCTCACACAAAGTGATAGCCCTCCCCTTCTTCTCGGGCTACTTTGCCGGGATTTTCTGCAGACTTGAGGTGAGTAAATTTTCTGAAAGTTTCATTAATCCCTTCCCCAACCCTATTAGTTGGGCTCTGTGTTTTCTACCCCATGCAAGTCAATGAAAAGATGCTGACAATATCCCTCCAAGTTAATGTAGCTCAAGACAAAAGTTGAAGTGCAAACTTCGAATTTGGGCCCACTTATCTTAAATGTAAGCCGTAAAGTGAAAGTGCTAAAAAAGGAGCCCACAAATGTCAGTGGGCTGGAGGTCTGAAAAGTAATATTTATTTTTTACTTTATGTCCTTTCACTTCTAAAAGGCATTTTATGTCTCTTTCTTTCTAGAAGAGACTTTAATATTGTTCAGTCTGTACCTAAGATTTCTTCAAAATCTCTGACTATTAGAGTCTTTACTTAAGATCTGCTCAGAATATCTAATTGTTAGAGTCTATTTTAGGTCATTTTAGAGTTAGTCAAAGTATTCTTAGAAAATCTATCTAAGATCTCAAGACATTGATATATGTTAGAGTATGTTTTAAGTCATTTTAGAGTTAGTCAAACTCTGTACCCAAGATCTATTAGGATCCTCCTTTTAGGGAGCACCCAACCTCCTTTTTAGACTTATATAAATGTCCTCATTATAACTTGAGGCCCTCACTTTTTAGTTGAATCAATTTTTCTCTAATGTGAGAACCTTTTCCTATTGCTTGTAGATTTAGGCACCTCTTTGAAGATTCAAGGGTTGAAGACTCCAAATTTGTGAATTTAAAGGCAAGTTTCTTCTCCAAGATTAGAGCTTTGTGGATTTAAGCCCATATATTGATTATCTTCCATGTCATTGCCGCATCAGTTAGTATCAGAGCAAGTCAACATTTCAATCAAGGTTCAAAAATGTCAAGAGTTAAATCTGCTCATATTAGTGATGATTATTCACCTGAAGTTTTTCCTATCTCAAAATCAGATTTTATTACATTTCAAGATTGAATAGATAATTTTTTTGATAATATTAATGATACCTTGAAATAACTTTTGACAAGAATGAGTATATTAGAGAGTCATTCACGCCCTCCTAGAGATCATAAAATCAGATGTTCTAAAAAAGACACTCATGTTGAATCTTCATCTGATATTCACTATTTATCTGATTCTACAAGTTCTAGATCAACATTTGAGGAAGATAATTTTTGAGATTTTTGTATGAAGATTGACTTATCATGTTTTAATGGCCATTTTAAGATTGAAGAGTTTTTAGATTGATTAATTGAAGTAGAATGTTTTTTTGAGTAAATAAAAATTTGTGATGAAAAAGAAGTAAAGTTATTGACTTATAAACTAAAGGGTGGAGCCTTTACATGGTGGGATCAATTATAGACAAGACATACGAGGTCAAACAAAGAACCTATATGATCATGGGAAAAAATAACAAAACTCTTGAAATCTTATTTTCTTTATCCAAATATTAACAAATTTTATATCAATAGTATCAAAACTGTAGACAAGGAAATAGGTCAGTTTCTGATTATGCTGAAGAATTTTATCATTTATCTTCTTGAATTCACTTGACATAATTTGAGTTATATATGATTTCAAGATTTAAAAGTGTTATTAGATGGGAAATTGAAGATAAAATAACTTTACAATTATTTTTCAAGCTTAATGATATTGTAATGGCTGTAGAACATGCTGAAGCCTTATTAGAGGAAGGAAAAATCAGAATTCAAAATTTTAGAAGTTAGAATTCAACTCTTCAACTAGATAGAGGAAGATCTACTATTATTTCTTTCACACCACATAATGGGTGTTTGAATTAAAATTCTATCAAATCAAGTGGATCAAATAATTCTGCCCAAGTCTCTACTAATAAAAATCCTTATAGTCTTAATGTTGTCCTTAAATACTACAAGTGTGGAGAAATTGGACACAAATCAAATATTTGTCTTAAAAGTGGCACAATAAACTTTGCAGATTCTTTCAAAGTGGAAATAGAATATGAAGAACTAGAAATTGAAGGTGAGGTAGAAGAAAATTTTATTGAGTTTGATATTGGAGATGCAATGTCACATTCACTTGTAGTAAGAAGATTAATGTATTTACCAAAAAAAGAAGAAGACTCACAATGCCATAACATCTTTAGAACAAGGTGCATAATGAACTCTAAGGTATGTGATATATTCATTGATATTGGTAGTAGTGAGAACATTGTCTCTTCTATGATGGTTAAAAAATTAGGTTTGCAAAGAAGCCCACACTTTCATCCATATTGAATTAGTTAGATAAAGAAAGAAATAGAAACTAAAGTTTCAAAGATGTGTCTAATCAAATTTCCAATTGGTAAGACTTATTCTAATAAAATATAATGTGATGTTGTTGAGATGGATACTTGTCACATAATATTAGGCAAGTCATATGATAAGTCTTCATTATTATAAGCTAATAATTAATAAATATTATAGTTTTAGCCTTAACTCATGATAAATAAAATTTGAGTTATGTTAAATTGTGAAAAGTAATTTTCAATTAGTTAATATGATTTTTTGGCTAATTATGTGATTTTATGTGAATTTATATAATTTTTATAATCTTATTTTTGAGATAAATAAAGAAAAAGAAAATAAAAAAATAAAAAAGGGGGGGGGGGGGTGAACCTACTGGCCAGTCGGGCCTACAAGTGGGTCGAAAGTGCAATTGGGGTAGAGCCATGAGCATGGGCTCAAGTAGCTATGGACTGATGATAACATGTGTACGTCACACCCCTTTCATGTCATCAGTGGCCAATTGAGCATGAGGCAAGGAGTGGTCATACACATGTGAGAAAGGGGCTCATTAATTCCCAAATCTTAAATTACTATATATGCATCTCAACATTCAGCATATAATCGATGTGGGACTAAATCGACAGCCACACCTTCCCCGAAACATTTTCAATGATTTGAATATTAAAAATATCCCTTATAACAATGAGATATCATGATGTTGTCATTGTATGAAGATATTCAAGTACTTATTTCACTCTCTTTCATGCACACAAACGATAAGTGTAAGTTCAAATCTTACGAGAGCCAAAACTCATTTCTTTTTATTTAATTAAACCACAATTTTTCTGCAAATTGTCAGTGAAGAATTAAGCCACCAAATTGCTCAATCATTGACAAAAAAATCATCAAGGTGATTTGTAGAGTATCATTATTAAAATTACTAAATGATTCGAGATAAAAAGATTGTGAATCAATTGAGTAGATCATCTTCGATTGATCGATGAATAAGTTGTGATCGAGAAGAGGATGATATATTGAGAGACAAGTCGCCACTTCTTGAAAGCATATTAGATACGATGAATAACCTCCTCTTGCTGTGTAGGTTTGAGGACGAAACTCTCTAACATGTGCTCCACCTCCATCTAGCTCTTCTCTATCAGGTGACATTTGTCAAAGAGCTACAAAATTACTATTTTTTCACTCCTTTAGGTGACAGCCATTAGAGATGATTTAATGACCCATTTTAGTGATCTTTAGATTTTGCAAGAAGATCTAGAGATTGCTCACTTCATCCTTATCTAAGGAGAGCCTTCAAGGCTATGGACATTGCATGACAAATCTCATGAATGTTTAGGATTCCGATACATCTATGACACATTGTTGTCATGACACTGAAACTTTATTTTATTATTTTTTAACTAGTTTACCTTTTACCATCATTTTTTGGACTTTTAAAAAAGATCTAATGAATGCCCAAGTCATCCATATCTAAGGAGAGCCTTTGAGGCCATGGACATCATTCGATGATTGTCTTGAATATATAAAATTCTAACGATTGTTGTTGCGAGGCCGGAACTCTACTTTTCCTACTTTCAATTTAATTTTCATTTTATTTAGTGATAATTTATGTAATTTTTACTTTCAAATTATTCTTCATTCAATTACGATTCTTTTGGCTTTTATAATTCTTAATTTGATCAATTAACTTGTCTATAATCACTTATGTAAGAGTCAACAAGCAAAACTCTATTTTTATTCGATTTGCATTTGTTAGGGTACTAACGTCATCCTAGCACCCACACCCCTTATTTTCTTTTTTGTGAATTTGAAATATATTTTATCTTCATTTCTTAGTCTAAAATTTATAAAACAAAATTATATTTTTTGCAAAAAATTATGAAATATCACTATATATTATATACATCTCTATCATCGATTTAAAAAATAATCACTATTTTTTAAAATTTTATTGAATTTCAATTGATATATTTATTTAGAAATAATTATAAATATCTAAAAATTAGTATTTTCTAATTTTATAAATTATAAATTTATGTGATTTACTATTCAATGATTAAGTCATGTCACCATGTCATTTTAATATTGATGCTACATATTGTGGCAAGAAAAATATTTATAATTTTGCTATAGAAAGAGTAAAAAAAATTTTCTAGCTCCAATGCAAGAGAGTGATTTTAACAAATGAGGAAAGGAGAAAAGAAAAGTAATGTTCATCAATCAGATAGAGTTTCTTAAAGAGTTTGATATTAATACTGAATTATTTGTTATTGTTCAAAAACCTAATTCAAATATCAAAATAAGTGATGTGGTATAAAAGCTATTGAAAGTCTCTAATCTGAATTTTCTATAATTCAAGAATTATCTACTCATCTTCTACCAGTGTGAGATGTACAACATCATATTGTCCTTATACTAAGAGCAAGCTTGGGTAACCTTCCACATTCTAGGATGATTCACAAGAAAATCAAATTCTTCAAGAACAAGTTGAAGAGTTATTGAATAAAGGATTGATAAGAGAAAGTATGAGCCCATGTTGTGTGTCTACTCTACTTGTTCTAAAGAAAGATAGAGGTTGACGAATGTGTGTCAACAACAAAACTATCAATATGATAATAGTTAAGTATATATTATGAATTTCATGCCTAAATGACATGTTAGATATACTTTGTGGTTCTAAAATTTTCTTAAAAGTTGATTTAAATAGCAAATATCATCAAATCTGAATTTGGCCAAGAGATGAACAGAAGATTATCTTTAAAACTAAGGTAGGTCTTTATGAATGATTGGTCATGCCTTATGGCTTATTCAACACCCCCAGCACCTTTATGAGAGTGATGAATCAAGTTTTGAAACCTTTATTAGTAAATTTATTGTCATTTATTTTAATGACATTCTTAGTTATATCATTCTGAGGAAGAAGAACACATGAAACATCTTAGATCAATGTTTAAAGTGTTACAAGATAGTGAATTATATATTAATTTGAAGAAATGTGAGTTCATGACTAGTAGTTTATTATTCTTGGTATATGTTGTAAGTGTAGATGGTATCAAAGTAGATAAAGAAAAGGTCAGAGCTATCAAAGATTGGTCAACACCAATCACAACTCATTAGGTTTGAAGTTTTCATAGGTTGACATTATTTTATAAAATATTTATTCAAAATTTTAGCTCAATAATATCTCTAGTTATTGCATGTATGAAAAAAGGTCATTTTAAATAGACTGATGAAGCTAGTAAAAGTTTTACTATCATGAAAGGGAAATTATGTTCTACTCCTATTTTAGCCTTACTAAATTTTGATAAATTATTTGAAGTGGAATGTGATGCATTCATAGTTGGCATTGGAGGTGTACTATCCCAAGAAGGTCAACCAATAATATTTTTTAGTAAAAAACTTTATGAGATAAGAAAAAAATGGACAACATATGAATTAGAATTTTATGTTGTGATCGATACTTTACAAATATGGGAACACTATTTGATTCAACGAGAGTTTGTATTATATACTGATCATTAGGGTCTTAAATCAGTCAATAGTGAGACTTTTATCAATAGAATGCATGTCCGATAGATCTCTTTCATTCAACATTTTACTTTTATTATTAAACACAAGTAAGGGAAACAAAATCGAGTTACATATTGATAAGTCTTCATTATCATGAGTTAATAATTAGTAAATAATATAGTTTTAATCTTAACTTATGAGAAATAGACTTATATTTGTGTTAAAGTGTGAAAAGTAGTTTTTAGTTGATTAACATAATTTTTTGGTTAATTATGTAATTTTTACAAATTTATATGATTTTTATAGTCTTATTTTTGAGATAAATGAAGAAAAAGAAATAAAAAAAAATATAGCAAAATGAAAGGGACTTGCCAACCAATCAGGCCCGCAAGCGGGTCGAAAGCGCAGTCGGGGAGGAGCTGTGAGTAGGGGCTTGAGTGGCTAGGACCGATGGGGACACATGTGCGCCACTCCCCTTCCATGTCACTAGTGGCCAGTCAGCTATGGGACAAAGAGTGGTCGTACACGAGAGAGAAAGAGACTCATTACTTGTAAATGTAATATTACTATATATTCGCCTGAAACTTTGGCACACAAGTAATGTGAGACTAAACCTGTATCACAACTTCTTCTGAAAAGTTTTGAAGATTTTAATACCTAAAACACTCTTTCTTTATAATAGAGATATATTATGATGATGCCACTTTATAAGGGCATTATAATATTTATTTTAATCTCTCTCATGTAGGCGAGTAATAGACATGAATTCGAATCCTCCCAAAGCCAAAACTCGTACTTTTATTTGATTATCGCGACTTTCCTATAGATCGTCAGTGAAGGATTAAGTAGCCAGAATTGCTAAATCATCAGTAAAAATTTCATTAACATAATTCACAGAATATTGTTACTAAAATTACTGAATGATTCGTGATAAACAGATCATAAATCTATCAAGTAAATCATCTCTAATTGATCAAGGAACAAGTCATCATCAAGAAGAAGACGATCTGTAGGGAGACGAGTCATCACTTCTTGAGAGCGTATCGGATGCGATAAAGAGCCTCTTCTTGCTACGTGGATTTAATGATGAAGCTCCTTGACATGTGCCCCATCTCTATTTAGCTCCTCTCTGTTGGGTGACAGCCACTGGAGAGCCACAAAGTTGCTGTTTTTCTTCTCTACTAGGTGATAGTCACTGGAGATGATTCGACTATCCATTTCATGATCTCTAGACTTTGTGAAGAGATCTAGATATTATTCATATCATCCTTGTCCAAGGAGAGTCTTCGAGGCTATGGACACTGTATAAGGATCTCTCCAAACACTTAGGATTTTGGTACATTATCGACAATCACTGTCGCAACATTAGAACTCTATTTTCTTACTTTTAATTTAATTTTTACCTTATTTAGTGATTATTTATATGATTTAAATTTACTAAGCTATACTTTATTCAATTATAATTCTTTTAGTTTTTACATATCTTAATTTGATCAATTAAATCATTTGTAATTACTTACGTAAGAATCACTAGGTGAAACTTTGTTTCTGTCTGATTCTTGTTCGTCAGGCGTTAATGTCATCTTGATGTCTGCACCCTTATTTTCCTTTTTTGTGAGTTTTAAATCTATTTTATTTATTTCTTAGTATAAAATTCATAAAAACTTGTATTCTTTGAGTAAAATTTTTAAAAATTACTTGATATTATATTACATCCCTATGATCAACTTAGAAAATTACCATTATTTTTGAAAGTTTTATTAAATTATCATTGCTATATTTGTTCAAAAATGCTTCTAAATATTTAAAAATTAATATTGTCTTGTTTTATAAATTTTAAATTTACGTGATTTATTATATAATGACTAAGTCACGTCACAGATGCTCTTAGTAAAAAAATAACATGTTTGGTGAACCTATGTGTTGAGATCATGGGATTTGATTATCTCAAGGAACTATACTTAGATGACGATGATTTCTCTTAACAATATATGATTTGTATGTCAGGAATATCAACTAAAGGTTTTTATCTACAAGATGATTTTTATTTTGAAGAATGTAATTACGTGTTTTGCACAACTCTTTCAAGGAGAAACTATTACAAGAATTACACTCTTCAAGTTTAGTAGGACACCTTGGTCGAGACAAAATCTTCTACTCAATTGAAAAATGATATTATTGGTTCAATTTAACGAAAGATGTAGAAAATTTTGGTTGTAAATATCAAGTTTGTCAAACCTATAAAGGACAGTCAAAATATTGAACTATACACTCTATTGTTTATCTCACAATGTCTATGGGCTGATACTTCTATTAATTTTATATTAGGTCTGCTGCAAACACAAAGAGAAGCTAACTCAGTTTTTGTGGTTACGATAGATTTTCAAAAATGTCACACTTTATTAAATGTAAAAATACAAATGATGCAAGTCAAGTAGCCAATCATTTCTTTAAAAAAATTGTTCATCTACATGAAATTCATGAGTCACTTACCTCTAACAAAGATTCAAAGTTTATATCTCACTTTTGATGAATTCTTTAGACAATTTTTGACACATTTTTGAAATTTAGTAGTACTAGTCACCCACAAACTGATCGCCAAACTAAAGTTGTGAACAGAACTCTTGACAATTTGATTCATTGTATTTTAGGAGAAAAGTCAAAATAACATGATTATGCTTTGGCTCAAGTAGAATTTACATATAATTTGATGATTAATCATTTGACTAACAAATCTCTATTTTTAGTATTATATTATTTTTCTTCAAGAATTTCATTAGATTTATTACAAGTATTAAGACAAATTGGAACTAGTATTGCTACAAATAATATGATATATGATGTGACTTAGTCATTATATAGTAAATCATGTAAATTTTTAATTATAAAACTAAAAAATATGAATTTTGTAGATATTTAGAAGTATTTTTGAATATATATATTAATTATAATTTAATAAAAATTTTAAAAATAGTAATAATTTTCTAAGTCAATCACAGAGATGTAATATAATGTCATGTAATTATTTAGAATTTTTTTTAAAGAATACTACTTTCTATAAACTTTATATTAGAAAATAAAAATAAAATATATTTAAAATTCACAAAAAAGGAAAATAAGGGTATGGACGTCAAGATGACGTTAGCGCCTAGTGAACGTGAATCAAGCGAAAATAGAGTTTTACCCGACAATTCTTATGTAAGCAATTACAAATGATTTAATTGATCAAATTAAGATCTGTAAAAGCCGAAAAAATCATAATACAATAAATTATATCTTGGTAAATTTAAATCACACAAATTATCACTAAATAAAGTAGAAATTAAGTTAAAAGTAAAAAAATAGAGTTCAGACATCACAACGGCGATGTGTCGGTGATGCATCAGAATCCTGAGCATTTGGGAGGATGGTCATGTCGTGTCCACAACCTCGAAAGCTCTCTTTGGATAAAGACGATGTGGGCAATCTCTATATCTCATTGAGAAGTTCAGAGATCAATGAAATGGGTCATCGAGTCATCTCCAGTGGTTGTCACTCGGCAGAGTGGAAAAATGGTGACTTTGCGACTCTCTAGCAACTGTCACTCGGCGGAGTGGAAAAATAACGACTTTGCAGTTCTCTAGTGGCTGTCACCCAATGGAGAGGAGCTAGATGGAGGTCATGTGCATGTCAAGGAGTTTCATCCTCAAGTCTGCACAGCAAGATGAGGCTCTTCATTGCATCTGGTACACTCTCAAGAGGTGGCGACTCGTCTCTTGGCGGATCGTCTTCTTCCCAATGATGACTTATTTGTCGATCAATCAGAGATGCTTTATCAATGGATTCATGATCCTTTTATCGCAAATCATTCAAAAATTTTAGTAATAATGCTTTGCGAATTATGTTGATGAGATTTTTGCTGATGATCTAGTGATTTTGGTTGCTTAATTCTTCATTAGCGATATGTAAGAAAGTCGCGATAATGAGATAAAAAATATGAGTTTTGACTCTGGGAGGATTCAAACCTATGTCGCGTCCTTTCTAAAAAAGAAGTGATGTGGGTTTAGTCCCACATCGCGTAAGGCAAAATTTCTAGAGAATATATAGTAATATTACATTTCAAAGTAAGTCCATTCTCGTGTGTGTACGACCACTTCTTGTCCCACAACTGGCTAGCCACTAGTGACGTGGAAGGGGAGTGGCACACATGTGCCCCTATCGGTCCTAGCTGCTCGAGCCCCTACTCGTGGCTCCTCCCCCACTGCGCTTTCGACCTACTTGTAGGCTCAGCTGACCAGCGGGTCCCCCCATTTTGTCTAATTTTTGTTTTTATTTCTTTTTCTTCATTTATCTCAAAAGTAAGACTGTAAAAATCGTATAAATTCGTATAAAATCACATAATTAACCAAAAATTCATGTTAATCAATTGAAAACTACTTTTCACACTTTAACATAAATATAAGTCTATTTATCATGAGTTAAGGCTAAATTTATATTATTTAATAATTCTTAACTCATGATAATGAAGACGTATCAATAAATCATATCAAAACACTTCATGAAGGTGTGATTACATAATCTCACAACTAATTATGAGAAATATAAAGCAGCAATAAATAAGAAAAAAAGAAAGAAGAAAGAAATTTAAAGTTGGAGATAGAGTTATGGTATACCTTCGTAAAGAACGATTCCTAGTAAGTAGCTGCAACAAGTTGAAGCCAAAAAAATATGGACCGTATTAAGTTCTATAGAAGATCAACATACCTCATTGAGCTCCCACCAAATATGAGTACTATGGTGATTTAAATCAAGACTTAAGGTTGAGTTTTCTTGAAGGAGAGACTGATGTAACCCAAGAGATATGTTGAAGTGTCAACTTTGAATTTGGGCCCACTTATCCTAAATATGGGCCATAAAGTGAAAAGTGCTAAAAAAGAAGCCCACATATGTCACTAGTGGGCTAGAGGTTTGAAAAGTAATATTATTTTCTACTTTATGTTCTTTCAATTCTAGAAAGTACTTTATGTCTCTTT